ATATTTGTTTATTTCTGAGACCCCCGTAGAAATCAACTGGCTCAACAAGATTGAATCATTATTTGTCAATGTTTCACGATCACTTTTCATTTGATATTACATCCTAGCACTTTGAATAACATTTATAAATTGTCCTGATGTAAATAAAATGAAAAAAACTTTTATTTATCAATAGAAATTTAAAATTCACCGTGCGGCTGCCGTGGGAAATGTGACTGCAAAAGTATGAGAGCGCAGAAATTCTGCGGCGAGCGTAGAAAAGCTACTGGCCGCAGAAATGATAGACCGCAAGGTCGCCGTAGGAAATGTGACTGGGGTGTTTGTTATAAACCCAAATCTCTTACAGTTGAACATTCTTTGTAAGCCATTTTCTTTTGGTTTAAAAAGAGCGGGAAATTTAACACCGATCTAGTATAGATGTCCTGATTTTTATAACGTAATGCTGCTCTTATACCGCTCAGTCTGTATCAACAAGATTAAATATAAGTTAACACCGCTGTAATATAACTCTAGTACCGACTAGTTAGTCAAGTGAACTCGACTTAATGTTGTTGTTTCACGTTTCTTTTTGACGATTTGGATATTTGTTTTTTATTTTTGTTTTCAACATTTGCGTCGAGGATATTAAGCCCAGTATATTGCGGTAAATGCTTTTCTGCCCTCTATGCTCAACAAAATTTACACAGATAAGACAATGGATCCAATGCTTCAACTAGAATGTATTAACTCTTACCTTAAACACAGGAAATACTTGATAATTGAAGAAATGTAATCATTTTCGTATATGTTTGAACCAATTTCCAATATGGTTCTCAAGGTCACTCAAGGTCACTGAATACAGTATAAATGTGAAACCATGCAACCAAAACGAAATCGTAATTATTTATTACCAACATATCTGTTTTCGGTTTCTTCACCCTCCTTGGTGTCTGAGAAGGCGATTCAATTGTCATAAGACGATGATAAACTTTCGAGTTGAAATCTCGATCTCAATATGGCTGCTGTTATTTATTGTAATTTCGTTTTTCGCTTCACCTAGAGTTTTACTTTTACACAATCATTACCCAGAATGCATCTACACATGGGGAAAAAAATTGTTTCCAGAAAAATTCTTATACTTCTTCAATTATCAAGCGTTTGACGTGTGTAAGGTAGGATTAAATACATTATCGATGAAGAGCATATTCTAATACATAATTTGTGTGATTTTGGTTGCCTAAACAGGCCAGGAAAGCATTTCCCTCAATTTACAACCGGGAAGTGTGTACGACCCTAGTATGCAAGAAAATAACAAAAAATAAATATCCAAATTATCAAAAAATAATGACAAATAAAGCATACGATGGTCGGATTTATATGACTACGACTAGTCGGTATTAACAGATTTTACACCGATGCAATACTCTAGTACCGGCTAGTCGGTATTAACAGATTTTAATACCGTTCCAATGGGAACCGCCCAGTAATTTAGAAGGATATGAGGGCATTAGAGCGGTACTAGGTCTAAAGTAGGTCTAAATTAGAATTTTTTTTTACTTGGGAAATAAATGCCCATTGGCTTGGGAAGGCTATTTCCCCTTTTATGAACGCCCACCAATTGGAAAAATGTTATTCCCTCTCGAAAGGCCCATGGGCCATAAAGAAAATTAAAAATTGTCCGGACCCCTATGTATGTTATGTAAACGCCACTTTGCAATGCGAGTAACATAATTTAACTTTGTTTAAACATCTATATCACCTGTTTATGCCCTTGTACTTTCATCTTTTGACAGTTTTATTAAATACCAACCCATAAAGGAATCGTTCAGTTGATGAAATTTACTCTCAAATACACGCTATAAAGGGTGGCGCATATCGTTTAGTAAATCGAACGCTCGTTTCTGGTGTTGCTCACCGTTTAGTGTAAAAGGGCCAATTCCGGAATATTACTCAAGGGTTCCCAGGCTCGAGGACGTTTTAGTATATTATTGATCATCACACATATATAAAAAGAGAGATTTTCATTTTGACAAATTAATTTCACATTTATGGCTGACGTTTCGGGATATTCTATTTGTGTTTGATTGACATCTAAATTGCCCCATAGTACACAGTTTGGCATGTGAAATATCATCCAAATGAAACAAAGCAGTTCTAATACGTATACAAGGATTTATATTGGCTGCTGTACATGAATTCTTTGAACAATTACTTTATCTGCTAAGAAAATTTCTATTAATTGGATTTTACAAAACTCCCCTTATTTCTAAAAAATGGACTGGTCTAGTTGACTCGCCTGGAGTCGCCATACTGGAGAGGTTAAGCTTTGCATATATAATCGAAACTGAACCTGTACGTATCACTCGACCATATACAAATTCATGTAGCCTTCTCATATAAATAGCCGTTCAAATCCAGTGTTTGTTTAGACTACACCATAGCGTGTAATGATTCTATAGTATGTCATTGATGCGGTTTTATAGCTGGTTTTCTAATACATATTTTAAACGAGCTCGTTTCGTAAGATTTTTGGCGCTAAATCATGCATGACATACATCATCGTGTTCAGCAAGAATTCAACTGTGCATCGAAATCAAAATTGACAGCATAGTGTTCAATAGACACGAGTAAAATGGTTCCCGTTGACCCAACGTGAAATATTCAAATCTCCCGTTCTAAACCCGAAACTCTGAAGCTGAAAGAGTATCTGAAGTAGACTAAGCGCGCATAAAACTATAAGCGCTCGATACATTCCTTTGTTAATTTTTGTACTTTGCGTTCACGGTTACGTTGTGAAAAACATCGTTAGCTTAACCTCTCCATTGTTTTATATGGGAAGCTTAGCGGAACCCCTTAACAATGAAAGAGTGCTCGTTCATAGAGCTGTAAGCTGTAATTTTCGGAAAACTGGGTTTCGGAGAATTGGGTTTCGGACAACTGGGTTGACCCCGTGTAGTACTAGTCAAACTGACTGGAGGTCAAAACAGAACTCTATTATCTTGGTTTAAAAAATATTCAAAATCCAGCATGGTTTTGTCACTTCCTGTTTTGTCAATTTCCTGTCAAGCACCATGGCACCTTAAAAAGCCCATTGATGTACTGAGTTGGTAATGCGCAGTGTTAACTGGAAAGATAAAGCAGGATGAATATATAATCCCTTCCATGCCCATAGCTAGGGAGGGGGAGGTGGAGTTCAGGGAGCTGGCCAAAAAATCTTCCAAAATCACCATTTCTGAGCACTTTTCAACAGATTTTTGGCCAATGTTGTCAAGTGAGCCCCCCCTGGACTTTTTAGGAAAGTGAACCCCCTTTGTGTTAAAGCTAGAGGCCTGTCTTCCAACATTCCAGTGAAAAATATCAATGGTTCATTTAAAGTGTTGCCTCTAATCAACAATACCTTTACATAGTTTTGTCCTTTTTCAGGTGTTTTATGATACTTATAGTGCTCACGAAATGAATCGAGGAATGGTGCCAAGGGACGATTGCAGTACTAGAGAGCTAATCACAATAACTGACGATGATAGTTCCAAGACTGCTGACTCAGCATTTTTAGGAAGTGCAAATATGGATATTACAGCCACTAACACAAGTTCAATCTCAAACTTTTCCTCGTTATCAAATACTCCTGATTTGGTGAGCTGCAGGTCAGGTGACGCATTGAGTACCAGCTGGGAGTACCAGTAGCGACCATAAATTACCACCACCAGGGGGAGCCAGCAGACTCGAAGAAGCGATCAAGTTTAACACAGTGCAATACTGCTAATAATAATTATAAACAAAATGTGCCAGTAATAGATGCAGGGTCTGGACCCTCAATACCTACCAATTTCCTACCACATATATATGCCATATGGTGTCTAATGTGAGATAATTGTAATTATAATGAAATGAAATACGTGGTTGTGGTTGTATTTGTCAAATACCAGGGGCAGATTGTCTTCAATTGATATTCAATGTCCCATCTTCTAAATATATGTTGATTTATATTTCGCAAATATTTATCGCTACATGGTATAATAGAGGCTTATACACCTGATATAATAATAATGAGTCCACATATGAGTATTTATGAATCGGAAACCTGAAACACCTTTTTTTATTGTTCTACTACTGATACAGTATATTGCACCACTACCCAGTAACATTTGCCATAAATACATAGAGGTCACATATATTTAGAAAATGAGACATCGAATATCAAACCAAAATCACCATAAGGTATTCATACATACATACATGTACAGGTATTATCAACCATTATATGCTCTTGTATCATGAATTTGGAAAGGGACTTCCCCCACTCCACCGAAATATTTCATGAAAATGTTATTTCACATGGGGAAGCTCCTTGTAATTTCACAAACAACTCTCAGTGTGATGAGGGTGTAAATACTACCTTACATATCCGTTTTCATTCACTTTGTTTTTTTTCTATATATTCAATATGACCAGGTCTAGTTGATTGAAATAAATGAATGCTCAAGTTTGCCAAAATACATTCAATATGGCCAATAACGGTTGTTGATTAAAAGATTTAAATGGCAAAAAACATTTGGTCACAATAACAATTTAAAATGAAATGAATTTACCCAAAATATATTTGGATTGCACCAGACCTGACTTTATTAATCTTGTAATAGGATATAAATAGTACCCTATGAAATGTCACATGCGGGTGTGGAGATACAAGGAATGCTCATCCTATGTTAAGTCATGAATCTTCTTACATTATCATTTATTAAATAATTCATTTTCATATGTAATATGTTCATGTGCAAAATAAACTTCTTTGAAAAAAGTTCTAATATACACAATATGAAACACATCAATTTATCTGTCCATCATGAACTGGGTGATGCATATATCATTGATCGATCATGCTTAATCTGCAATACATATAATTCTATGGTCTCTATATCAATGAAACTGGGCCATTAGACATCTTTATTCAGAAATCTTTCCATCAGGAGTCATTGGCATTTAGCTCTGCCCCTGTAGGTCTTCCGAAAGTTCAGGAACATATGGTACAACATTTCCTTCCTTGGTTATTATAACTGCATCCTTAAGTTGTTCACTACTCACACTTGAACCTTTGCTATGTGTGGCCACTGTAAGTTTATGTTTATTTCTAAGATGAAGGCGTAAGTTTCCCTTAATTTTGCAGCAGTGCTCACAAAGATGGCATTGGTATCTTTTGATGTTCTGAAAGAAATGAAAGAAAACCATGATGACAATTATCACACTACCCTACCACGTGACCACATTTAAAAATGATACAGGGTACAGTTAAGTTGCAAATGGAGCACTACCACGTGACCACATTTAAAAATGATACAGGGTACAGTTAATTTGCAAATGGAGTGGGTATTCTTTATCTTTGTCCATTCCCTTAATATTGGAGCAGTTTTGACAGAGATGGCATTGGTAATTTTTGATGTTCTGAAAGAAATGAAGGAAATGCATGAGGACAATTATACAGAACTCGCAGTGCCTTGGCCATGATCTTCCTAGGGGCAGGGCAAATATAGTAAGAGGGGAAAAATAGAAACAATAAAATCCAATGATGTTTTTATAATGTAATCACTAGTGCATATATAAATAAAATAGGTGGCGTGTCAATTTATTACAAAAATAATATTATATAATACATTCATATTATAGAACTATATACAATTCCTTTGATGTAGAGAAGCAGAAACCAGACAAGCTGGTATATAGTGTATCCTGTAGTGACACTGAAGTTTGAACTAGAAAAGCATGGTGTGGCTCTTTCTCGCTTTTATGTGTAAAAAACAATTAAAATTGACATGTGTTAACATACCTTATGTGTGTGCATGATTCTAGTATGTTGAATTAGACTATCTTTCCTTGGTAGCAGTTTATCACAATGTTCACATTTGTACCCCTTCCCTAGGAAATAAAAATAATAGTATTAACACTAAATCGGACAATGAACAGGACATTAACAAAATTACATCACCAAATATCTGCTCAAAAGTTAGTGAACTGTAATGTACCCTCTTTAGCCTTGCCCAAGTCGGTCTCTTACTTATCTTGATTTCTATTATCATACCTGCCAACCTAAGACCAAAATTTTGCGGTAGATTTTTTTAAAATTGCTGAATTTTTGCAGTAGATTTTTTCAAAATACGGTAGTTTTTTGCGGTATTTTTCAACAAAATTGCGGTAGTTTTTGCGGTAGATTTTAGAAAAAACGGTAGTTTTTGCGGTAGATTCATAAAATAAACGGTAGTTTTTGCTGTAGATTTTAAAACAATGGTAATAATTCAAGATCAGATAAGTAAAAAATACCAACTTGGGCAAGGCTATACCCTCTTACGTGTACTAATTTGAAGGAAATGGAAGTTCCTGAAATGGGAGATTCATCAAACAACCTCTACAATGTTAACCAACTGCAGTACAACTTGGTATATCCTCTGAAATGTGTAGTGATAATATCAGACAAGCCATTTTCTTGGAGTTATGGTGAACAGATTTGTTGAACAGGGCACATGACATGAACGAGATCACACCATCGAAAAACCTTCAATATGGCCACCAGATAAACAAGATGGCCTCCCAAAAGTTAATAAGCTCTAAAACTCGATATCCTTTATCATGAGTGAGGATTTGGAGAAAATCCGATGAGCGGTTTATCTTCAATGGAGATGACAAGATTTATTGAAAAATCTTCAAAATGGCCACAAGAAAACAAGGTGGCTCCCCAAAAGTTTATCAGCTCTCTGACTTGATGTCCTCTATCATGTTTGCAAACTTGGAAAAAATATGATGACCAGTTTTCTTAAGATGGTGATGACAAGATTTATTGAAAAAAACTTCAAAATGGCCGCCGAAAAGTTAATCAGCTCTAGAACTTGATATCTTTTATGATGTGTGCGAATCTGATGAGCAGTTTTCCTGAAATGGCGATGACAAGATTTCAAATACTTTATGTTACTTTGTTCAGTATAAGGCCTACTAGGCCTTTCATTCTATGTGTATATGCCCCAAGTAACCCTCAAAGCTTCTCAAAGTCCATCCGCATTCTACCGATTTCAATGAAGTAGTCCTCAAGGAGTTAATCAGAGAACTTGGTGTCCTCGAACATGTTCATGCATTGTATGGCGATGACAAGATTAGGCCTAGTCAAAAACTTCATAAATTGATACCAGAAAACGAAATGGCTGTAACAAAATGACGAAGTATTTGGAGAGCACTCTGTCATGGGTTTGTTTAATCTGCTGCCTCCACCTAGATGGATTTCATGTACCTACCACACAACTAGGGTCTGATTTTTTTTCAATTTTTCTCGCAATAATTATATCCATGTTAACTGTGAGTTAAAAATGGTTTATCCAATATATACATGTAGTAGTCTGCATGTTGGTCTCTCCGATATATCTTCAAATGGATAAGCTAAGATCAAGGATTATGTCTAGCATAAGACCAAGTTGTATTGCCATTTTTTGTAAGGGAAAATCACGCAATTAGTTTGAACTGAACTGACCATATATGTTGATTGAGTAGTCTGTTCACTTTGAAAGACACAATAAAAAATCAATGTATAAACTTGGTTTGTATTCCAATGCTAGACAACAGCAACACCAAAGCGTAGCAAATCCCATCGAACAGCAATGGCTGGCATTTTTACAAAACAGAAAATATAGCAAATATCCCAAAATTACACACATAAGAAAGGCCACCATTTTCAAAATGGTTTTCAAGCAGAACTTGTACTCCCATAGGGCATAGGTGTACAAAATTTGAACAAAATCAGGCGAACAGTATTTGAGTTATCGCCCGGACAGACGGATGGATGGGGGCGTTCCTTTGTTCGAACTTTGTTCGAAGGGATAATAAACATATAAACAATAGGGGAGACCAGGGTAAAATGGGACACTTTATTTTCTCTGGCAAATTACTCTGTCAATGACCTGTAGAGATGATTTGGGCAACATAAAGGCAACATCGTGACATCCAATAGTAGGCTGCACGTTGGTCTCTCCGATATATTTTCACATGGATAAGCTAAGAACAAGGATTAATAGTCTTATCTAGTGTAAGTTAAATTGTATTGCCGTTTTTTTGTAAGGGAAGTCATGCAATTAGTTTGAACTGACCATATGTTGATCGAGTTGTCTGTTCACTTTGAAAGACACGAATAAAAAATCATTGTATAAACTAGGTTTAGTATTCCAATATAAACATATAAACAATAGGGGAGACAAGGGTAAAATGGGACACTTTATTTTCTCTGGCAAGTTATCCTGTCAATGACCTGTAGAGATGATTGGAGCCAATTTCCAATATAAACATATTAACGATAGGGGAGACCAGGGTAAAATGGGACACTCGATTTTATTTTGGTAAATTATCCTGGCAATGACATGTACAGATGATTTGGCGCCAATTTCAATAAGTCTTCTTAAAGTAGTCAAGGGCAACACAAAGCAAGATTCCATTTTTTCAAAGACGAGATACATCAAAGACTGGATTATGATATGATAAACTTGAAATGGATTCTCACCGAAATTAAAATCACACCCTGCATGGTTGGTGAGTAAGTCGAAATCCACCCAGGTAGGGGCGACAGATTATACAAACCCCTCTGTCATGTCTGTGTTTAACTGTTTAATAAGCACTGTTGATTACCTTCATGGTATGTTCTGCAATGAATTTCCTTTGAAAAGAAACTGGTAAATTTCTTCCCACAGACTTCACATGAGTATTGCTTAATTCCTAGCTTTTCATGTCGACGTTCGTGGACCCTGACCTTGCATCGGGAAATATCCCAAAAACTGCAGCCATTGCACTGATATCTACAAGAACAAAGCACAAATGAATCAGGATTAGATCTAAGTGGTAGACCATTTGAAGAAAATAACGGTATGTTAAGTCTACCTACCTATTTTTCAGTTCTGGCTACATCTCTGTAGGTTCTTTAAATAACCAAACCATGAATAGAGATACATTAAACGAATCCATGAATTTAATGTACATGTAACATTCTACCATTATGTTGTTTTCAATTCTTACAATTTTGAAATTCCTGTTAATATCGGGGTTAATATGCTGATTGATAAAAATTTATATAGAACCTAACCTTTTATAACCCTTTGGTAGTGGAATTTTGTGAACCTTAGATTCATGGCGTACCAAAGAAGGTCTTTCTCTAAAGCAAACACCACAAGCTTGACAAGTATTGGGAACATTGGAATCCAATTTGGTTCTTCTCTTTTCTGCAGCCCTCTCATCATGAATTTTCTTGTAATGCCGCTACAATTTCAATAGACACTTATAATCAACTTCATTTCAAGTCAATTTTTATAGAAATGCAACATGGCATGGTATAACAAAGTTCCCTTAAACTTAAATATTCATCAGTTTTAGTGGTTTACTTTTTATATTACCCTTATTTGTGTCTGATAGTTATACAAATTAAAATAAGTCCAGTAAAAGTAAATATTATCTGTTTCATACAAGATAAGATATTTCACTTTTTTTATTTTTTATTTATTTTACACTTGGGATCTATGGAGAATCTTCCCGACCTAGAAGTCACATTTTCAAAGAAAACTAAATTTTCAAAGTTGATAAACTCTTTTTAAAACCACATTTCTAGATCCAATTTTACATATAGATTTCAAATATAATATCAGATTGACTGAATTTTTAATGACATAATCAAGGTTTTTTCTACTGGCATCTAGTATATTGTTTAAAATTGAACTTTAGTTATTTGTGCCTAAGATTGTAAATCATTATGAATTTAAGTGACTTTTGATATAATCGGGGATTAATTAACATAGAATCAAATCCTATGCTCAGGGTTGATGACTCCCATACATGGTGGTACAAGCAACTTTTTCTAGTATAAGTTTTGTTTCAATTACAGTGGCCACAGATATACTGTATGCATACCTTTTCTCTCCTCTTAGTCTGGAAGGTGCGCATACAAGAAGGCACGCGACATTGAACTGGTTCCCTCCTGCTATGTACTTCTAAACAGTCCTCCAAAGCAGTCTTTTTAGAATACCTTCGACCACATTCCTGAAAGAACATTCATTCATACTAAGAAAAATTCAAATCAATCAAAACATTACTAGATAACAGAAACCCCAAAGTGTAGCAATCCCACCTGACAACTAATGACAGTGTCTAATGGTCACCATGGATGGATTGCTAAAAGATTGCAAAAACAAACAAGGGCACAAATGTGCACAGCATGTCCCAACCAATGGGTGATCCTATGTAAATTTTACATCCTGAGGACAAAAAGTAATCACTCCATGAGATGAATCGTATACTTTTGAAATCGATCCATCAAATGTTTTTTAAACATTTTATTTAACCTAGAATGTAACAGTGTACATGTATCATTATAATCATGATTTTGGTTTTACAGATAAGATAATTGATATGCAGTGATGCAGTAATGTTACGAGATTTTTTATTATGGAGTGGCAAGATGTCCAGTTAATGCATATTATAACTAACATGACTGTTACTGTATTATACATTTCCAGTTACATGTACCTTCCCTTAAGTAGTGGAAGATATCATTGAACATGTACCTTCCCTAAAGTGGTGGAAGATATCATTGAACTGAGGCACCCACGCACGATATATGAACTTATCCCATACTTAGTAGTGTTATAGTTAAATAACATGTGGGAATATAATCGATTTCTGAGGTAAGCGTAAGTGGGTGATATATATATATCACCCGCTCATCAGCAATCCCCCCGGGAATTTCTTTCGGTGCTCTTTTGAATTTCCATGATATACATTGACTCTATTTGATAAATATTAATTTCATACACTGTTAAAAGTTGTTGAGTTTTAAAAACATAAATTGTTGAGGACTTAAAATTGAGATAAATATTCATGTTTTGATTGAAATTACTACATAAGGGTTCCCTTTCATTCAATGCATATTCTTATAATCTACTAAGTATAGGATAAATCAGTTATTGAATGCTCGATTTTTGATACCTGGTATATCCCTCGGTAAATACAATATATCACCCCTTAAATTAAATCCTTTAAAAAAATCTTATTGAATTTTCACAACTGTGTTTGTTTCCCGTTATATCCCCAGTGAAGAGGGAAATTCTTTTATCTACCTCTTTCAAATAAACATCCATCATTGAGAGGCTTTGTATAAAAAACCTCCTACCTCATACCCACCTACCCACCTACGTGGGACATGATACAGTCATTGAAGGGTTCAATTTTAAAGATTTTTAAATCTCAAAATAGCTCTTATTACTAACATTTCTACAATTCCAGCTTTATTTTATGACTAGACGGATGACAAATCTATAAATAAAGGCATATGGATGCATTTTAATGTGTAATGACCTGCGGGCGCCCAAGGGGAATAAATAACTAACAAAAGCGAGCATGGGTCCAACCAGCCAGATAAAGAAATTGAAAGAAAGTGTGCCCCGAGTGGGAATCGAACCCAGCTGGGCTGTAGTAGCAAATTGCTATCAAGGGTCGTTACAAATGCATCTATAATTCATCATAAACTAAAGATTTAATAAACTAAGATCTTTAAAATTGAACCCTTCAAAGACTGTATCATGTCCAACGTACGTGGGTAGGTGGGTATGAGGTAGGAGTTTTTTTTATAATAAGCCATCATTGAGAAACTCGAGGAAATGAACAGGAAAATAAATGGAAGTAGGGCCCTACCTTGCATTGTAATTTTGGTTTCTGTACCATTTCTGTTTCTGATTCAATTTTATCTTGTATGTGTTTTCTCTTGATATGGCCTTTCAAATCTCGTTCTTCAATAGTAGCATAAGTACAATCAGGTTCCTGCAATTGCAAACAAACAAAAATAAAATTATAGAAATAGAGGCAATTTAATGAAATGGAAGGTAAATCATTTTATCCTATGACAAATGAGGTTTCAGGTACATAACAGCGGGATATAGAATTGATATCTTGGAGGAGCAGGACATTCAACAAATACTGGATGACCATGAGTTGGATATGCCAGGATACCTATCAGAGGAAAAAAATACTACCCGCTCCAGTATTCCCTTGTTTTTCAGTCAATTTGTTAGAATATCTCCCTATAATGATCTGTCAAAATGAATGCAGCATGCGTCAGTAGAATCTTTTTTGACCAAAATGTTGATGGATTTCTCAAAATAATGAGAATGAAAACTTCACTTGTGAAACCTCAATTGTTATAGGATAAATTAATTATGCGATGCTCAGTTTTAAAATATGGGTATATCCAAAACTTCCCATAACACAACCCTCATTTATTCTGAGAGAGACAATTCGAGATGGATGAAGATAATAAACACATGAAAAGAGGGCTTCGGATCAAAAGCACACTATCAATAAGTCTTTTAGTTATCCAAGTAAAACTTAGATAACAGCAACGCCAAGGCGGAACAAATCAAATGGAACAGCCATGGGTGCAATTTTTACAAATTCCCCCTCATCTTTTTCAGTCATGGCAAAGTAGTAGAACAGATGTACCAATCTTACCTTCATATATTCCTCAGCACATTTCAGAAGTCTGAGTCCAGATTGGATAATGTCATTCCTTCTTTTTACTTTAATCTTAATCTTGTAAGCACAGAGTTGACAGTGTAATTTAGATGTTAAATGATTAAAGGTACCATTCATGTTCCACTTACACAGGTTTTCAATCTTACCTTTCTATATTCATCAGCACATTTCAGAAGTCTGGACCCAGATTGGACAATGCCATGTTTGGAATACATATGACGAGCAAACATCCGATTGGATTCAGAAGTGCGCCTACGTACTTTTTCTATTTTGATTTTATAAGTGCAGATGTGACAGTGTAGCCCAGCAGATCTGATTGCAGGGATCTCATCAAATGATGGGAGCGGACATTTTTGCAGATGTTTCATCCAAAGTTTTTCACCGACAAAAGTATTGCATTTATAGCATGGGATTGACTCAAATACCAACTCCCCCTTTTGTTTTGTCTGATAGCAGAAGTAACAATGCCTGAGAAAACGTCTATAATTTAAGAAAGGTGGCATTTGGCAATTATCACAACAGTAAGCAAAATTGTCAAGAGCAAGATTTGGAGTTGCATTTATTTTGATGAGATCTGATACTGGTTTTCCTGTCCAACATGTAATAAAATGAGTCCAAAGTTTCAATTCCTTTTTAAATCTTTGTTTACAGTTAGGGCACCTTATTCCACTTCGCGTTATAGTACTTTGTCTAGGCATACATTTTATTCTTTTTTCTTCAACTGGTTTCTCATTCAGTCTTTTACATGATTTTACCCTACAGCTTCTTTTAATCATAACTGGTACATCACCATTGATATTAGATACCTCTTCCAAAGTGCCATAAACCTCAGGGACTTGCTCTCTTGGGTTATTAATTTTTGTATCATTGTTATCAGTTTCATTGGCTCCTGTGATTGCCTCCTTCTTTTCTAAACAAGTTTCATAGTGTCCTATATAAATCTCATTTTCTCCTACAGAAGTGATATTTTCAAGTTCAACAGGCCAAGGTTTCACGTAATCTCCACCAAAACTAGGTATATTAAAGGGACTATGAGTGACTGCATATTGACACTTTTCCTGATATAAATCCAAATACCTTTCCTGATCATTCAGAAGAGTTTCTTCATGTATATCATCCCGATGGCCTTCTTCATCTTTTAATTCATTCATCTTTTGGATATTCACATTTGGTACATCCTGGAAGTGATTGACCATATCAGCATTTAGTATAGATGAGTATGGGTGGTCGATATATACCGGTATGATTGTTTTATCTTCTATCTCAAGCTTAGAACACTGACGTTTAACAAATGCCTCACTATTCATTTCATTGTCTTTATCTAACAAGTTAACTATTTCATCTTTAATTGCATCTTTCAGTTCTTCAATGGTGTGGACAGGTTCAGCATTTGAGTTAACTTCATTTTCATTTGAGTTTATTTCACCATTTACATTCCATTGATCATACTCTAAATTTGCCCCTCCATTTATGATTAATTCATCATCATTTGGGTTCCCTTCATTTGCATCATTAGAGATCAATTCATCACTGTTTAAGTCCATTTCATTAGGCTCTAACTTAACCTCACAAAGAGCATCAAGGTTTTCTGAGTTAATAGGAGAGTCTTGTTCACTCGCATCAGCATCATCTTCATCACATTCGAGGTTCATCAGATGGCTGCTCTCAGTCTTACTATAATGAGCTCCACCTTCAAATGAGTCTGTATTATTGAGTATAGATGAGTATGGATGATCAATATATAAAGGAATGATTGTTTTATTTTCCATCTCAAGTTTAACACATTGCGATGTGCCACTATCATTTTCATTGTCTCTTTTCAGCAAGCTACTTGTTATTGTTGCTGATGATGCATCTTTAGTTGTTTCATTATCATAATATATTTCATCTTTAATTGCATCTGTCAGTTCTTCAGTGGTGTGGACAGATTCATCAATTGAGCTTACTCTATTTTCATTTGAGTTTGGTTCATCATTTGAGTTCAATTCAGGATTTACATTCCCTTGATCATTCTCTAAATGAGCACCTTGATTTATGATTAATTCATCATCTTTTGGGTTCCCTTCATTTGCATCATTAGAGATCAATTCATCAACGTTTAAGTCCATTTCATCAATCTCTAACTTAACCTCATCGAGAGCATCAAGGTTTGGTGAATTAAGAGTTTCTTGTTCACTCGCATCAGCATCATCTTCATCACATTGGAGGTTCATCAGATGGCTGTTCTCAGTCTCCACTTGAGGTTCCTTTTCTTCAAATGAGTTTTTATTGATGTCATTTGATGTCTCTCCTCCCATACTTTCTTTATCAATATCATGTTCTGGTAAGATGTTTCCTGTCTCCAACGATATATGTTCCTCTTCAGGATTATTTCCTTGACCTTTTGCTGGAAGAGATTGAGATTCTGACTTGCTTGTGTCAGCAGCTTCATGTTTTTTGTAATTGGTTTTGTTATGAAGATATTGTTTTTCTTTGGCTGACAAGTCTGATATCTGAAGGCTGCAGATCTTTACATAAAGGGGTATTATTAGTTCTGTAAGGTATTCTAATTCAAGAATCCTGCTAGCCTTAAATAGAAATATGCAATTGTCAGGTGTTACTTCAATATCTCCAGTGTAAATATAATGTAAGATATTCATCATGTCTTTGTAATTCAGTCCTGGTCCTAATTGTCGACGTATATCAATTCTGACTCCAGAGATTCCTGCAGTACCACGCCTGCGTGCGATAAAGTCAAAGCATTTTCTGAAATACTCAGACGCTGCTATTAATATACACGAGTGAGCATTGACATTGACATCACAAGTTTCAATCTTTATGTCACAAGCCTGTTCTTGTTTTAACATGTTCCATAATTTTACAGAAAGGTGTGATAGCTTGCCTTTGTGTCTTTCATCTGACAATAAGACCTGGAAAACAGAGTATGGGTTTTCTTAACTTTGAAAGCTCTTTAAAACCAGGAATAGAGATTAGATACTTTGACTAGGTAATGTCTGCAATGTAATTGATTTTAAAAGAACAGAGACACGGGGTACCATCGAATAATTTTGGCAACGTGCCGGAGAATGACATTTTTCTAAGAAATGGCAATAATTTAGCACAATATATTTTTTAACTAGAGTTCTATTTTGATTTTGACAAAAGTAAGTATTCCATGCAATAACTATTTCATTCATGAGTTTGTAGGAATTCTGTTGGAACCCAGTCCTGATCAAGTACGAAGTTATTGAAATCGGCGCAGACGGACTTTACTCCAAAAGGTGGTTTTTCAATTATAACTTTTTACAACATTTAAGTATAGACTTTTGAAAAAAGGACAGAATAGTCCTTATACTATTGAATAATTATGTTATTTCTGATTCACACGACTCTGATTTGTTTAATTTAAAAAAAAGTTTTAAAAATATTACTTAGGAACGTAACCGGAGCTGGGAACGTAACCGGAGCAGATCAGTTGAATTATATAATTAAAAAAATAAAATATATGATTTAAAGCATATATATTATTTACAAACACATATGTCAGCTTACTTGGTGTGATAGAATTATAGAACACTGTCTATTAACGACTGAAAAGCAATGTTCTGTAGTTTAACTAGAAAAAATCATTCACTTTCTTACTTGCTTAATGACCCACGCCTAGGTTTATCGAAACAAAGATGGATAACAACTGGTTTTGCATAAAACAATAAACGGGCACTCACTCAAACATCTTACGTTTATATGGAGGGGGGGTTAGGTGAAGAATTTCAGAAAGCATATGTTGATTCGATTTGGTCGAGCACATGACAAGTACTTAACACACCTACGCTATATACAGTTCGTTGTATGCTAACTTTTTTAATAATCTAGCATTTAAATGCTTTTATTTCCCCTGAAAAAGAGAAGTTGTCTTAGAAGTATAATACATGTATGTATAATCAGTATATATATACGAAATTAGTATAACAGAGTGGGTTCTAATAGTTCGCTGAACAAATACAATGGGTGAAATCAAATGGAATTATTTGCTTACTACATTTAATCACTTCATTCTCCATACAATGATTGTTCTATGTTTGATAGCCTTTCTAAGGTAAGTACACTTATGCATGGTAAATACCAAATTTAATTTTTCACAATGGATAAATTTTTTTCTTTAAAATAAAATGTAATAAATACGCATTCGAACAATCCCGTATGTTTTTAAATTAGTATATGTGCTTTAAATCATATATTTTAATTTTTTTGATTAAATAATTCAACTGATCTGCTCCGGTTACGTTCCCAGCTCCGGTTACGTTCCTAAGTAATATTTTTAAAACTTTTTTTTAATTAAACAAATCAGAGTCGTGTGAATCAGAAATAACAGAATTATTCAAAAGAATAAGGACTATTCTGTACATTTTTCAAAAGTCTATACTTAAATGTTGTGAAAAGTTATAATCGAAAAACCATCTTTCGGAGTAAAGTCCGTCTGCGCCGATTTCAATAACTTCGTACTTGATCAGAACTGGGTTCCAACAGAATTCCTACAAACTCATGAATGAAATAGTTATTGCATGGAATACTTACTTTTGTCAAAATCAAAATAGAACTCTAGTTAAAATAAATATATTGTGCTAAATTATTGCCATTTCTTAGTAAAATGTCGTTCTCCGGTACGTTGCCAAAATTATTCGATGGTACCCCGTGAGAGAATACAATCTTCAATGCATTTATACATGTACATGTTGTAGTAGATATAGCACTGGTTGTATTCAAGCAAATACCATAGGTGTTTCTTGAAACTCATATATAGACGTATGATTCATGAATAAAAATTCTAAGTGCTTGCATTTACTGTACACATATTCAAATACAAGACCTGCTACTTACTGGATCAGATAAGGTGTATGATGTTGTAACTTGGCTTTGATTCATCTTTTGTTTAAGTTATCTATTTTGTCACAATATTGAATGTTTTTCTTAGTACCAAAACCTGAAAGCATGAAAATATACATGTATTAAAATGTGGTATAATTGTCGATAAGAAGGAACAATTGATGCACCCTTGATACATCTTTGTCTTGGAAGAGATTATTCATGTCGATTTACCCCAGGGAGGGGGGTTCACTCTATATAAACCTCGACAGGATCTTCGTCTCATATTGGGTACCTTTTTTGACATTTGCTATGGCTATGAACCCAAGTTTTAGGATCTGTATGAGAATGCCACCCCCTAAAAAAAACTTTTGAGGTTATAATGGCAATGGTAAACTTTTTCCACTTTGTTTTTGGTATGATAATGGTCGTGGAAAATGTGTTACCGCTCATTTAGGGTATGGCATTGTTAAACATATTCTTATTTGATGTTGTTTTGGATCATTTTTATTAAGATTTGCCTTCTCTTCTCAAGGCTTTAGACATTTTGAATGACCTTGGTTATCTGGATATTTGGTATGACATTGGTCCTATATTTGGACATTTCGTATGGCATTGATCTTATATTTGGACATTTGGTATGTTGGTTGATATGGGAACACAATGAAATTTGACAGATTGGCATGGAAACATATTGTTAAGACCCCCACCAAATTGGTAGACAGTGAACCCTCCGGGTATATATACATGTACAAAGTATAATGAATGAGCTCATATTGTCACTATCACAGCAAAAAATGTGTACGAATACAACGAATCCTGACGTCAGGATACATACAGGATATGCACCCAGTGTGCCAAACCTGTATGAATCCTGATGCCTGGATACATACAGGATTGGCACCGAATGTACATATCCTGTACATATCCTAGGTCATGATTTATACAGGATTGGCGCGTGTAGGAATCCAGTATGAATCCTGCATCTGGATTCATACAGGATACGTTCGCAGTGTGCCAATCCTGTATGAATCCTGATGCCTGGATACATACAGGATTGGCACAAAATGTACATATCCTGTACATATCCCGTGTCAGGATTTATACAGGATTTGCGAATGTAGGAATCCAGTACAAATCCTGCCCCTGGATTCGAACAGGATACGCTCGCAGTGTGCCAATCCTGTATGAATCCTGACGCCTGGATACATACCGGATTGGCACACAATGTACATATCCTGTACGTATACAGGCGTCAGGATTTATGCAGGATTGGAGCAGGTAGAAATCCAGTATGAATCCTGCCTCCTGGATTCATTCAGGATACGCTCGCAGTGTGCCAATCCTGTATGAATCCTGACGCCTGGATACATACAGGATTGGCACACTGTGTGCATATCCCGGATTACATATCCTGCACATAATTTACAAATTATTGATTGCTATTGTTACTAAAATTTATTACAAAATCCATGTTAATTTGATAATTTGATAAAAAAGTGAATTTCATTAAGATTAGAATGAACATTTTGCCATTATTCACAATTATTTTTTCCCTGGACTATTGTGATTTGATATTTGATGCTTAAGAAGCTATAGAAGACAAATGGTATATATAAATAGCAATATGACATACTTTTAAAGAGCCTAATGTCTGCAACCTTTTTATAACAGACTTTCAATTAAAAGCCCATTATAACACATAGTCGCAATGGTGGAGGAATTTGGATATTTGGAATTCCCTCGGCGATTTATCATTACTTATCTGTTTTTCAATATTGTTGGTATTTTGCAACCCTTTAATATTCAATTAGCGCTTCAAAAAAGTATTGTTTTTCAAAAGGTATGTCAAAAGGGTCAAATCGAGGTCAACATGACATTTTGTGATAAATTGTTAATGTGCGAAAGTACGAAATAAGGCGTGACGAGGCTGTTTTATTAATGTTCTACGAATCTAGATTTTATATCACTTGAAACAATGCATAGCCCTTGGTGAGAGGGGGGGGGGGGGATTACAGACATCTAACATAGCGTTTTAGTTATGTATAATCATTAATCAAAACAAATAATACCAATTAGTCCACCTTTCTGATTACATTTTGTCCATGTATTTCTGGACTTATTTACTTATGATTTAGCCAATATGATACAACAACAAATTAACTTCACTTGCGTCAGCCCTTCATCTCCATGCAAATATAATTGTATTCATGTTCGACGGGGAATAAGAATTTGTTTACCCGGCACCCCTGATCATTATCAAGCCCCCTCTAGATATCAGGCCCGTCACAGGCACGTATCCAGGGGGGTTCGAGGGGTTCGATTTACCCCCCCCGGCAAATAAAAAAAATTTCGAACGGAATGCGTGACATATACGTAATTCGCGTGTAAAGTCCGAACGGAATGCGTACGTTTTTTTCCAGCGTTCGTATTTTTGCTGTGTAGACGATCTTTTTTATAAATTTTTCCAAGGAGGATTGGAAGCCAGGGTTCCAACTCGATATTCTTTAATCTCCACGCATGCGTCATTTGCTATTCGTGTCTGTATAATTTGTACGACTGCATGGAGAATGACCCGATACTCTCCAACAAAGCTATCGCTAGGTGATTGTTTTGCAGAATATCGGTGTTGCATTCTGGGAGCCAATCCTCCTTGAAATTTTTATGTGCTCATTGTTCATGTAGGTGTATCTAAATTTGTATTCCTGAATGCAAATAACAGCTTTCAGATAAACCTATTATAGAATAAATAATCATGATAGGCCATTCAATATGGTGAAATTTAGTACAGGTTGGACAGAATGTGGTGAATAGCTTGAATCGAAGGTGAGTGCATTTGTATTGACATTCTTTCCAATAGTCTACAACGGGTGTAGAATTTCACCATTTATAATATTGAATGGCCCATCATTATCTATTCTGATTCAAACATGAAAATGAAAACATTGTTCAGAGAATTAGGGATTGGGGATCCATAAAATAACCAAATGGTGCTGATATTTCACCATTCATAGGTGTGACGTCACAATAGAACTGGATGATTGAATAGAGTATGGTTGTGCATCTATGAAGACTTAGAGAATGTTCTTTCTCATATGACTAACAAAGATAGCCATCTTTACACCATGCATGATATAGAGGTTGTTATACGAGAACCTGTGCAAGATCGTCCATTCTTGATGAGCTTTGATAATTCTTCTTCATCGAGTTGCAGACGAGATAAAGAAACATTATCAAAGCGAGTACAAGCGAGTACAAGAAAGTTTTTCTCATATGACTCTGGACTGTAAATATGTATTTTCACGTTTTCATGACAAAACTGGGTGAAAAATAGACTTCAGATTAATGGAACTTCATCTTTCAATTGTTATGACATCAAAGCTCCATTGATATGACGTCACAGCTTAGTTTTGTAGAATGATACTCATACCAACGGTGTATCCATTGCTACATGTATGTTGTTGATGTTTATACATTTTTTCACGTTTTTGTAAATGTAAACAAAGGAGGTTGGGGCCCTAAGGCTTTTTAATTATTCTATCGACAGACATGTGTTTGGTGTCAATAGAAAGTAGAATCAATTCCCCAGAGCATGACAGTATCGCCGTACGAACTTGCAGTGAAAAATAATCTCAATTTCCGTAGGACAAGGTCACCATATTTCATGAAATGGTATGATTTATTCCATATTATATTATAATTAAGGTGCTATGGAACTTAACAGGAAATGACAAAACAGGAAGTGGCAATTTTTTTTGCATTTTTAGACATTTTTTGAACAAAGATAACAGAGTTCTGTTTTGACCTCCAGTCAATTCAACTAGTTCCAAATACAATTTACAGGTCCAGGATCACAATGTTCATGGTCAGAATGACCCTAAACATGATGAAATAACGTTTTCAGCCCTATGGAAATGTGACTGAAAAATAGCTAAAAGTAGGAGGGTAGGAAAGGTCACTGAACAGAATCTTTTGAAATTTTCAGAAAATGTGCCCAATATATTGCTCTAAATGATACAATCTTTGAAAAATGATTTTAAAAGCGATTTATTTTCCTTTTTATGACTGTCATTTTTGTTTAAGACAATTTTCTAAAAGTTCAAAGATTGTATCAGTTGGAGCATTATATTGGGCACATTTTCTGAAATATTCAAAAGATTCTGTTCAGTGACCTTTCCTAGCTCCTACTTTTACCTTTTTTTCAGTCACACTTTCAAAGGGCTAAAAAGGTTATTTCATCATGTTTAGGGTCATTCTGACCCTGCACATTGTGATCCTGGACCTGTAAATGGTATTTGGAACTAGTTGAATCGACTGGAGGTCAAAACACAACTCTGTTATCTTTGTTCAAAAAATGTCTAAAAATGCAAAAAAATTTATCACTTCCTGTTTTGTCATTTCCTGTTAAGGACAGGGTGCATGTTGGGAAATTTTCTGCATTCCTCAATTGAGTCACATGTTATTTTTCAAACATGAATAACTCCTTCCCCACATTGTCTACATCTTCCAAGTTTGCACAAAGAGTGCACTTCTGTGCCTAGAAAAGCCTTGTGAGAAGGTTTGTTTTGTAAAATGTATAAAAAATGAGAAAATTCAGTGAAAAAAATTTCTGAAAATTTTCTGATTTTTTTCACTGAATTTTCTTGTTTTTTATACACTTTATCAAAACATCTTTCTCACAAGTCTTTTCTAGGCACATAAGTGCACTCTTTGTGCAAAACTGGAAGATATAGACAATGTGGGGAAGGAGTGATTCTTGTTTGAAAAATAACATGTGACTCAATTGAGGAATGCAGAAAATTTCCCATCATGCACCCTATCCTTAACTTCCATAGCACCTTAATGTCAACAAAATCACTAATACGGAATGTTTGTTTGTTTGTATCCTTATATGCCCTATAATGCGGTCTAAACGGGACCATGTATATGTACATTAGTGTTACTTCGGTCCAAAGCCTTCTCTATATTCTGTAAGCTAGAGACTCGAGTAACATTAGTGCTCCTGTGTTGTCTGGAAACTTTGAAAGAAAATTTGGAAAAATAGAAAGTGTGAAATATCAGAATTTCCTGGAGTTCCCATTTACTCTACCAGATATTCTAAAAGAAGACAATGTATTGATACTTTCCTGAAAAAAGTAAGGCAATAGACACATGTCTTCATACTTTATTTTGTACCAGAAGATAACATTTAGCAATTTTTACCAAAATGTTACTTTCCAGCTGAACCTTGAAGCCAAGTCCGGTTCTAGCTAGATGGCCCAAATGCCCTAATACGTCACTTCCGCTGAATAGAAAAAAGTAGTATTCAAAAATAAATGTAGTCCCAACACAATTGTGATCATGACGAGTCAGTAAGCTAGTATGTAGGCACAGTTGTCATCTTTTTGCAATGACAACATGCCATTTCTTCTGAAAATGCGTTTATTTGGGTTATCTGAAGGAAAATTTCGAGTCAAGTGGCGCATTAATTTTGCCTTGATTTTTGTGAATTTCAATTTGTGTCGGCAGAGAGAGGGGGTAGTGTCACAATTGACCAATTATTTCAAAAAGTAGATGATTGGCCCCTATTGAGTTTTTTGTCAAGATGTAGCTTAGACATAGCTTTAGAACCTCAGATAGGCCAGTGAGGCCACATAAATCCATAACTCGAGATAAAAAGTCAGGCGTTTGCCCTTTTGCCCATTGACTAGTATGGTGACGTGAATTAGGGCAGTTTGGCCTATTAGTCACATGTGAGAGTGACCAAAATTTTTTAAAACTACTCAGAATCGCCCAGAATTGAAGTTTATTAGTACGAAACATATTCTGGACGTAGGCAAAAAGGGGAATTTTCATGAACAAATTTAAAGTTTTTGCTGAATCAGCAGTTTTCGCTTTTTACCCCAAAAACCACTGATTTTGACGATATTTGGCCATAATTTCGTCCTTAATGACCCCAAGATGTCATATGTTGTCGTAAATGGGGAAGCCAATGAGTTGCTGTTCATAATAAAGATTGAATTTTCCATCTTTTGGTTTCTAGTAAAAAATAAAGGTACATATCAGGGGTACAGTCAGAGATTGGTCAGTTAAGTGTCAATTTTTGATGTATTTGTCCACTCTGAATGACCAAATTCGAGCTAAAACTATCTCAAAAGTCCCAATTCTCTAGGCCAGAGTCAAATCTGATCAAATTTGCCATCATTTTTCAAATCAGGAGGTTGTTGAATGAAATAAAATATCAAAAAAATGATAATTTTAGTAAAATTTTGCCTAAGTTGGCCAAATTTGCCCAATTTTCTGGTTCATGGTTCAGTGATTTTGGCTAAAAATCGCAATATGCAATGAAATACTCAATTTCTTGACACAGCCAGTAGATTTCATGATGTAAATGAAAAACTAGTCAAATTTAAAGGAAAACCATTGGGTTCTTGGAAAAATGACCCCAGGGGTAATAAAGTAGCCATATTTTTCATAATTGCTGTCAGAATATTCTTAAACTGCACAAAACAACTTGAAAAACTCTAGTAAATTGGAAAAACGCAACTTCAAGCCAGAAATCATCCAACCATGTTGCTATTAGGCCCAAATGCCCTAATACGTCACTTCCGCTGAATAGAAAAAAGTAGTATTCAAAAATAAATGTAGTCCCAACACAATTGTGATCATGACGAGTCAGTAAGCTAGTATGTAGGCACAGTTGTCATCTTTTTGCAATGACAACATGCCATTTCTTCTGAAAATGCGTTTATTTGGGTTATCTGAAGGAAAATTTCGAGTCAAGTGGCGCATTAATTTTGCCTTGATTTTTGTGAATTTCAATTTGTGTCGGCAGAGAGAGGGGGTAGTGTCACAATTGACCAATTATTTCAAAAAGTAGATGATTGGCCCCTATTGAGTTTTTTGTCAAGATGTAGCTTAGACATAGCTTTAGAACCTCAGATAGGCCAGTGAGGCCACATAAATCCATAACTCGAGATAAAAAGTCAGGCGTTTGCCCTTTTGCCCATTGACTAGTATGGTGACGTGAATTAGGGCAGTTTGGCCGATCTACTGTAGCCATTGTCATGTTTGACCCACCTTTACGATTAATGTGATTGCAGGACCGACTCAAACTCGTTGATACCCAGGGAACACCTGTGCCACTGGAGTAGTTGCAGACTACAGCTAGCAGATTTTGTCAGAAATTGAAAAATCTTGTTTCTCCTGATCCGCCATTGCGCTCTTTACATCCAAGTCCGTATCACGTGACTGTCATGTGATATAAAAACAATAATGTGGCGCTAAATTTGAACAGAATTTACACAAGATACATCCCATTATGGCAAGTTTATGTCTTATTCGAACATGACTGTATTCACGCCCTCTATAAACTGTAAACAAAGTCAATGTTTACCTTCTTCTAAGGCCACTTTATCGTGTATTGGCTAGAGACTCACCTGTGATTTTATTCCAAGCAAATAAGCTTACTAAAAAAATATTCAGTATTAGGCCTAGGCCTGTAAAGACTTTCAAAAGCATGCTTCATTTTATTTGGTTTAGATCTTAGGCCAGAGGCTAAACATGTCTCTGGACCGCTGGCTAGGCCTAGTATTCCAAGTTTACGATGCGTGATCTTACCCTTCGTAATCGTTCGACTTTGCTTCTCAAAAGAGAGTTTCGTCTCCGGTAGTTTATAACTTGACTCTGTGCACAGCCGGGTACCTAAAGGTGATCAAAGCCGGCCAAGGCCCCGGCGCATAGGCTCAGTGGGCCGGGGCCTATGCTAGATCACAGTCATTTTTATTTTAAACTTAGTATAAGACATCGTAGGACTAACATAAGGGGTGGGGGCGGGGTCTTTTCACTGGCGTATCCAGAAGCTAGAAAGGGGGGGGGGGGGGGACATTTCGAGTCAAAGGCCTAAAAGGCCAATTTATGACCAATTGCATCCATTGCATGGCATTACCAGAATGGCAGGAACGGGGATTTAGTTTACGTTGAGATTCTAAAAAAGGTTATCAGAACACAATACATATTACGGAACAGTTTATCTATCGGCTTCTTGAATCTCTTTTACATATAGGCAGAATAAAATGAAACATTTTGAAACAGATAAAATAAGTTAACGCATAGAACTTAAGAATAAAACAGTGTACATAAATACGTTGTCAAATTATTTCGTCGCACTTAATTTCTTAGTCTCTGTCTCTTATCAAATCGTAAAAGAACAAAACATTCGAAACTTAATCACTGGGGATCAACTGGAAACGAAGACAGGCTGTCCTCGTATCAAAATGTACTCACTTCATCCGTTTGAATTAAATCTCCATTTCTCGAACAGAGTACGACACGTACAGTAAGTGAAAAATAAGTTTTGGTTTCAAAAGATGTACACGTCAACTTTACTAAATAAATGCCAACTGGCTTGTGAAAGCTTTTTCCCCTTTTATGAACGCCCACCCATTGGAAAAATGTTATTCCCTCTCGAAAGGCCCATGGGCCATAAAGAAAATTAAAATTTGTCCGGACCTCTATGTATGTTATGTAAACGCCACTTTGCAATGAGAATAACATAATTTAACTTTGTTTGTTTGAACATCTATATCACCTGTTTATGCCCTTGTACTTTCATCTTTTGACAGTTTTATTAAATACCAACCCATAAAGGAATCGTTCAGTTGATGAAATTTACTCTCAAACATGTCAAATACACCATTTAACAATGAAAGAGTGCTCGTTCATAGAGCTGTAAGCTGTAATTTTCGGACAACTGGGTTTCGGAGAATTGGGTTTCGGACAACTGGGTTGACCCCGTGTAGTACTAGTCAAACTGAATGGAGGTCAAAACAGAACTCTATTATGGTTTAAAAAATATTCTAAATCCAACATGGTTTTGTCACTTCCTGTTTTGTCATTTCCTGTCAAGCACATGGTACCTTAAAAAGCCCACTGATGTACTGCGTTGGTAATGCGCAGTGTTTACTGGACAGATGAAGCACGATGCATATATAATCCCTTCCATGCCCATAGCTAGGGAGGGGGGAGGGGTAGTTCAGGGAGCTGGCAAAAAAATCTTCCAAAATCACCATTTCTGAGCACTTTTCGACAGATTTTTGGCCAATGTTGTCAAGTGAGACCCCCCTGGACTTTTTAGAAAAGTGAACCCCCCTTTGTATTAAAGCTAGAGGCCTGTCTTCCAACATTCCAGTGAAAAATATCAATGGTTCATTAAAAGTGTTGCCTCTAATCACGTCCCATGCTCTAATCAACAATACCTTTACACTTATAGTGCTCACAAAATGAATTGAGGAATGGTGCCAAGGGAAGATTGCAGTACTAGAAAGCTAATCACAATAACTGACGATAATAGTTCCAAGACTGCTGACTCAGCATTTTTAGGAAGTGCAAATATGGATATTACAGCCACTAACACAAGTTCAATGTCAAACTTTTCCTCGTTATCAAATACTCCCGATTTGGTGAGCTGCAGGTCAGATGACGCATTGAGTACCAATAGCGACCATAAATTACCACCACCAGGGGGAGCCAGCAGAGACTCGAAGAATCGATCAAGTTTAACACAGTGCAATACTGCTAATAATAATTATAAACAAAATGTGCCAGTAACAGATGCAGGGTCTGTACCCTCAATAACTACCAATTTCCTACCACATATATATGCCATATGGTGTCTAATGTGAGATAATTGTAATTATAATGAAATGAAATACATGGTTGTGGTGTTATTTGTCAAATACCAGGGGCAGATTGTCCTCAATTGATATTCAATGTCCCATCTTCTAAATATGTGTTGACTTCTATGTATTTATATTTCACAAATATCTATCGCTACATGGTAATAGAGGCTTATACACCTGATATAATAATAATGAGTCCACAGAGTATTTATGAATTGGAAACCTGAAACACTTTTTTTATTGTTCTACTACGGATACAGTATATTGCACCACTACACAGTAACATTTGCCATAAATACTGTGATGATCCTCCCATACTTAGTACAATGTTATGTGATTATTCTGGAGGATAATCACTATGTTTAAATTGCTCTTACCTTTATTTATCAACTATTTAGCTAAATATTTCGTAATTCAGAAGTTTGTTCAGAATTTTCTTATTTCACTACTTCTTGTTCAGCCATGTTTGTTGATAGTCTCATTAAAAAAAAAGTTTATATGTGAATTTCTTACACTAGGCACATTATGTCAACTTTATATCTAAAGCATGTCATGTTATTGTTTATTTTAGCAATATTTAATGTTTAAGCGATTACATTTTATTTTGAGACTATAAAATTTTGGCTAGATTTGCATGAATCATCAGTTCTTCAGTGAGACTTTGAATCACCGGCAAGTAACAGGAATTAAACTTTCTCTCTGCATTTTGGATTTAATACACATACATATTGGATATATAACATCTTATTAGATACACTAACCTAGGTGAACGGGTTGGTAAGGTAATGGAATTACTTTTACTCTAAAACAGAGAAACTGTTTATACTTTTTCCTTGTTGGTGAATCTTCTGATTTCTCTCACTCATTTAGCTTCATTTACATTAGGATAAATTCATTTAAACCACGTTGAGGGTTATTATATCAGGTTCAAAAAGAATATTCAGGACCATTTTGTTTGATTACGACTTTGATTTCAATCTGCCTGGTCACGGCCTTGTCTCAAATGTGGCTGTACGTATTCATATAACAGATTGATTTGAACTTTCAGAACTTTATTTCTAATTAAACCTTAATAAGCATTGAGTGAGCTACGTGTACATTCTTGTGAGAAGCATTTCTGATTCATTTGAAATCTACAGATTGACCTACATGTATATTTAAGATTCAATCGCCAACTTGGTATTTTTGGCTTTATCATATAATTTGAGGGTAATATCTGCTTGCCAGTGTTGATTATTTGAGTCACTAGAATATTCATACTTAAAATCTACATTTTGAACTGAAAACTTGAGAGAACTACCAGCTATTTATTTCACTTTTATATATATTGTAACTGCCAACTTCTATATATCCCCAAGGTCGGGTTTGATTTGTCGTAATTAAGCTATGGCAATTTATTTGCTGCTACACTGTTAGTCTGTGTGACTCTTGAAGTAAGATATAACCCCCCCCCACAGCATGGTCTTGAAGAATTTGAACAAGCGTTGCATATTTAACTGTACCAATAATATAGAACATTTCCCGAGACGAGTTGGTTTGGAGTTTTTCTAAGGCAATCATCATATTTGCTGATACTCCGAGGGGTCTGTGATGCACCTGGTTAGTATCATCAGGCATGGACTAGTGACGATTTTTCAGTTGTCAAACAGCTTCACAGCAATAACCGACTTTTGAGTGCTCAATTCATTTCACTGGGCATATTTTATTTACTTTCCTTGAGATTGATTATACTAAAACTGGAAATTCTTAGGGAACCTAGCAATTGTTGTATTTTTTCACTACATTACCTAATTATTCAAAACATCCCCCGGGCAGGGTTTGATTTTGGGTAAGCAAGGGCAATTAATTTGCTGCTACTCTTATTAGTCCCAGGGAACTGAGCATAGCCAGTGTTGGTATTAATTTTCTAATATAAAGCCTAACAGTATTTTAAATCTTTGTGTACCCTTGTAATTACTGTGAGAAGATCATATTTGGAGTTTTGCATTACTGTCTTAAGTTTTTGTCCCATTTACTACACAACGACCACCTTTATATTTTCATTGCACTAATCAAAGCCCTGGTCTAAGTCAGCTCCCATGTGGTCTCTTTATCTGTATGACATGTAAACACCTTCTAAATACATTTGATCATGATCACTATCCCGAACAGGAGATACGCATGCCTGTATTCATTGTATTGATGCGTATCTGGCTATTTTAGCCCGTACAGAACCTTTCTAAGAATTTATCCTTTATTGTTTTTATGATGACAATACACCCCCTTTTGCCTGTATTGAACTAATTAGTCAGGTCATTTTACCAAGTGAGGAAATCTGGCAGGCAGAATTAAGATTATCAAGTTACGTTATAGTTTGCATTGAATTTCCTGGATAAACTGAGTGATACACTGATAAATTTCATGAGTGTATTTGAGTGAAAAGTTACTTTTTGTTTTATTGCATAACTGACGGTAAATCTATGTAGAATTGTGTAACCAAACACATGTATATATTTTGAAATAGAGTTGAATTATATTCATTTTATATAATTTCCCATTACATTCTCTGTTGTGTTGAATGATTGTGTACAGTGAATGTGGATATAGATCAGTGTTTAAAAAGTCCCCCATTCCCATATATTTTACAATCTATTATCAAGCTAGACCATTAAAAATCCAAAAACTTGATAGCTGGGTAACCCAGGACCACGCTACCCAACACCCTGGGTTGCCACAATACATAGAAGTCACATTTATTTAAAGATGAGACATTGAATATCAAACCAAAATCACCATAAGGTACACATATTCATACATACATACATGTACATGTATAGGTTTAATCAACCATTATCTGCTCTTGTATCATGAATTTGGAAAGGGCCTTCCCCCAAATACACTACCTTACATATCCGTTTTCATTCACTTCGTTTTTTTCTATATATTCAATATGACCAGGTCTAGTTGATTGAAATAAATGAATGCTCAAGTTTGCCAAAATACATTCAATATGGCCAATAATGGTCGTTGATTAAAAGACTTAAATGGCAAAAAACATTTGGTCACAATAACAATTTAAAATGAAATGAATTTGCCCAAAATATATTTGGATTGCACCAGACCTGACTTTATTAATCTTGTAATAGGATATAAATAGTACCCTATGACATGTCACATGCGGGTGTGGAGATACAAGGAATGCTCATCCTCATAATATGTTAAGTCATGAATCTTCTTACAGTATCATTTATTAAATAATTCATTTTCATATGTAATATGTTCATGTGCAAAATAAACTTCTTTGAAAAAGTTCTAATATACACAATATGTATGAATAACATGAATTCACTAAAACACATCAATTTATCTGTCCATCATGAACTGGGTAATCTGCAATACATATAATTCTATGGTCTCTATACCAATGAAACTGGGCCATTAGACATCTTTATTCAGAAATCTATCCATCAGGAGTCATTGGCATTTAGCTCTGGCCATGTAGGTCTTCTGAAAGTTCAGGAACATATGGTACGACACTACCTTCCTTGGTTATTATAACTGCATCCTTTAGTTGTTCACTACTCACACTTGAACCTTTGCTATGCGTGGCCACTGTAAGCTTATGTTTATTTCTAAGATGAAGGCGTAAGTTTCCCTTAATTTTGCAGCAGTGCTCACAAAGATGGCATTGGTATCTTTTGATGTTCTGAAAGAAATGAAAGAAAACCATGATGACAATTATTACACTACCCTACCACGTGACCACATTTAAAAATGATACAGGGTATAGTTAAGTTGCAAATGGAGCACTACCACGAGACGACATTTAAAAACAAGAACACAAACGTGTACAATATGTCCCCACCAATGGGTGATCCTGTCAAATGGATATCCTGATAATGAGTAGTCAAGACTTTATCGTTACAATTTGGGACGGAAAATGCAAAATGGCCACCTTAAAATTTACCCAGAATGCCAGAAAATTAGTCAGCTCTAGATTTTCATACTACGAACCAACCCTGAAAATTTGAAATTGATCCGTCAACAGTAAACAAAAAAATGCGTAAACAAGACTCTACAGACAAGATTTTAGGACGGAAAAATCCAAAATGGCTGTCTTGACATTTTCCCAGAATGCCAAAAAACTAATCAGTTCTAGATTTTCATACTAAGAATCATCCCTGAAAATTTGAAATTGATCTACCAAACGGTTCACCTGAAAACTCGTAGACAAGACTTTACAGACAAGATTTTAGGACGGAAAATCCAAAATGGCTGCCTTGACATTTATCCAGAATGAAAAAAAACTAATCAGTTCTAGATTTTAATACAAGGAATCATCCCTGAAAATTAGAAATTGATCTACCAAACAGTTCACCTGAAAACACATAGACAAGACTTTACAGGCAAGATTTTAGGACGGAAAATCCAAAATGGCTGCCTTGACATTTACCCAGAATGCCAAGAAACTAATCAGATCTAGATTGTCATACTAAGAATCATCCCTAAAAATTTGAAATTGATCCACCAAATGGTTCACCTGAAAACGCGTAGACAAGACTTTACAGACAAGATTTTAGGACGGAAAAATCCAAAATGGCTGCCTTGACATTTACCCAGAATGCCCAAAAACTAATCAGATCTAGATTTTCATACTAAGAATCATCCCTGAAAATTAGAAATTGATCTACCAAACGGTTCACCTGGAAATGCGTAGACAAGACTTTACAGACAAGATTTTAGGACAGAAAAATCCAAAATGGCCGACAATAAAAAAGTGATGATGAGTTTTTGCTGATTTCTTCTTACAAAATTATCACATATAACTACTGTTAACAATAACATAGGCTATTACAACAAAGTACACCTGAAATTATTTATAAAGCTACTAAATAGTTAAAGTATGAAAACTGAAAAACACCATTCAATATGATACAAAGTATTATCGCGCGCTAACTTTTCTTAAAACATTCAAAATGGCTGACATGACTGAGCTAACAGGTCCAAAACCTAATCAGATGTAGAATGAAGTGAGCTGAACAAGATATTAAAGTTTTAAAAGCAACTGTGAAGCCGTTTTTCTTAAAGTTTGCAGACAAGGATTTTAGCATTTGACTTCAAAATGGCCGACAGGAAGTAGGTATCGAGTTAAATTTTTTTCATCCACATCTGTATGCACTCATAAGTTATCCCTGAAAATTTGAAGGTGATATCTGTAGCTGTTTTGGAGAAAACTGCCGGACGTACGGACAGACGGACAGACAGACGGACAGACAGACGGACAGACAGACGGACGGACGGACGCGCCTAGGCCGACAATATGGCCCCACACTATGTGGTGGGGACATAATTATACAGGGTACAGTTAAGTTGCAAATGGAGCGGGTATTCTTTATCTTTGTCCATTCCCTTAATATTGGAGCAGTATTCACATAGATGGCATTGGTAATTTTTGATGTTCTGAAAGAAATGAAGGAAATGCATGAGGACAATTATACAGAACTCACAGTGCCTTGGCCATGATCTTCAAAGGGGCAGGGCAAATATAGTAAGAAGGGAAACATAGAAACAATATATAAAATTTTAAAATCCAACTGATGTTTTTATATTCGTAAACACTAGTGCATGTATAAATAAAATAGGTGTTGTGTCAATGTATTAAAAAATAATAATATTATATAATACGTTGATATTATCTGTAGAACTATATACAATATCTTTGATGTAGAGAAGCAGAAACCAGACAAACTGGTATAAAGTGTATCCTGTAGTGACACTGACGTTTGAACTTTTTAAAAAGCATTGTTTGGCTCTTTAAAATTGCTTTTATGTGAAGAAAACAATGTATGAAAATTGACTATGTATTAACATACCTTATGTGTGTGCATGACTCTAGTATGTTGAATTAGACTACTTTTCCTTGGTAGCAGTTTATCACAATGTTCACATTTGTAACCCTTCCCTAGGAAATAAAATTAATAGTATTAACACTAAATCAGACAATGAACAGGACATTGACAAAATAACATCACCAAATATCTGCTCAAAAGTTGAAGAACTGTAATGGTACCCTCTTTCATGTGTACTAATATGAAGGAAATGGAAATTCCTGAAATAGGAGATTCATCAAACAACCTCTACAATGTTACCAACAGCACTAAAACTTGGTATATCCTCTGAAATGTGTAGTGATAATATCAGACAAGCCATTTTCTTGGAGTTATGGTGAACAGATTTGTTGAACAGGGCACATGACATGAATGAGATCACACCATCAAAAAACCTTTAATATGGCCACCTGATAAACAAGATGGCCCCCAAAAGTTATCAGCTCTAAAACTTGGTATCCTTTATCATGTGTGCGAATTTGCAGAAAATCTGATGAGCGGTTTATCTACAATGGAGATGACAAGATTTATTGAAAAATCTTCAAAATGGCCACAAGAAAACAAGATGGCTCTCCAAATGTTAATTAGCTCTCGAACTTGATACGGTTGGAAGAAAAGGATGACACTATAAACGGATGACACTACAAAAGGATGACACTTGATTGAACTTTGCACACTCTTTGTTATGATGTGTTTGTTTACATCTTATATCAAGTTTGGCCAGGATTGTCCCACTTGCCTGTTCATAAAGTATCAAGTTTTGTCATGGAAATGTTTTGAAACATGCTTTATTCTAATTCTTCTTTAATCATATTTGACCTTAGCAGCCAGCTATGTTTGTGTTTCATGAAAAATAAATTCAAATCCAATATCAGTTTTCATATATTATTTGGAAGAACATACTTAAAGGTGGTCTCATTGTAGATACTAAAAGGTAAATATGGGGAAATGTTACTGCATGCTTGTGCAATTTGTTTAATTTAAACCAGCTTCAGCAAATATTCAATAATATTACGTAGAAAAAGTGATGAATTATATTTCAGGTTCATTTCACAAAGAAATAGTTCCGTTAGTTTATTTTTATTCTGTCTTTTTGATTTATTTTCCTCTCAATTTAACTATCTATTTTATCTATTTGCAAGGTTGACTCTAAAGATGAATCTATTACGTAGTATATTGGATGTGATGGCACCTTAAACTATTTAATCATACAATCTAAGTGCTTCATAATTTTTGGGGAATGGCCACACTTGACTTAATTTACATAATCGTTTGTAAGTTGAAGTAATTCATCAGTTCTTGAATATTTTCATCATGAAAAGCATGTCCCAAGAAAGGTCTGCATATTAATCTTGGTTTTAGTATAAGAACAACAATAAATTATATATAAACAAAATAAGAAAACATTAGATCTAATATAAGAGGTTTATTTAGATGAGATTCAGTAGTTCAAAAAGAGGATCTGTTCGGACCATTCTACTTATGATGAAATTGGAGACAGGAGGCAATTCTGCAAATTCACAAAGTCTGACAAGATATATTTGGAAACTCCATTGGCCTTCTTATGGGGAAACACATTTTGTTATCCTACCAAATGAAGTTTGCATGGATATAGAGAAGCCATTTGTCCATTCGTTTGTTTGTCCGAGGGATTACAAAATACCAGTTGATGGATTTGATTCATTTTTGATTTTGATTCAATTTTATAGGCTTATGCCTTATAGGTGTAGGACCTCTGTCAAAAGGGAATTTCAATATGGCTGCTCAATTTAAAATGGCCATCATTTTTTTGTAAAATTGTAACTTTTATTATTTTATAATTGTAACTCATATACTACAATAGTTGATTTGGTTCCAATTTTATATGCTGATGCCGATGGATGATGGGGCTCTTCTCAGGAAGAGATTTTCAAAATGGCCACCATTTTCATAAAAATATTATCTTTGATAACTTAAACACTAGTGGATAGATTCGATTCACATTTTATATGCTGAAGCCTACATGGCCTAGGGACGCAGGAGCTTCGCTGGAGAAGAAATATGGCAGCTGAATTTTAAAAGGGCCACCATTTTTTCATAGAAGAAAGTAATCCTTGATTATTTAATACAATGGCCACCATTTTTCATAAAAGAATGTAATACTTGATTACTTAATACAAGTTCACTGATTTGGTTCAAATTTTATATACTGATGCTGAGGACAAAGGACATCTGCTCAATTTCAAAATGGCTTTTGATTATGACAGTTTGGGATTCATAGACTTGTAGCTATTTTTTGCATTAACTACCATGGCAGATCATTGAATTTCTCAAATTACAATATGCATTCATAATAATAACTGTACAATGATGATAGTCTTTTTCAACTCAACCCCTAATGTATCTTAGCTCCTATAATGCTTCCTCTTGCTTTATTCTCATTTTCATCATTTGCATAAGTGAAAGCTAATTTCTTATATTTAGCAAAGTATTTGGTCCAAAGGGATTATGAAATATAAAAATCATGCATTGTCATGTATTTCTCAACAATTTACAAGTGTCATCCTTTTATGGTGTAATCTATAATATAAAAATCATGCATTGTCATGTTTTTCTCAACAATTTACAAGTGACATCCTTTTCTACTAGTGTCATCCTTTTGTGGTGTCATCCTTTTCTTCCAACCGAACTTGATATCCTCTATCATGTGTGCGAACTTGGAAAAAATCTGATGAGCAGTTTTCCTAAAATGGCGATGACAAGATTTATCAAAAAACTTCAAAATGGCCGGCTCTAGAACTTGATATCTTCTATGATGTGTGCGAATTTGGAGATAATCTGATGAGCGGTTTTCCTGATATGGCGATGACAAGATTTCAAATGCTTTATGTCATTTTGTTCAGTATCAGGCCTACTTAGGATTTTCATTCTATGTGTATAACATGCCTTTGTCCAAAGTAACTCTCAAAACTTTTCCAAGTCCATCAGCAGTATTCTACCGATTTCAATGAGGTAGTCTTCAAGGAGTTAATCAGAGAACTTGGTGTCCTCCAACATGTACATGTATTGTATGGCGATGAAAAGATTAGTCAAAAACTTCATAAATTGATGCCAGAAAACAAAATGGCTGTAACTAAATGACAAGGTGTGTTTCGGAGAGCACTCTGTCATGGGTTTGTTTAATCTGCCGCCCCCACCTCGGTGGATTTCCACCTACCTACCATACCATTAGGGTCTGATTTTTCAATTTTTCTCACAATAATTATATCCATGTTAACAATGAGTTAACAATGGTTTATCCAATACTGCAATAGTAGGCTGCATGTTGGTCTCTCCGATATATTTTCAAATGGATAAGCTAAGATCAGAGAAGATAGGTAGACTAATGATTTGGGCTTGCCCCATAACTGCATATAGACTGTGAAGACCAAGGATTATGTCTAGCGAAAGACCAAGTTGTATTGCCATTTTTTTGTTAGGGAAAATCAGGAACTTAGTTGACCATATGTTGATTGAGTTGTCTGTTCACTTCGAAAGACACAATAAAAAATCATGGTATCAACTTTGGTTTGTTTTCCAATATTAGACACCACCAACGCCAAAAGGTAGCAAATCCCATCCAACAGCAATGGCTGGCACAAAAGAAAGGTCACCATTTTCAAAATGGTTGCTCACTAGCCAAGTTGTCATTAGAAAAAGTAATATGCTTTAAGAAGGCACATATAAAAAAATTTCAAAAAATCACACACACGTACATGTAAATGGTGGCCATTTTTTATAATGGCCGCCTACTACCCAAAATGTCATAAGACGGTGTGCTATGCTTATGAGTTTTCACATATCAAAATCGCTCCACTACTTTTCAAGTTACAGCAAAAATCGTAAAATGACATGTACAGGCAGCCATTTTTCAAGATGGCTGCCATGTATTTCTTATATATTTACATTTCTAGCTTAATTAATGTCCTACATAACTTTTTTACATTTAAAACATATTGCTATTACAGTTTCATATACAGTGCCTAAATAACTGTGAAAGCGGCACTAAAATGGCTGCCATTCTTTAACAAGCAGCCATTTTGAAAATCGAGCAGAGCTTGTACTCCCATAGGGCACACGTGTACAAAATATGAACAAAATCGGGCAAACGGTATTTGAGTTATCGCCCGGACAGACAGACGGGCGGAGGCGTTCCCTATATCCCTATGATTTGGCACCAATTTCAATAAGTCATCATAAAGTAGACAAGGGCAACACAAAGGCAACATCCAATAGTAGGCTGCACGTTGGTCTCTCTGATACATATTTTCACATGGATAAGCTAAGAACAAGGATTAATAGTCTAGCGTAAGACCAAATTGTGTTGCCATTTTTTTGTAAGGGAAATCATGCAATTAGTTTTAACTAACCATATATGTTGATCGAGTAGTCTGTTCACTTTGAAAGATACAATAAAAAATCATTGTATAAATTCGGTTCAATCTTCCAATAATATGAAAATATAAACAATAGGGGAGACCAGGGTAAAATGGGACGCTCGATTTTCTTTTGGTAAATTATCCTGGCAATGACCTGTCTGCCTGTAGAGATGATTTGGCGCCAATTTCAATAAATCATCTTAAAGTATAGACCAGGGCACCATAAAGCAAGATTCCATTTTACTTGAGCTTTAGTAAAAATGGCAGCATCTGTCATTGATGTATCTCATCAAAGGTCGCTACATCGTACACCATCTAGGGAAATTGCAGATGCTAGAAACACAATCTGACCAACTGTTTAACTTTTAGACCCACTTAATCTTAACACTTTCAATAACTAATGTAAATTGCCTTTATATCACGAGAACACACAGAAAGAAAAATAAATTAAAACTTTTTTTAATTGGACAGATAAGACAGGTGGACACGTGGCGACTGACAGGCTACACACGTTGACATCACCACTGTTTACCAGAGTTATTTCTCGTTGAAAAGGTGTTCTGTTTTGCCCTGGTCTCCCCTACATCACGCACTGTACTTCTGAAATACAAATGAACAACCTACTATTGGATTATGATAAACTTGAAATAGATTCTCGCCGAAATTAAAATCACACCCTGCATGGTTGGTGGGTAGGTGGAAATCCACCTAGGTAGGGGCGGCAGATTAAACAAGCCCCTCTGTCATGCCTGTGTTTTACTGTTTAATAAGCACTGCTGATTACCTTCATGGTATGTTCTGTAATGAATTTCCTTAGAATAGAAACAGGTAAATTTCTTCCCACAGACTTCACATGAGTATTGCTTAATTCCTTGCTTTTCATGTCGACGTTCGTGGAACCTGACAGTGCCTCGGGAAATATCCCAAAAACTGCAGCGATTGCATTGATATCTACAAAGCACAAATACATCGGGAATCAGGATTAGATTTAACTAGTACATGTACATGTAGGTCATGCAATTGAAGGAAATAAGTCATCTAAAGTCTTACCTATTTTTCAGTGCTGGCTAAGCATGAATAGAGATACATGTACATTTACCAAATCCATACATAAAATGTAACATTCTACCATTATGTTGCTTTCAGGGTTAATATGCTGATAAAAATTTACATAGAACCAAACCTGTGATAACCCTTTGGTAGTGGAATTTTGTGAACCTTAGATTCGTGCTGCACCAAACGACATCTTTCTCTAAAGTCTTTCCCACAAGCTTGACAAATATTGGGAACATTTGAAACCAATTTGGTTCTTCTCTTTTCTGCAGCCCCCTCATCATGGGTTTTCTTGTAGTGCCACTACAATTTCAATAGACACTTATAATTGACTTCATTTAAAGTCAGTTTTTATGTAAAGAACATTGTTATAACCCAATTTACTGCCAAGTGACTACAACCCCTTAGGAAAAATGTTATGGGTATTACCCATTGTGTTATCCATAATAATGGTCATTCCTGGTGTTATTTATGGTTTATATGTACATAACAATGTTACCCATAGTGTTACCCATAACCCATAGTTACGGTTAAAACCCACATATTATTACAATAATAAACACATAATTTAACATAAATATTTCACTACGTTCTCGAAAACGGGCTTAAACTGTGCACGAACGGATTTGACGTACTAAGAACCCACTAAAAACCGTTTGGGATCTGTTTACAAACTTCATGAAACTACTAGAACGAGTAGGTCCTCCAGCACTTAGAGCATGCTCAAAATTTCCTGGTGATCGTCAAAACGTTGCCGAATCGGTTTTAAACTGTGTGCGAACTGAATGAACGTAGCTACACCGTTCTACGGTCTGTTTCGAACTTTATGGACTTTTCCGGACGGGGTATGTGATTTAGTATTTTGAATCGATTAGTCAAAATTCGATGGCGACCATACCGTTCTGTAATCAGGTCATGATGACCTTCTAGACTAAGGGACAGTTTATACTACGTTGCACACCGACGTGGTGCTACCTGAACGAACTGCGAATGAGATGGACGTATTGAAGACTGTTTATGAACGAAGTAGCTAATTATTTTAGACATATATCCCGACCGCAGCCAGATTGAGCCCGTTTTACGACATTTTCGTAGGACTGGCAAGAACGGGTAAGAACTAGTTTGGTGTGATAGGGGGGTTAGTCTCTGTCTCTTATCAAATCGTAAAAGAACAAAACATTCCAAACTTAATCACTTGGGATTTATTTTTCGGCATTCCTTTCAGGCATTTGTTTTTTATGTTCTTCTCCTAAAATGTATTTGTCTGACAATAATCAGAGAAAGTGCGTATACGTATAAATTTGCGTAAAATATTCTGCCACGCAAACAAACGGATGTGACTTCAATTTCTTGTCTGTCTGAGGACGTATTGGGAACGAGGTAGAATTAAAGAATTCTTATGAACGAGTCATGCAAGATACTACAACTAGTAAAGTAATGTATTGGATAAGTTAATTTCTGATGGATCTGGATAAAATATATTTCAAAACTTTGTCAACACTAGATAGGCAGATATAGAATCTTGTGATATATTTGGCTATCATGCGTTTAAAATACGTTCCTAAAACTATGAAGACGTTATGTGAGAAATATTGCTATTGTACGTTCGAAAAGTATATGGTTGTATTTTGTAGTTCTCAAGTTACCCATGAACTTTCGTGGGCTAAACATTAAATAATTAACGTCTTGACTTAGCATATTTAGCGTAATTTTGCAATGATATTCAAATGTTATGCTGTCGTGATTCGCAGAGGTTGCGACAAGATTCGTTTTAAGAAATTGTATTTTTTAGATAAGATCCTCTAATTTTCGTAGAACTGGGTTTCGGACAACTGGGTTTCGGAAAACTGGGTTTCGGAAAACTGGGTTTCGGAGAATTGGGTTTCGGACAACTGGGTTTCGGACAACTGGGTTGACCCCGTGTAATCCAATGGGAAACAACCCGGATGTAGATGAAGTTGAACCATACATGAGAGCTCTTCAAACGGGAGGTAACTCAACCGAACTAAAGTAAACGTTATCGCGTATTGGAGTATTGGCCACACATATATACATACTTTTTCTCTTCTCTTAGTCAGGAAGGTCTTCATACAAGAAGGCATGCGGCAGGGAACTGGTTCCCTCCTGCGATGTGCTTCTAAGCAGTCTTCTACAGCAGTCTTTGAAAAATACCTTTGACCACATTCCTGAAATAATTTAATCAATTAAAACATAAGTAGATAACAGCAACACCAAAGCGTAGCAATCCTACCTAACAACTAATGACGGCTTTGTATAAATAAAATAGTACCGTGGGTACTGGGCTCACATGGTGTTGCTCAAAAATGAAAGATGGCTAAAATGTCAGAAAATAAAAAATGATATAAGTTTTTGCTGAATTTTTGTAACAAATTATTTCAAGCCACTTGCCACTATTTGGACTGACTGAGAGACAGATGGACAAATCGATGTAAAAGTGTGCGCCTGGCCCAGCTACGTATAGCACAGAGTTTATACTGCACTGGCGGATTAGACTAGTTCATTTTTTATATGTGTGTGAAAGCTTTCTCTTATTTGCGTTTTTTCGTTTAGTACAGTTTTGTTATAATTGCCGAGGTCATATAACCGGGATAAAACAATGATTATCGTTGACTGCCCACACACAAAACATACGTTGAGTGAACAGTGTTATTACAAACAACAGGCTTTAGAATACAAAGCGTAGTGTGATAATAAGCTGTACACTACCACTGCTGCATGTACATATTACTAATTAACTAGGGCTCCCAAAGAGTGGATAGGGAGGTTGTGTTTGTCACTTTTAAATTTTACATTTCAAAATTGTCATTTTACATGTCATAATTTGTTGGTTTCATTCGTTTAGCCAATCAAAACATTGTAAAACAATAAATTGTCTGTTACGTACAATCAATTTTGTTCAGTTTTGATTAGTTGTCAAAATAAAGTTACGTTCATCTGAATCCATGTATCAAAACAAAAATCCTATTTTCACTTCAAAATACTTCAGTGAGATGAAGGCTCGGAATTGTCACATGCAATAACTTATTGTCGTATTCGTTATTTTATGTTCTCGATAGTAGCATTTAGTCGCACATTTGATGCCAGGTCACCTTGTCGCGTACCTCTTGGGGAACCCAACATTTATGTGTGTACTCATGGAAGTAAATTCCACGGAGTAGCCGAGAGCCACAAACTTTTCAACAGGTTCGAAATGACCAATTTCTCTCATATATACTCTAAATATTTTATTATTTAGCACCTACAAAGTATTGCTAATAACCATATGTAATTTCAATAAGGAAACTTATCTGGCTACATATAAATTCAATATCAACACTAGCTGTTCTCTCAACACGTCCTGGCTTACCTTGTGGTGACAAACCCTGGATTTTCGCTATTTATAGTTTATCAACACCTGGACGCATGCGCATTTTATAGTTTATCGGGCACTTTAAGTAAAATGGCTGAAAATAATAAGGCCTTAACAGATAATCAAAAGTATATTTTGAAATGTGTCTTTGATCTAACAATCATTATTTAAAGAGCCCATTTGGATTACTTGTGAAATATATATTATAGGATCAATATTATATGATCTGATTCAAAAAGATTTTCAAATTCATAAACATTTCAGACAGAAGTGTGAATAAGATTTAATATACATTGTATTCATGTTCTACATACCCTTATAATAACGTTGACCGAATTTCATGGTAGTATTCACACCATTCAAGTTGTAATTCTCAATTTTATGAGAGAAATATCTCTCACATGTTTTCTTTTTCCACCATCTTGAAATTAAATGTAAGGGGTTAGTATTTCTAAATCATGGGCCTAATTTACGACTAATTATCATCATAATCATCCTATATGTTAACTATCAACCAATAATCTACTTCAGAACAAAAAAGTTTAAATTTACCACTTACTATCACCCTCAAACATTTCCATCTTAATTATCAACTAAAAATCATAAATCAGCATTATTGTAAGTTAATCTACGTTGAACTTGCTACTGATAATTAGGCCAAAATTATCTATGATTTAATTAATGCTTAACTTTAATTCCAATTGCCAGCAGAATTGTTGATAATTAGGTGTAAATTAGTTGGTAATAAGTTGGTAATTAGTTTTATTTTTGCAATCATGCAGTCATCATGACCAATATATCCCACCGATGGTGTGATGAATACAGGCCGTCCATTTGTCCTGCAATTTGCATATTTGTCACGCATTTGCTGGATCGGAAAATTTTAAGTCACGCCAGTTATTTTTGCGTGACAAGTGTCATGCAAATACACATTTTACTTGATTATGGTCAAGCAAAAATATTCCTGTAGAAAAACTTCAAAAAAGTGATCGCCAATGCAGCACAAAACTGAACACCAAAAAAAACAAAAGCATTTCGTTGGGACTTTTCACGCAGATATCATACATGTCACGTATTTTTCTCTAAACATTTCGCATCTACCCCCTACATGCAATAAAATTTGAACCAAGGTGCTCAAATGCATCCGTCAAACCATTTGGCTGAAAACCTGTAGACAAGCCTTGACAAACAAGATTTAGGACGTAGAATCCAAAATGGCCGCCTTAACTTTTACCCAGAATGCCGAAAAACGAATCAGTTTCAAACAGTTTGGCTGGAAACTGTAGACAAGCCTCGACAGACAAGATTTTAGGACGGAAAATCCAAAATGGCCACCTTAACATTTATCAGACAAGATTTTAAGACGGAAAATCCAAAATGGTCACCTTAACATTTACCCAGAATGTCGAAAAACGAATGAGTTATAAACTTTCATAGGTATAAACATCCCTGAAAATTTCAAATGAATCCCTCAAACGGTTTGGCTGGAAACCTGTAGACAAGCCTTCAAAGACACAATTTTAGGACGAAAAATCCATTTAGGACGAAAAATCCAAAATGGCCGCCTTAACATTTACCAAAAATGCCGAAAAACTAATGAGTTATAAACGTTCATAGGTAGAAACATCCCTGAAAATTTCGAATGAATCCCTCAAACGGTTTGGCTGGAAACCTGTAGACAAGCCTTCACAGACACGATTTTAGGACGAAAAATCCAAAATGGCCACCTTAACATTTACCAAGAATGCCGAAAAACTAATCAGTTCTAAACTTTTATAGGTAGAAACATCCCTGAGAATTTTAAACGGTTTGGCTGGAAACCTGTAGACAAGCCTTGACAAACAAGATTTTAGGACAGAAAATCCAAAATGGCGGTCTTAACATTTATCAAGAATGTCAAAGAAACATCCCTGAGAATTTCAAATGAATCCCTCAAACGGTTTGGCTGGAAACCTGTGGCAAGCCTTGACAGACAATATTTTAGGACAGAAAAAAACTAATCAGTTCTAAACTTTCATAGGTAGAAACATCCCTGAGAATTTCAAATGAATCCCTCAAAAGGTTTGGCTGGAAACCTGTAGACAAGCCTTGACAGACAAGATTTTAGGACGGAAAATCCAAAATGGCCGCCTTAACATTTACCCAGAATGCCGAAAAACTAATCAGTTCTAAACTTTCATATGTAGAAACATCCCTGAGAATTTCAAAATGAATCCCTCAAACAGTTTGACTGGAAACCTGTAGGCAAAATTATTCGGGACGCCCGCCCGTCCGCCCAACTGCCCGGCAAACTGATTACAATATAGCACCTTAGGGTGCGATAAAAATAAATAAGCATAAATCTACATGTAAAAATACATCTAAAAATAGGGTTTCGAAAATTGTTTATCAACTTTGAAAATTTTATATTTTTTTTGAAAATGTGACTTCTAGTTCGGGTTGATTCCCCATAGACCCCATATTACAAAATCACAAAAAGTGAAATATCCTTTCTTGTATTGGACATATAACATTTTCTTTTACTGGACATACTTTAATTTGCATAACTATTCGACACATTAGGACTTTATGAAAATTGAACCACTAAAACTGATGTAATTTAAGTTAGAGGGAACTTTCTACTATACCCGCCATGCTATCCGACCCAAGCGAGCCACCTGGTGGTGAAACTGGTAACTGCCTACTCGCATTTGCGTTATTGCAAGGTTTGCCAAGTTCTGACTTCAAGTCGAGTTGGAGCAAGTCCCACGCACCACTAGTAATTTCATTGTGTAAAAATCCTTTTTTCAAATGCTTCTCCGATTGGGCAATTATAATTTGGAAGCACTCAAAAAGAAAGCTATGGGCTTTTAATGTGGGAATTTCTTTTATTTACTCCTCTTTCAAATTACACACATAGGAGTATCATTTAGAAACCCTTATAAAAAAAACAACCATTTTTTCCGAAATTCAATGGTTTCATTGCATATCATGTAACCATCATTTCAACCTTGAAGATCAAAGGAAAAATCATTATATCAACCATTCAAAACCATTGCGCAACCATTACTTCACCCAATCTTTTCAACCCTTTTTACATAAAGTTGCACAACCATTACCCATTGAAATTAACAGTTACAATTGATTGCAACCATTGATTGGGAACTGCAACTGTTGCAACCATTAATCCTCGAAATGAATGCTCATTGGCAGACCTGTAGCCAGCTTTTGCACTTTTGACAAAACAAGGGGATTCATATTTTATAACTATGGCCAAAAATTGGCCAAAATCACTTGAAAAGTCCTCAATATGGTGAAAAACTGCATGAATTTGAAATAATGTTGGGCTATGGCTATGTTGATATTACTGTATTAGTATGTTTTTTTAAGTAAGCATGTCTGTAGTCTGCAGTCTATCACACTCTTCTCTCATTAAAGAATTTTTTTTGGACTTTGTGTGTCTCGGATCTTTTTCTCAATGACAAGTCTGACGTCACTTCCAGAACAACAAAAAACATACACTTATTTGTATATATCATTTAATCTAATCCCTAGGATATTAAACACTTATTTCTATGACTATTGCAATCACTTATCAGGTATCGTTTTTAAGGAGAATGAAAAATGCAGAAATCTTGTAAGAAAATAAGGATTCTTTTTTGTTTCAATTCAATATTGTTTAATTTTGCTGGCTTATTTTCATTAAGAAAATTGTAGAAATACAAATTAAGATTTCACATTATTGAATTCAGATAAGGTACAAAGACAGAGCAGCAACAGTTGCACAGACAGAGCGGCAACGGTTGAAATGCTAATTATAACCATTGAAAAGCCAATTATAACCATTGAAATGCTAATTATTACCCTTGAACAGCCAATTAGATAAAGTTCTGTTTTGATAGTTTAACAAAATCATTACAAATTAATTCTTTTTTAAGAATTATTTTTTGTCTGAATAATTTATTTTTGAATTCCCCCTACCATAATAATGACACAATCAAAGTAAATTAGATGAGATTCACATTAAGATTTTTGAAGCGACAGCTATGGTCTTGATGAATTCTCTTTTTTCTAGCGATAGTTAACTTAAGTTCATAATACAATTTTGAGACATATCCAACTTCAAGTTCATGCTCATAGGCATAAAACCATGTCTAGTAAAAGGAAATATCATCTATTCAAGTGTTTAAGATATTTCCCTTTCAGTCATTATGATTAAAGTTTAATCCAATAGTAATTAATATTTTTTGATTTGTAAATGATATTGAAGAAAAGACAATCAATCCGGCTCTTGCCTAATCCAAAGCATAAATACAAGGATGTTGATGTTTCAAAATCATGTTTTGGAAACATTTTCAGTTTAATCTACTTAATTGTTGTAATAAGACTTCTTTGATATTGAAGAAGCAGTTATTTTGGCACTAGCTTAATCCAAATCATAAATAAGAGGCAGGAAATACTATCTTTGATGTTTCATAATATGTATGTATGTACTTTTAGTCAGAAACATTTTTTTGTTGAGATAGGAGAAAAACAGAAAATTTCCACAGAACGTTTTGTTGTATTGTTCAGTAAAACTGAATGAATCAAGAAGGAATTTCCAAATAAACTACAAGAATGACCAGGGCCAAAAATGAATACACTTGTTTCTCTTCAATAAAATAGAAACACTATCTCTATGAACATGAACTTGAAGTGATATTCAGTACCAAAAATGAATAAACCTTATTCTTTATAGAAATAATATGCCTATGAGAGGGGGGGGGTGTATAGGGATATTGTATATCGTATAAGAGGGTGAAAATTTATTGTATATTGTATAACAGGGGGCAAATTTTATCGTATATGGTATAAAAATATGGTATATGGTATAAAAGAAAATATATGGTATATTGTATCTCAAGGCACCAGAAGGTTCATTATGTATTTAAAAAAGAATTTGGGCCCTCGGAAGGCTAATTATGAAGAAATTGTGCCCTGAAAATCTCCATTGTGCTGACTTTTTACTGTCATCGTGTTGGAAAACATGGAAGAGTAGTCTCTCTAATTGGTTCCACATTCCATGTCGATCAATAAGTTTTGAGAAAATCACTCTCAAAGGTTTTGCCATTTTCATTCAAATTTTCACAGGAGGTGTTAAATACAGTGTCGAATAAGAATGCCAAATGTCATTGACTCTTCTCAACTTTGATGAAAAAAATGGTCACTATAGCTACTTGTGTTTCGGGGTATTTGGGATAAATCATTAAAATGTTTGAGTATAAAGGGTTCATACAGCGTATGTTTTAATTCAAGCATCATAAGATATTCTTATATTGCAAAAGGTGTTTATTTGGTCTTAAAACTAATCAAAGAATTGACCACGGAAGGTATCGCAACTGATTTCAAACTGTCATGTTCGATTTCGGCTATCGATTGGGGATTTGAACAGGTGCATGTGTTAGGTCAATGCATTAACCAAATCAAGCACTCATAGAGGTGACAAAATGATTTGGACTTTGAGACAGGGAAGGTGCAAACACCCCATAAACGTTTTTCTGAAATGTTGCCCTTTTCACATATGTTTTTTCAATGTTTGGTGCATCAATATGTTGCATTTGTAGACATAGTCAACCAATTTAAAGGAAATATGATTCATTTGGATAAAGTGGAAAACAATATTCCTTATGTTATTTCCACATAGGGAAAACTCATGTGATATATAAATGTTTTCAGCTTAATTTTAGTCACCCAAAAGTGATATCTTAAAAACCTCAGCATGAATCATATTGTCAAGATGTTAACCGTGTCTCAAAACACAACATGTTAATGCAACAAATATTGAAAAAACAGATGTTTGAAGGACTGGAAATCAGGACATTACAGAAAAACATGTTGATTGGGTGTTTGCACCCTCCCTGTCTTAAAGTCCAAATTATTTTATCATCTCTTTGGCTGCTTGTACTGGAGTTAATGATGGCCTAACACATGCAATTGTTAAAATCCTCAGAAAATAGCCAAAATCCAACATGTGACTGAAATCTGTTGCAATACCGTCCATGGTCCTTTAAAAGAAGGTTATTTCGAGTTACATAGAGTAGTTTTCATTCTCATCAACACATCTTTGCCTTGAAATCATACGTGAAACAAGTGGTTTGACCTTTATGGAAATTTGCTTAATTTTGACACACTTTTGTTTGACTTATACTGTTTTTAAGGCTGCCTTATCTGAAACCCTGAAGCGTTTCTGTTTCAAATGATCAAACAATCAAGTCTCATCTTGCCTTTATTTCAAACTCTAGTCCAGACTCGAGTCCAATCAAAAATGAATTATCTACATGGAAGTCCTTTAATAATTGTTTTTGAAACTGTTTTCAATACTTAATATTCTCCAGGTGACTGTCTTACAAAATTATTGTGCATTGTGAATCTTCACTATCTTTCTGATAGTGTTATATAATGTACATATTTACCTCAGCAAACTTTATTTTCAGAGAACACATGATGAATCTTTTATTCCACATTCTCAATTTTGCATCAATTATGTTTCAAGAAATCCCCCGACTCCCTATGAAGGATTCCATTGATATTAAAATAAATTATGGGAAAGTAGGTCATAAGAAAGAGGTACAGTGAGTTCCATCCATTCCAATGATGCGATTTTTGTGCTAATTTTGAATATTCTTATGGCACTTTTACAGATACTGGCTTTAGCCAATTGCAGAGATGTCAAGTTAATGTTTTGGTCAAAGTAGATTGTGAAATCAATAAAGAGAAGTCAAGAATCTTATACCATAAATATGTTTTACATCAACTTGTTTACCTGAAAATAAAAAGAAGCCACAGAATTTCTGAACATGCGGATCTACCCGAATGTAATGTCTCAGTCATAATTTAATAAATGAAATCATTGTGGTAAATATGTGGAGCCTATGTGCCTTATAATATACTCCTCAAAAAAAGTTAAGGACCTCATAGGTTTACATGTTAACCCCCATATTTGATTAATGACTGTTTTCTGCGGGGAACAAAAGAAATCCCAATAAAGTAAATAGATCTGTATTTTGATTCTATTCCCTAAAAAGTCCGCAACATTTCAATGTTATATCTCCATTACATTCTGTCAGAATTTGATGTCAAAATTGATGAATTTCATGAAATGTAACAAAAATGGCAGATCCCATGTTAAACAAATGGGGAATGGTTGGGTTGCCATAAGTCATATGAGGAACGATCCATCCATCCGATTGCTCTCAAAATTGAGATTGTAAGAGATAATTAAATTTACTAAATTGTCTACTTGACAAAATATGATTTAATTGTCCAGGCTTTACAAAAGTTAATGGTTTCAAATTCAATAATTTTTTAATGAATTTCTTATTGAAATAACACAGGTGGTTCAGTGAGGTGGTCAAAATTACTTTAACGCTCCGTATCGCTAATTTTAACAACATAAGCGAGACATTTAGCATGTAAAATCATTCAATTTTCTACTTAGAAAGTATTTTTAATAAATGTTTTGCTGAATAGATATTCCAAAATCTGAGTTGCCCCTAAGCCACCATTCCCCATTTGTTTAACATGGGATCTGCCATTTTTGTTGCATTTCATGAAATTCATCAATTTTGACATCAAATTTTGACAGAATGTAATGGAGATATAACATTGGAACATTGCGGACTTTTTAGGGAATAGAATCAAAATACAGATTTATTTACTTTATTGGGATTTCTTTTGTTCCCCGCTTAGAAAACAGTCGTTAAACAAATATGGGGGTTAACATGTAAACCTATGAGGTCCTTAATACATTTACTGTAGTACATGGATTCGCGCCTAACATTTATTTCCTTATAAATATCAAATATTCGATCAACAGCAGTTTCAAAATTATCGTATATTGTATTTCACCTAAACTTTTGTAAAATATTGTATATGGTATAAGAGCTGTGAAAAATATTGTATATGGTGAAAAAATATTGTATATGGTATAAGAGAGCTGAAAATATTGTATATGGATTTCCAAGACCCCCTATACACCCCCCCCATGAGAATGAACTTGAAGTCATATCCAGTGCCAAAAATGAATAAACCTTATTCTCTTCAATTAATTATAAATAAAATGCCCATAAACATGAACTACTGTATTTTGAAACATAATAATGCATTCAATTTACTTGTATGTTCTTCATGTTTCAAATTGTCTCATTCTTGAACTAAATAATTTCCACAATATGGTTGAAAATAGTTGCAACCATTTGGTAAAATGCAACTTAAACAATCAATGGTTTGTAATGGTTGCAAATGATTCCATAATTTCAATGATATGCAACCAAAGTTTTCAACCAAATTTTAATGGTTGCAATGTAATGGTTGGAAACCATTTCAATTGGTTGCAGCAATGGTTATGCAATGATTTGTAATGGTTGCGCAATGGATTTTAACGGTTGAAATTCGGAAAAAATGGTTGTTTTTTTCCTAAGGGAACTCCAGTACAAATTACCAGGAAAATAAATGCAAAAAATGAAAGTACCTCGCATTGGAATGTTGGTTTCTGGAATTTTCGTTTCTTGATTTCTGGTCTTATAATGTGATCTTGTTTGTGTCTAATCCTGATGTGCCCATTCAAATATATTTTTCCGACAGTAGCATAAGTACAATTGGGTTCCTGCAAACAAAATATATAAAATCAATGGTATAAATAGAGGATAATTAATCAAAAGGAAAGCAAATAATTTTATTCTAAGAGGAACAATTACAACTAGACAACAGCAACGCCAAAGCATAGCAAATCCCATCGAACAGCCATTGCTGGCATTTTTACAAACAAAGTATATAGCAAAAACAGCGGCCATTTTTCAAAATGGCCACCTTCTACCAAAAGTCTCATTAGACAGTGTGCCATGCTTATAGTATACACATACCAAATATGAACAAAATTGCTCGACTACTTTTCGAGTTATAGTAAAATACGTTAAAATGGTGGCCATTTTTCAAAATGGCCACCTTCTACCAAAAGTGTCATTAGACAGTGTACCAAAAGTCTCATAAGACAGTGTGCCATGCTTATAGTATTCACATACCAAATATGAACAAAATTGATCCACTACTTTTTGAGTTACAGCAAAAATTGTAAATTAACGAGTAAAGGCCGCCATTTTTCAAGATGGCTGCCATGTGCTTCTTTTATATCTACATTTCTATATTTATTAATGTCCTATATATTTTTTTTACATTTAAAACATATTGCTATTACAGTTTTACATATTGCACCTAATTACTGTAAAATCAGCACTAAAATGGCCGCCATTTTTAAATGAGTGGCCATTTTGAAAATCGGCTTTTGAGGAGAATTTCTACCCCCATAGGGTAAATGTGTACAAAATATGAACAAAATCGAGCCAACGGTATTTGAGTAATTGCCCGGACGGACAGATGTATGTACGTACGGACGGACGGACGGATGGAAGCGTTCCCTATATCCTTCCGAACTTTGTTTGATGGGATAATTATGAAATGACTGAAAGTAAATAACATATGGAAAGATTACTGAAGGTAAATAACATGGAAAGGAAACTATCAATAAGTTTTTTATCTATCCAAGCAAAATCATCTTCAATGAATCATATTTTCCTCATTAAGTTCCTACCAAATCTGAAAAGGATCAGTTTTAGGTTTAATGATATTAAATTTTACCGTATTTTACCAGTTTTACTGTATTTTGAATCTTACCTTCTTATATTCCTCAGCACATTTCAGAAGTCTGAATCCGGATTGGACAATACCATGTTTGTGATACATATGACTAGCTAACCTCTGATTGCATACAGAAGGACACTTTCGTATTTTTTGTTCATTGATTTTATAAGTGCAGATGTGACAGTGTAACCCAGTTGCAGGGATCTCATCGAATGATGGGAGGGGACATATTTGCAGATGTCTCATCCAAAGTTTTTCACTGACAAATTTGTTGCATTTATAGCATGGGATTGACTCAATTATCAGCTCCTCCTTATCATTTGTCTGATAGCAGAAGTAGCAATGCCTGAGAAAGCGTTTATAATTTAAGTAAATTGGCGGCATTGTGCAATTATCGCAACAGTAAGCAGATTTGTCTTGAGCAAGATTTGAAGCTGCCTTTCTTTTGATGACATCTTTTACTCGTTTTCCAGTCCAACATGTAATAAAATGATTCAAAAGTTTTAATTCATTTTTAAATCTTCGTCTACAGTTAGGACACCTTATCCCTCTTTGTGTTATTTCAAATATCTGAATTTGTCTAGGCATACATTTTATTTTCTTTCTTTCACCTGATTGATTGTTCAGTCTTTTACATTTTACCCTACAGCTTCGTTTGATGATGACTGGTGCATCATCATTGATTTTAGATACCTCTTCCACAGAGCCATAAAGCACAGGGACTTGCTCACTTGGGTTATGAATCTTTGTAACGTTGTTATCAGTTTTATTGTCTCTTGTGATTACCTCCTTACTTTCTGCACAAGTTCCATTGTATCCAATATTAATCTCATTTTCCACTCCAGAAGTGATATTTGCAAGTGAAACAGGCCAAGGTTTTGTGTAATCATCACCAAAACTAGGTACATTTATATTAAAGGGACTATGAGTGACTGCATATTGACACTTTTCCTGATATAAATCCAAATACCTTTCCTGATCATTCAGAAGGGTTTCTTCATGTATATCATCCCTATGGACATTTGTGCCATCTTCCCCATCTTTGAATTCATTCATCTTTTGGATATTCACATTTGGTACATCCTGGAAGTGATTGACCATATCAGTATTTAGAAAAGATGAGTAAGGACGATCAATATATACCTGTATGATTGTTTTATCTTCCATCTCAAGTTCAACACATTGCGATGTACCACTATCATTTTCATTGTCTCTATTTAGCAAGTTACTTGTTATTGTTGCTGATGATGCATCTTTAGTTGTTTCATTACCATAATATATTTCATCTTTAATTGCATCTGTCAGTTCTTTAGTTGTGTGGACAGATTCATCAATTGAGCTTACTCTATTTTCATTTGAGTTTGGTTCATCATTTGAGTTCAATTCAGGATTTACATTCCCTTGATCATTCTCTAAATGAGCACCTTGATTTATGATTAATTCATCATCATTTGGGTTCCCTTCATTTGCATCATTAGAGATCAATTCATCAATGTTTAAGTCCATTTCATTAGGCTCTAACTTAACCTCATCCAGAGCATCAAGGTTTCCTGAGTTAATAGGAGATTCATGTTCACTCGCATCAGCATCATCTTCATCACATTCAAGGTTCATCAGGTGTCTGCTCTCAGTCTTACTATAATGTGCTCCACCTTCAAATGAGTCTGTAATATTGAGTACAGATGAGTATGTATGATCAATATATACAGGAATGATTGTTTTATTTTCCATCTCAAGTTGAACACATTGTGATGTGCCACTATCATTTTCATTGTCTCTATTTAGCAAGCTACTTGTTATTGTTGCTGATGATGTATCTTTAGTTGTTTCATTACCATAATATATTTCATCTTTAATTGCATCTGTCAGTTCTTCAGTGGTGTGGAGAGATTCATCAATTGAGTTAACTCTATTTTCATTTGAGTTTGGTTCATCATTTGAGTTCAATTCAGGATTTACATTCCCTTGATCATACTCTAAATTTGCCCCTCCATTTATGATTAATTCATCATCATTTGGGTTCCCTTCATTTGCATCATTAGAGATAAATTCATCACTGTTTAAGTCCATTTTATCAATCTCTAACTTAACCTCACCAAGAGCATCAAGGTTTTCTGAGTTAATAGGAGATCCTTGTTTACTAGCATCAGCATCATCTTCATCACATTCGAGGTTCATCAGATGGCTGCTCTTAGTCTCCATTTGAGGTTCTTTTTCTTCAAATGTTTCTTTATTGATGTCATTTGATGTCTCTCCTCCCATACTGTCTTCATCAATATCATGTTCTGGTAAGATGTTTCCTGTCACCAACGATACATGTTCCTCTTCAGGATTATTTCCTAGACCTTTTGCTGGAAGAGTTTGAGATTCTGACTTGCTTGTGTCAGCAGCTTCATGTTTTTTGTAATTGGTTTTGTTATGAAGATATTGTTTTTCTTTGGCTGACAAGTCTGATATCTGAAGGCTGCAGATCTTTACATAAAGGGGTATTATTAGTTCTGTAAGGTATTCTAATTCAAGAATCCTGCTAGCCTTAAACAGAAATATGCAATTGTCAGGTGTTACTTCAATATCTCCAGTGTAAATATAATGTAAGATATTCATCAAGTCTTTGTAATTCAGTCCTGGTCCTAATTGTAGCCGTATATCAATTATAAGTCCAGAGATTTCTGCAGTACCACGCTTGCGTGAGATAAGGTCAAAGCATTTTCTGAAATACTCAGACGTAGCTATTAATATACACGAATGAGCATTGACATCAACATCACAAGTTTTTATCTTGATGTCACAAGCTTGGTTTTGTTTCAACATGTTCCATAATTTTACTGAAAGGTGTGATAGCTTTCCTTTGTGTCTTTCATCTGACAATAGGACCTGAAAAACAGAGTGTGAATTTTCTTAACTTTGACAGAAAGCTCTTTAAAAACAGGAATATATAGAGACTAAATACTATGACTCAGTAATGTCTGCAATGTAATTGATTTTTAAACAACAGAGAATACATTCTTCAATACATATTTTTGTATATACATGTAATGCATTGTAGTAGATATAGCACTGGTTGTATTCAAGCATCATTCTCCGAACGCAGGGTTCCAGACATCATCCCCTAAGTTCCTTCCTTTTCCTGGCCGCTAGTAACCAGCTGATCGCAGGGTGGAAGAAGGAGGTACGAGTTCTGGAGGCCTGTGTTCGGAGGATGTTCAAGCATATACCATAGGCTGATAGGTGTTTCTTGAAACCACGAATGATTCATGAATTACTAGACAACAGCAAGGCCAAAGAGTAGCAAATCCCAGCCATTGCTGGAATTTTTACAAACAAAGTAAATAGCAATAATGGCAGCCATTTTCAAAATGGCCACTTTCTACCAAAAGTATCATTAGAAAGTGTGCCATGATTATAGTATTCACATACCAAATATGAACAAAATCGCTCCACTACTTTTCGAGTTATAGTAAAATGCGTTTAAAGGGGGGGGTGTATAGGGATATTGTATATCGTATAAGAGGGTGAAAATTTATTGTATATTGTATAACAGGGGGCAAATTTTATCGTATATGGTATAAAAATATGGTATATGGTATAAAAGAAAATATATGGTATATTGTATCTCAAGGCACCAGAAGGTTCATTATGTATTTAAAAAAGAATTTGGGCCCTCGGAAGGCTAATTATGAAGAAATTGTGCCCTGAAAATCTCCATTGTGCTGACTTTTTACTGTCATCGTGTTGGAAAACATGGAAGAGTAGTCTCTCTAATTGGTTCCACATTCCATGTCGATCAATAAGTTTTGAGAAAATCACTCTCAAAGGTTTTGCCATTTTCATTCAAATTTTCACAGGAGGTGTTAAATACAGTGTCGAATAAGAATGCCAAATGTCATTGACTCTTCTCAACTTTGATGAAAAAAATGGTCACTATAGCTACTTGTGTTTCGGGGTATTTGGGATAAATCATTAAAATGTTTGAGTATAAAGGGTTCATACAGCGTATGTTTTAATTCAAGCATCATAAGATATTCTTATATTGCAAAAGGTGTTTATTTGGTCTTAAAACTAATCAAAGAATTGACCACGGAAGGTATCGCAACTGATTTCAAACTGTCATGTTCGATTTCGGCTATCGATTGGGGATTTGAACAGGTGCATGTGTTAGGTCAATGCATTAACCAAATCAAGCACTCATAGAGGTGACAAAATGATTTGGACTTTGAGACAGGGAAGGTGCAAACACCCCATAAACGTTTTTCTGAAATGTTGCCCTTTTCACATATGTTTTTTCAATGTTTGGTGCATCAATATGTTGCATTTGTAGACATAGTCAACCAATTTAAAGGAAATATGATTCATTTGGATAAAGTGGAAAACAATATTCCTTATGTTATTTCCACATAGGGAAAACTCATGTGATATATAAATGTTTTCAGCTTAATTTTAGTCACCCAAAAGTGATATCTTAAAAACCTCAGCATGAATCATATTGTCAAGATGTTAACCGTGTCTCAAAACACAACATGTTAATGCAACAAATATTGAAAAAACAGATGTTTGAAGGACTGGAAATCAGGACATTACAGAAAAACATGTTGATTGGGTGTTTGCACCCTCCCTGTCTTAAAGTCCAAATTATTTTATCATCTCTTTGGCTGCTTGTACTGGAGTTAATGATGGCCTAACACATGCAATTGTTAAAATCCTCAGAAAATAGCCAAAATCCAACATGTGACTGAAATCTGTTGCAATACCGTCCATGGTCCTTTAAAAGAAGGTTATTTCGAGTTACATAGAGTAGTTTTCATTCTCATCAACACATCTTTGCCTTGAAATCATACGTGAAACAAGTGGTTTGACCTTTATGGAAATTTGCTTAATTTTGACACACTTTTGTTTGACTTATACTGTTTTTAAGGCTGCCTTATCTGAAACCCTGAAGCGTTTCTGTTTCAAATGATCAAACAATCAAGTCTCATCTTGCCTTTATTTCAAACTCTAGTCCAGACTCGAGTCCAATCAAAAATGAATTATCTACATGGAAGTCCTTTAATAATTGTTTTTGAAACTGTTTTCAATACTTAATATTCTCCAGGTGACTGTCTTACAAAATTATTGTGCATTGTGAATCTTCACTATCTTTCTGATAGTGTTATATAATGTACATATTTACCTCAGCAAACTTTATTTTCAGAGAACACATGATGAATCTTTTATTCCACATTCTCAATTTTGCATCAATTATGTTTCAAGAAATCCCCCGACTCCCTATGAAGGATTCCATTGATATTAAAATAAATTATGGGAAAGTAGGTCATAAGAAAGAGGTACAGTGAGTTCCATCCATTCCAATGATGCGATTTTTGTGCTAATTTTGAATATTCTTATGGCACTTTTACAGATACTGGCTTTAGCCAATTGCAGAGATGTCAAGTTAATGTTTTGGTCAAAGTAGATTGTGAAATCAATAAAGAGAAGTCAAGAATCTTATACCATAAATATGTTTTACATCAACTTGTTTACCTGAAAATAAAAAGAAGCCACAGAATTTCTGAACATGCGGATCTACCCGAATGTAATGTCTCAGTCATAATTTAATAAATGAAATCATTGTGGTAAATATGTGGAGCCTATGTGCCTTATAATATACTCCTCAAAAAAAGTTAAGGACCTCATAGGTTTACATGTTAACCCCCATATTTGATTAATGACTGTTTTCTGCGGGGAACAAAAGAAATCCCAATAAAGTAAATAGATCTGTATTTTGATTCTATTCCCTAAAAAGTCCGCAACATTTCAATGTTATATCTCCATTACATTCTGTCAGAATTTGATGTCAAAATTGATGAATTTCATGAAATGTAACAAAAATGGCAGATCCCATGTTAAACAAATGGGGAATGGTTGGGTTGCCATAAGTCATATGAGGAACGATCCATCCATCCGATTGCTCTCAAAATTGAGATTGTAAGAGATAATTAAATTTACTAAATTGTCTACTTGACAAAATATGATTTAATTGTCCAGGCTTTACAAAAGTTAATGGTTTCAAATTCAATAATTTTTTAATGAATTTCTTATTGAAATAACACAGGTGGTTCAGTGAGGTGGTCAAAATTACTTTAACGCTCCGTATCGCTAATTTTAACAACATAAGCGAGACATTTAGCATGTAAAATCATTCAATTTTCTACTTAGAAAGTATTTTTAATAAATGTTTTGCTGAATAGATATTCCAAAATCTGAGTTGCCCCTAAGCCACCATTCCCCATTTGTTTAACATGGGATCTGCCATTTTTGTTGCATTTCATGAAATTCATCAATTTTGACATCAAATTTTGACAGAATGTAATGGAGATATAACATTGGAACATTGCGGACTTTTTAGGGAATAGAATCAAAATACAGATTTATTTACTTTATTGGGATTTCTTTTGTTCCCCGCTTAGAAAACAGTCGTTAAACAAATATGGGGGTTAACATGTAAACCTATGAGGTCCTTAATACATTTACTGTAGTACATGGATTCGCGCCTAACATTTATTTCCTTATAAATATCAAATATTCGATCAACAGCAGTTTCAAAATTATCGTATATTGTATTTCACCTAAACTTTTGTAAAATATTGTATATGGTATAAGAGCTGTGAAAAATATTGTATATGGTGAAAAAATATTGTATATGGTATAAGAGAGCTGAAAATATTGTATATGGATTTCCAAGACCCCCTATACACCCCCCCCTTTAAATAGCCACTTTTTCAAAATGGCCATCTTCTAGCAAATGTGTCATTTACAGTGTGCCATGCTTATAGTATTCACAATACACAAACCAAATATGAACAGAATTGCTCCACTACTTTTTGAGTTATAGTAGAATACGTTAAAATGGCAGCCATTTTTCAAAATGGGCGCCTTCTACCAAAAGTGTCATTAGACAGTGTGCCATGCTTATAGTATTCACATACCAAATATGAACAAAATCGCTCCACTACTTTTTGAGTTATAGCAAAATACTTTAAAAAAGTGTCATTAGACAGTGTACCATGCTTTTAGTTCACATACCAAATATGAACAAAATCGCTCCACTACTTTAAGAGTTATAGCAAAAATTGTAAAATAACGAGTAGAGGCCTCAATTTTTCAAGATGGCTGCCGTGTGCTTCTTTAATATCTACATTTCTAGCTTTATTAATGTCCTATATAATTTTTTTACATTCAAAACATACATGTATTGCTATTACAGTTTTACATATTGCACCTAAATTACTGTAAAATCGGCACTAAAATGGCCACCATTTTCAAATGAGTGGCCATTTTGAAAATCGGCTTTCGAGCAGAACTTCTACCCCCATAGGGTATATGTGTGCAAAATATGAACAAAATCGGGCAAAACATATTTGAGTTATTGCCTGGACGGACAGGTGTTCCCTATCTCCGAACTTTGTTTGATGGGATAAAAATTCTTTAGTGCTTGCATTTCCTGTACACATATACAAATACAAGACCTGCTACTTACTGGATCAGATAAGGTGTGTGATATTGTAGCTTGGCTTTGATTCATCTTTTGTTTAAGTTATCTATTTTGCCACGAATTTGAATGTGTTTCTTAGTACCAAAACCTGAAAGCATGAAAATATACATGTATTAAAACTTCTGCGTTCGGTAATTCAATGTACACTGTATTACATATCACCCTTTACTCGCTTAGCAAATTATCTTAAAATGTGACATTTAGATAAGGAATTTGTTCAGTTCATAGGATATAAAATAGAATACATTATAGAGACGCAAATGACACTGGAAATGAGAGTCGCAAAGTTAAGAAGATCAAATGGTGAGGACTTTTGATTTAAATGTTAGACTCACACCCTATTTTCGCCCATGTAGTACATATAGGAAAAACGTCATAGAGCAATCTTTTCGTTCAGTGTAATTTTTAACGAAAATTACCGGGATTTTGTACGTATGATTGCAATATGAGTGCTGATGATCTGAAAACGTATTGTGAAGACTCAAATGTGAAAAACAAATACAATGATGTAAAGAAACAATGTAAAGGAAAAATTCCGCGCATACTGAAAGCTCCATCGGGCATAAAAGTTAAAAAAGCAATTATTTGAAGCCATTAACACTGATGATGGTTCAGACAACTACATTGTTTTTAAGACGACGGTGGACCATTTACCTCACTGGGTCAGCGTGATATGGCTCTTTTATAGTGATTGGAAGAAAAATATATATGATATAGATTGGAAACCAGAAGATAGTGATATTTGGAAGTTTGTCACAGTTGATGTAAGTCTCAAGGGGTACATAATGAAAGGTGCCTTAAAATAACGATGTTGTTCATCTACCGGTACTTTTCAAGTACAGGGGGCTCGTGCGAGTCTATTCAAAACAGATTCAAAGAAATAAGAATTATCAAAGCTCATCAAGTACACATGTACATGCACATGTACTCATATAAGAACCTCTATATATACATGTAGGCTATGCTGCATTCTCATTGGTTGAGAAATTCAAAAAGAGCATGGTCACGTTTGAATCATATTTAAGGTCAGGGTGCATGTTTGGAATTTTGCTGCAACCCTCTATAGGGTCACATGTTATTTTTTAAATTTGAATCACTCCTTCCCCACGATGTCTACAGCTCTCACTTTTGCACAATGAGTGCACTAATGTACCTAGAAGAGAATGGAGAGTAGAATGTTTTGATAAAATGAATAAAAAACAAAAAAATACAGTGAAAAAATTCAGAAAATTTCTTCATTGAATTTTCTCGGTTTTTTTATACAGCTTACAAAACAAATCTTCTTACCAGTCTTTTCTAGGCACATGCTGTAAGTCACTGGTGATCCACTTGATTACGCTGGTTACCGAAACGAACCGTTTTGGTAACAAATGGTTGGAACGTTCTTTTTTCCTTATTTCACACGTTGTAGGCAGAATTCCCACAACATTTTTATCACAAACGTGTATCAGTATCATATGTTTAAGAAAATGTACATAATTGCGAATAAATAGTTCAGAAGACAACAGAACCCAGGCCAAAAACAAAAACAGGCCCAGGAAGAAGATTTAAATTCCCCCCCTGAGTAACTGAATAATGTTTTTCTAAGTAATACATAGTGAATGGGAGGGGCATGAACTCGGGTTTGTGTAAAAAACAGGGTGACCGGGTACCCTACCTTCCTACCAGGGTTAGGAATTTGAATTTTATGCCTCAAAACTGACATTAATCAACGTACCAGTGACACAACAAATCAATTAGCAAACAACCAAACAAGCAACAAAATTTATTTATCAATAAATCAACCGGCAAAACGACAAATAAAATTAATATTATGTCAATCAGTGAGGCAATAAATCAAGCAACTAACGTTGTATTGCACATTGTACACTAATTAACAGATAAAAACGGCAAATAACGTTTCAATTTACCCGTACGTAAATCTTTCAGATTTGTTTAATATCTAGTAGAAATCGCAATCATAGAAAACAATCATTGATATCCTGTCAATCACTCAGACAATAAATCAAGCAACTATTACGTCATCGTACGTGTAAACTGTGTAAATAACTACCTAGGACTTCCGAAATTCAGTCTCTTACAGGTTCTTGGTAAAATGATAACGTAAAAATATTGAAGGGTAGTCTTCAAATGTGCAACTTTGAAAGTTGGTAACCCTGCCAGGAACGTTAAGTACCCAGTTACCCGGTCACCCGGTTTTTTACACGAACCCCATGAACTCTTGTTCCCGTGTCTGTGATTCCGAACATGCACCCTAACCTAAATGAGTTTGCCATCAAATTGCAATCACCACTATCAACTCCGCAACCGCTGCATTCACGAATACAAATTCACTCCATAGTAAACCTGAGAGTAATTAGTAAACCAACATACCAGTTACTTATGCAGTCATTTTTACGCAGCAGTAGTCTATTGGGAGTGCACGATATCAAGACTGGTCAATGGGATGGACTTGACAAGTTCTAGCAAAGTTGTATTTTTACATAGGATACAATGTACAAGGTAGGCCTACAGTACAAGCTAATTTTTTTCAAAATACATGTAGGCTTCTGAGCCAAGTAGTATACTAAAGTTACGTTCTAGCTCTAAGCCATTGTGATTTTTGACCCACCTTTTTGATTCATGTGATTGCAGGACCGACACAAAACTCTTTGATACCCAGGGAACACCGGTGCCACATGGAGGTCAGTTGTAGGCTAGCAGATTTTGTCAGAAATTGAAAAAGCTTCTTTCACCATCTGATCCGCCATTGCGCTCTTTACATCCAAGTCCGTATCACGTGACTGTCATGTGATATAAAAAAAATAATATGGGCGCTAGATTTGAAGAAGAATATAAGTTACAGAATTTACACAAAATACATCCCATTTATGAATGGCAGATCAAGTTTATGTCTTGTTAAGGTAAAGTAACGATATATTTCTGGCAAATACTTAGAAAATATTCAGTATTAGGCCTTGTAAAGACTTTCAAAATCGTGCTTCATTTTATTTGGTCTAGGAAGAAGGTAAGCCAGAAAAATTATAGGCTAAAACATGTCTCTGGACAGCTGGATAGTAAGGCCTAGTATTCCAAGTTTACATGCGTGATCTTACCCTTTGTATTCGTTCGACTTCGCCTCTCAAAAGAGAGCTTCGTCTTCGGTAGTTTACAGGGGCGGATCTGGGAACCAACAAGGGGGGGGGGCACATTTTAGGTCAGAGAAAAAAACGGCCCCTAAAAGGCAAAAGTGGGCCCAAATTTTGAGGCCCATTTTCTTCAAAATTTGGCCTGAATTAAAAAAATAAGGCCTTAAAAGGCCCAGTAATGACCAAAAAGGCCGACTTTTTGGGGCCTTATTGGCTCAAAAAAATTTTTGGGCCCAATTTTTTTTTCTGGGTCCACCCAAGGGGGGGGGGGCGGGCCCCCAGCCCCCCCCCCCCCTAATCCGCCAGTGGTTTATAACTTGACTCTGCTCAGTCGCAGGATAACTACTGTAAAGGTGATCCAGCCGGCCTAGGTCATGGCGCCTAAGCCTAGGCCCTTACATCACGGTCATTTTTATTTTAGACTTAGTATAAGAGTAAGAGACCATCGTAGGCCTAACATTAGGGGTGGGGGTGCCGGGGGGCAGGCCCATAGCCAGAGGGGGAGCTGGGGGGAGCTTCCGCCCCCCGGCCAGAAATTCGGGTTTGTGTAAAGTAGCGGTCACACTAGCCGTGTAGGCTCACCGTTCGCCACCGTTTGGCTAATTATGGCCAGACGGCGACGGCCGCATTGTTTTTATACATTTTTGACCGGGACTATACCGTTCTATTCCGGGTCTGTACCGGCTTCTCATCGGCCTTGTACCGGACTTACCGTGTTTCAGAATTCTTGCTTACCGTTCTCGCCGTGTTCTCAACTGGCGCATACCATCCCCTCACCAGGTTTTCACCGGCCGGAACGCCTGGATATCGGCCGAACCGCCTTGATGGCGTCATGCAAACGCTCACAATATTTAGCTCACTTTTTGGTATGTATGCTCAACCATCCACGTGTTCAAAGCTAAATGATTTATATAATTAATTTGCTTATACATCTTAATTATGTTCAATAACATTACAAGTTTGTCTATATTTAACTGTACAATGTGGCCACATAGCTTGTCCATCCTGTAAGCAGCTAGTTGGGTCAACCGAGTTAAGTCTTTCTCTGTAATAGTTAGTATGTTTATTCCATGAAAATACGTTGAAAATGAATAGGTCTCGAGAACCTGACCAACTTTGGTAGACAAACATGCAATATCTATATTTCATCCGACATATCACGTTTTACGTTTTTACTATACGTTTTGAAACTAATTGCTCTGAGGGGTAACTATTTGTTTTGACATTACATTTTACGCAAAGCGTTATTGGAAGGTACAGATTGAACCTTTACTCCCCTCCAACGTTTAGAAATATTTTTCCTCATTAAAATGGAAGGATTCGAAGTGAACTGTACTCGAATTGGAATTGAAGTCAGTTTATTGAATCACTAATAAAAAATATGCCAAATCTTATTTGATTTCGAAAAAAGACGGCGGTGTTTTATATTATTTTTATAACGTTTTGTAAAACGGCAACTACATATATTTTGTGATAATTGCGTCAACGTATATATTACAGGTCTTAGACCTGCGTCGTTTGAGTTATATACCAAAAAATATTGACTTTTGCACGCTGGTGACGTCGCGCCTTTTTAAATTAATCGAATAACTCAGAAGGGTATCACTCGAAAATTCACGGAAGACTTCACATCTTTGTTATACCGTAGCTTAATCATTAAGGGATTAATGGGTGAACGTTAAGTTGTCATGAACATGAATATTGCAGTTTTATTGAATTTTCTGACAGAAATCGGCTCTTCCTCCACCCTATTAATTTTTTCTTATATAATTGGTCGTGTAAATGAGAAATAAAGCTTTCACAACTTTTTGATGGACGGTAACGTGAACAGAAAGATCACGTAAAATGCATAAAACAGTTGATAGTTCGAAGTTTGGCTTATAATGCTAACTGGACATTTATTTTCACTTTTATTTGAGCTTTAATCATTTTTGCAATTTATTTATTTTCTTCGTGTATGATAAAAGAAATATATTTGTAACTTGTTTTTCTCAGTGTCTTCAAAAGAATCTCTGTCAAAGTGGTTTGAGTGGATTTGTGGCTTCAAAGTACAAATGAGAAAGTCGAAGAATTGATGTCTCGAGTTACGGGACAAAACCTTGGACAATAACTGAATATTTAAATAAACTGGAGGCAAAATTGTTGAAACGGCAGAACACGGTGACAACACTGCGTCACGAGGCGGTACAATTGCGAGTTCACGGTAATAGGATGTTTAGAGGATGTTATGGAGCAGTTATAAGGCCGTTAACACGTTAATGGACTGTTACCTAAGCGTTAAGCGGCTGGTACCGTGAAAACCCTTTTTATGTGACCTTTCAAACCCCCGTTTGAACCTCGTTTATCGGACGGTACCCAAGCGGTACACTCTCGTTCGCAGCCCGTCACTGATAGAGTCAACGTCCACCATCGTCCCATTACCGCTCTGCGAACGTGTCCTTAACGGCTGCACCGTCCTTATACCATTCCCGTACCGCTATCACCGTTCGCAACCGAACGTTACTCAAACGGGAAAAGTTTTGAGCATGCTCAAAAAATTCGCCGGGTGTGGATGGACGGCAACGTTCCCTGAACGTTTCTCAACGGGCGGGAAACGACCCACCGTGTGGCCATACCGTGCACCGCCGTCTGGCCATAATTAGCCACACGGTGGCGAACGGTGAGCCTACACGGCTAGTGTGACCGCTACTTAAAAAACCGGGTGACCGGGTACTTAACGTTCCTACAAGGGTTAGGAATTTTTTTTATTTATAACGTTGGATCTGAACGATACATGTACGTTATTTTCGATGTCACGTTTTGAGGTTATTTCAAATCGTAAGAACGTTTTGACAACGTTAACTTTTAACGTTAAAATAACGTCGATTATGAACCGATATAGTGAGAACATATTGACTTCTTTGTAACATTTCCTTAACTCACAAATATTTTGGAGCCATTCCCACAATGTTGAAATTCAACCATCCATCGACATTTGCTGAATATTTAAATGACGTCAGATCAATACGGTCCATGAACGTCATTATTGACGTCACGTTTTGAGGTTATTTCAAATCGAAAAAACGTTTCGACAACGTTAAATTTTAACGTTAACAATACGTCGGAAATGAACGAACTTAGTGAGAACACAAAATTTTTGTCATGTTTTTTTCCACCAACAAATATTTTGATATTAAAAGCCTGTTTTGACAACGTTGAATTTTAACGTTTGAGTTACGTCACATGGACCAATATATGTAGTAAAACGTTCCTGTTTGTTATGTTTTCCACACTAGCTTTAACTTTACGTACACGTTACAGGCCCGTAGTCAGGATTTGCCAAGGGGGGTTCAATTTTCAAAAATTTCCAGAGGGGGTTCACATTTGACAATTTTGGCCCAAATTAGGCTAAAATCACTTGAGAAGTGCTCAAAATGGTAAAAAACTGCATGATTTTGAAAGAATTTTTGGCCAGGGGGGGGGGGGGGGTTCGCCCGAACCCTGCGAACCCCCCCTGGCTACGGGCCTGCGTTACAACAACGTTCTTTTTATACCATCAATAGATGTCTCATGTTTACGTTGCCTCGATGTGTAAAGAACGAAAATGTGCAACGTCTTCTAGGAACTCACATGCTTCTTATGAGCAACGTGACATGGATGTCACTGTTTGCTGGATCGATTATTTTAAAAAGTGCTTTGTCTCGTATAGGGTAAAATATCGAACAGCAGTGCACTCGGTAGGCTAAGTCTGTCAAATCAATTCGCTACTATCTGACTATATATCGGGGAAAATGTGGAACTTTGAAAGTTGGTCACCCTGCTAGGAACGTTAGGTACCCGGTCGACCGGGTACCCGGTTACCCGGTCACCCGGTTTTTTACACAAACCCCAGAAATTCTTTCAAAATCATGCAGTTTTTCACCATTCTGAGAATTTTTCGCATGATTTTTAGCCAAAATTGTGAAAAAGCTCCCCCCCCTGGAAAAAAGCTCCCCCTCCTGGTAAAAGCTGGCTACGGGCAAGGGGGAGGGTCTTTTCACTGGCGGATCCAGAAGCTAGCAAGGGGGACGGGTTTGTAGAAAAAAACGGGTACCAGGTACTGGGTAGTAAATCCTCCATGCTGGGTTCAAACTCGGTACCCGGTCGAAAAAAACGGGCACCAAAAAACGAAAAATACGAATATATAACATATACCATTAGAAAACGTGTAAGATTTGTTTTGAATTTACAAAAATGTATGTAACTGCCTTCAAAATTGAGCTAGAAGCTTCAAATAAAAAGCATTTTAAGCTGCTCTTTTCTTTCTCTATCATCATGGCCATATTTTCATTGGTTATGGGGGGGGGGGGGGGGGGGGGGGTGATCGCACCATCGCACCCCCTCCTGGCTACGCCTATGACCATGGGCTTTCAATTAGAAGGGTATCCAACTCTGTGCAATAACATGAGACCAAAATGAGCAATGCCATGCTTCCCTTTATGCTAATATTTCAAAAGGTATGAGATAAATGTATATGCTTTAGTATTATTTTGAAATTTTTTTTTTTCAATAGGATAAAGCATAAAATATATTCAATCTCATCTAAAAGTAAACAAAAAAACCAATAAGAATAAGAGGTATCAAGATGTTCTCTTCGAGTATTGCATTGTTGGTAATTATTCAAGAACACATTCCAATAAAAACATAATTTGTGGGAGAATGTTCACTTTCTGTATTGTCATAATTATGATGAATTCCATTTTTTATTAAATTATAAACATATATGTAGATAATTATGTTTTTATTTTTGAGTTATTTCTTAAATCATCCATAAAAAGTACAAAATAAGATTTTCTTGGAATGTGTACATTCTCCAATTTTGAATACCCAAAGGCAATGCTTATGTATGAAATATGGGAAGTTGCCTACCCTTCTAGTTGAAAGCCCATGCTATGACATTAAGACGATTTGAAAAACATAACAAATCAATCTTACTCTATTTTCAATAGTTCGTATGTTGGTGCGTGAACTGTTTTGATTATGATTTAAACTTGTAAATAGCTATCGTTACTTTAGCAGAGAGGTGACGTGTGTTAATTTACATGATGCAACGTGTAAGATTTTGATTATTAATCATAATTTAAGTTATCCCAATTTTCGACGAAACGTCCACTGAAGTGTAAATTGTTACGTCTTACAATGGCATAGGCGTAGCCAGGAGGTACGATCGCACCCCCACCATAACCAATGAAAATATGACCATGATGATAGAGGAAGAAAAGAGCCTTAAAATGCTTTTTATTTGAAGCTTCTAGCTCAATTTTGAAGGAAGTTACATACATTTTTGTAAATTCAAAACAAATCTTACTGTACACGTTTTCTAATGGTATATGTTACCCGTACCCGTTTTTTTCGACCGGGTACCGGGAACCAAGTTTGAACCCAGCATGGAGGATTTACTACCCGGTATCCGGTTTTTCTACAAACCCGGGGGGACATTTCGAGTCTAAAGGCCAAAAGGCCAATTTATGCCAAACAGGCCCATTTTTTGAAGCCCTACAAAATTTTTGGGTCCAAAATATTTTAAGGGTCCTATGATATAAGTCATATAAGCTTATTGCTACTGCACTGGTGATCCACTCGATTACGCTGGTTACCAAAACGAATCGTTTTGGTAACAAAATGTCGGAACGTCGAAGGTACGATTTTTCTTTTTTCCTTATATCATGCGTTTTAGGCAGAATTCCCGCGATGTTTTTAACACAAACGTGTATCAGTATCATATGCTTAAGAAAATGTACATATTTGCGAACAAATAGTTCAGAAGACAACAGCATCGTCGATTTAATTACTCACTTAAGTTACATAAACGGTTTTTCGAAAAACGGTTAGATCTGCACTTTTAACCAAAACCGTTTATGTAACTTAAGTGACGAATTAAATCGACGATTCTGTTGTCTTCTGAGCTATTTTTTCGCAAACATGTACATTTTCTATAACATATGATACTGATATACGTTTGTGAGAAAAAAAGTCGTGGGGATTCTGCCTACAACGCGTGATATAAGGAAAAAAGAAAAATCGTACCTTCGACGTTCCGACATTTTGTTACCAAAACGATTCGTTTTGGTAACCAGCGTAATCGAGTGGATCACCAGTGTACTGGCCTATGATCTAAAACAGAAAGTGACAAAACCATGCATATAATATGCATATATTTCATCATGTTAGGGTCATTCTGACCATATACAAGTGATTCTGGTCATGTAAATGATATGTGGTACTAGTCAACCTGACTGGAGGTCAAAACAGAACTCTATTATCTTGGTTTAAAAATATTCAAAATCCTGCACGGTTTTGTTACTTCCTCTTTTGTCATTTCCTGTTAAGCACCATGACACCTTAAAAACTCCATTGATGTACTGAGTTGGTAATGCGCAGTGTTTACCGGAAAGATAAAGTAGCATGAATATATAATCCCTTACATGCCCATAGCTAGGGAGGGGAGGGGGAGTTCAGGGAGCTGGCCAAAACATCTTCCAAAATCACCATTTCTGAGCACTTTTCAACAGATTTTTGGCCATATTGTCAAGTGAGCCCCCCCCCTGGAACTTTTAGAAAAGTGGGTCCCCCTTTGTAAAACTTACGGGCCTGCCTTCGATCCACCATTCCAGTGAAAAATATCAATGGCACATATAAAGTGTTGCTTCTAATCAACAATACCTTTACATAGTTTTGTACTTTTTCAGGTGTTGTATGATACAATAGAAATTCAAAATTGTGAGAAAAGAGATAGCTATGAAAAATATGAGAATATATCAAACGATGAATCAAAATCAAGATATAGCACCACCCACCTTATCTGATCCAGTAAGTAGTAGGACTTGTATTTGGATATTTGTATGTACAGCATATGAATTAATACTATTATGCAATTGCTTAAGATTTTTATTCATGAATCATATGTCTATGTTTGAGTTTCAAGAGACACTCATATGCTCATATGCAAACAGTGCTATGATAAAAAATTAAAGAAAGAATTACATATTGCAGGCGAAACTTAGTTCTAGTCTCTTAAAGAATGTTCTGAAAGAATTTTCTGTAAAGTTAAGAAAACCCATACTCTGATTTTCAGGTCTTATTGTCAGATGAAAGACACAAAGGAAAGCTATCACACCTCTCTGTAATATTATGGAACATGTTGAAACAAAACCAAGCTTGTGACATAAAGATAAAAACTTGTGATGTCAATGTAAACGCTCACTCGTGTATATTAATAGCGGCGTCTGAGTATTTCAAAAAATGCTTTGACCTTATCTCACGCATGCGTGGCACTGAGGGAATCTCTGGGGTCCTGCTTGATTTACGACCACATTTAGGATCAAATCTGAATCACAAGGACATGATGAATATCTTACATTATATTTACACTGGGGAAATGGAAGTAACACCTGACAATTGCATATTTCTATTTAAAGCTAGTAAGGTCCTTGGGTTAGAATCTCTTACAGAACTAATAATACCCCATTGTCTAAAGATCTGCAGCCTTCAGTTATCAGATTCAGAGTCTCAAAATCTGCCAGCCAATGAAAAACAACATCTTTATTTCAAGAACAATTACGAAAAGCATGAAGCTGTTGACACAAGCAAGTCAGAATCTCAAACTCTTCAAGAAAAAGGTGTGAAAAATAATCCTGAGGAGGAACATATATCGTTGGTGACAGGAAACATCTTACCAGAACATGATGTAAATAAAGACACCATGGGAGGAGAAACATCAAATGACATTAAGACAGACTCATTTGAAGAAAAAGAACCTCAAATGGAGACTGAGAGCAGCCATCTGATGAACCTTGAATGTGATGAAGAGGATGTTGATGCGAGTCAACGAGAATCTCATGTTAATTCTGAAAACCTTTATGCTCATGATGCAGTTGATTTAAAGCTTAATGAAATGATCTCAATTGGTGACGAATTAATCTCCAATCATGCAAATCAAGGGAAGTCAAATGATGATGAATTAATCACAGATCAAGGGGCTCATTTTATGTATGACCAAGGAAATGTAAATGCTGAAATGAACTCAAATGATGAACCAATTTTAAATGAAAATAGAGTAAGCTCAGTTGATGAACGTGTCCACATCGCTGAGGATACAATTAAATATGAACGAGATAGTGATGATGAAACAACTAAAGATGCATCATCAGCAACAATATCAAGTAACATGCTAAACAAAAACAATGAAATGAATAGGGAGGCATTTGTTACACTTCAGTGTGCTAAGCTTGAGATAGAAAATAAAACAATCATACCGGCATATATCGATCACCAATACTCATCTATACTAAATACCGATATGGTCAATGCCTTTCAGGATGTCCTAAATGTGAATATCCAAAAGATGAATGAATTAAAAGATGAAGATGGCACAAATGACCATAGGGATGGTATACATGAAGAGACTCAATTGTATGATCAGGAAAGGTATTTGGATTTATACCAAGAAAAGTGCCAATATGCAGTCACTCATAATCCCTTTAATACCCCTTGTCTTGGTAAAGCAAAACCTTGGCCTGTTTCTCTTGAAAATATCACTTCTCAAGGAGAAAATGAGATTGGAATTGGACACTATGAAACTTATGCAGAAAATAAGGAGGCAATAACAGGAGACAGTGAAAATGATACAGGGTACAATGATACCAAGATTGACCTGAGTGAGCAAGTCCCTGACCCTAGGCCTGAAGTTTATGGCACTGTGGAAGAGGTATCTAATACCATTGATAATGCATCAGTTATGATTAAGCGAAGCTGTAGGGTAAAATGTAAAAGAATGAAAGACAAATCAGCCGAAAGAAAGAAAATAAAATGTACGCCTAGACGAAATCCTCTTTTTAAAATAACGCAAAGTGGGATAAGGTGTCCTAACTGTAAACAAAGATTTAAAAATGAATTGAAACTTTTGACCCATTTTATTACATGTTGGACAGGAGAACCAGTAACAGATCTCATTAAAATAAATGCAACTCCAAATCTTGCTCTTGACAATTTTGCTTACTGTTGTGATAATTGCCAAATGCCACCTTTCTTAAATTATAGACGTTTTCTCAGGCATTGTTACTTCTGCTATCAGACAAAACACAAGGGTGAGTTGATATTTGAGTCAATCCGATGCTATAAATGCAACAAATTTGTCAGTGAAAAACTTTGGATGAGACATCTGCAAATATGTCCGCTCCCATCATTTGATAAGATCCCTGCAACCAGATCTCCTGCTGGGTTAAGCTGTCACATCTGCACTTATAAAATCAAGATAGAAAAAGTACGGAGGCGTCCTTCTGAATCCAATCGGAGATTAGCTCGTCATATGTATTCCAAACATGGCATTGTCCAATCTGGGTTCAGACTTCTGAAATGTGCTGAGGAATATAGAAAGGTAAGATTGAAAACCTGTGTAAGTTGAACACAAATGGTGCGTTTTTTAATCTAAAACGTTTAGATTTGGTAGGAACTTAATAAGGTAAATATAAAAATGATTAATTGAAGATGATTTTACTTGGATAGGTACTTGATGGTGTGCTTTCCATATGTTATTTACCTTCAGTCATTTTATAATCATAATTGTCCCTCTCAGAATAAAACTATTTACTTTCCCTTTATTTTTACCATTGATTTTATGTTTTATTTGCAGGAACCCGATTGTACTTATGCTACTCTCGAAAAAAAACATTTGAATGAGCACATCAAGAATAAACACAAACAGAATAACATTATTGGACCAAAATTCCAATGCGAGGTACTTATTTTTTGCATTAATTTTCCTGTCAATTTGAATTGGAGTATCTCAATGTCAGGCCCATGTGTGTTATTTGAGAGGTGTAAATCAATAAGAATTTCCTCTAAAAGCCCATGAGCAATTCTTTATGACTATGACTAAATGAATGCCCAATGGGAGAAAATTGAAAAGTTTATTTTTATATTATTAAATATGTTCATCTGGATAGTATTTTATATGATTCATTATGATATGCTTGACTTATCCAATTTTGAAACTTACTTGCAACGTTATTTTTATTTGTTAGTTCTGTATGTCTGTATTGAAGCCTTCTCATTTCGTTATAAAGTAATTTAATGTTAATCCAAGTAATCCAAAGACACTTTAGTAGCCTGCTAAGAATATCATTATTACAAATGTATTACATTATTATTGGAAATCTGCATCATGATAAACCATGACATCGCATTTCTTCTCAGCCCTGAGATCATGTTTCAGGTGAAACAGAAAGATGTTATGAGTATCAGAATGGGAAATCTGGTAAAAGGCTTTTGTACCCTGTGGAGATATTAGAATTATTGGATTTAGAATCATGGTCCTCTCTCTATAAATAACAGATGTGAAGTTCTCCCCATCATCATAGTAATAAGTAATAATAAGGTTCCTTGATAAAACGATTGAGAAAGGGACAGTAATCCATGATGGTTATTATATTACACATCCACATACATGCACTTTCCCTTTTAAACATGTAACTTAACCTCCTCACTACTAGCATTCTTTACTATCCAAGGAAGATCGCTGGTATAAATCCCAATCCCATTATCATTTTGGTCACTATATGTCAAGTTATATTGAATATTTTTAGTTTTGTTATGACAGTAGGGTGCACCAGGGAATGACTTACTAACAAACATAGTGTAACAAGTGAGATATAGACTTGAGAAAAAGTGTCCTGAATTGAAAGGCCTGTGTGGCAATCAAACCCAGGACCCCTCCAAAGTCCGATGCTCTACCACAGCCGATTGGATTGCTACGCCATGGGTTGCTGTTGATGTTTTCATTGATTTGAATTTTGCTACATGTATGAGTGTGAATGAATATTCTTTCAGGAATGTGGACATAGGTATTATACAAAAACTGCTATGGAAGACTGTTTAGAAGTACATAGCAGGAGTGAACCAGTTCCATGTCGAATGCCTTCTTGTATGAAGACCTTCCTGACTAATAGAAGAGAAAAGGTATGCATATACAACTCATATGTGTGGTCAGTTATAAAAGCATCACACAGTAAATGTAATACACTAATAATGAGTGGGTTGGGTTTTCTAGCATCCTAAACTGCTTAGCATTGTTAACAATGTTCTGTTCGTAAAAACTGACTTAGAAAGAAGTCACGGTGACCAAGTGTTAACAGTGGAAATTGGCCCGGACGTGTTTTTCAAACTCTTTAGTCGTGTTTTGTAAGAACATAGGATGCGACATTCGTGAGAATGGAGCAAAAAGCTAAGAATATTCTATATTTTACAAACGTACATAACTTCTACCTTCGACTTCATACCCACGAATCTATTTTGGGGATAATTCCATCATACTTCATATTAATCGCAATTATATACCAAAAGTGCCAGAAATATGTACTAATTTGCGTTTAGTGTCCCACAACGTGGGATAATATTCAGTTCTCTAAGATCGTGTTAATATTTTAACTATCTTTGTCTTAAAATTGCCATAAATGACCGTTAATGTAGAAAGTGGAGTTTACGATGGAGAAGGGACAATATAACGTCATTGACGTGTCTTATAATAACCATGTTAACGATTTGGAATCGTACAGTTAACGTTTTAGACGTGATAAAATAAACGACTTTGAATTGTCTCGTAATAGTGTTCACAGTTCACACGTTTTGTTGCTTAATAATTTGTCTGTGCTTCTGAAAATAATCGCATTAGTATTTTGTAGATGAGTGTTTAAAATGCACTTTTCACATATTTTGTAATTTCAAATTCTTTCAAATTCTTGCTATCTCGTATTTCTGATAGAAGTTGAAAGACAGATGTATGATTTGACAAGATCATCAGATGTTGTAATTTAATTCGCAGTATAGCACATCATGTTACAATACAGTTCAAAGGTCACTCATACAACGATAGCAGCATATGTAGCGTTTTATTTATTTGATGGAATGAAAATCAAATGGAAAATGTCAAAAATAATTTGAGGCAGATATTTGCATTGTGTGAGGCAAATTAGGAAATAACAACGAATCAAATTGTTCAAAATCCCGAGGCAAACCTAATAGATTTTGAGCACTAGATAATGGTTGAGTTATTCCGTACATAAGGTGATCATACAGTATATATGCATTTAGTGCATCGCAAACTAAACATTTCTTCTCATTTTCAATAAAATTCCACGTCCATGACAGGGGAAAGAGATTTAAGGCCAATGGAGACGTTTTAAAACTTATTTGAGGCAAATTAAAAAATAGCAACGAGTCCGGTTTTTAAATGAGCGACGGGGCAATTAAAAAATGTGACTAGTCAAATTTTCTAAACGACGAGCGACGAGGCTAACCTCACTTGCGCAAACCTCACTTGCATTAAAGGTGCAACAATTAGTGCAGGGGGGGGGGCATTCAACGATCATCGACCAGTGTCAAAATATATTTAAGTTTGGATATTTCATCAAGACTAACATATATTTTCATCATCTACATCCCTGGATGAACATTATTTCAGGTGATATGGCTCTTGAAACGTGGTGAATCTTAAAAATCTATAAGCGGGACTCCCTATATAGAACTTTGATTTTGAACTGAATTTACACTTCTTAATGCTGAACTTGAGAGTTTATCCATACATTTGAAGAAAATAAGTATGTCAGAGAAGATGTTAAGCCAAATATTGACCTGATAGCTCAGAAAAAATAAAAAATTTTGAATTTTTTCTCTAAAGTCCTTGCTGCCCCTTTAACCTTGCATGTCTGATTCTAACCATTTTGATTTTAGTATCAAATTCTGTAATGATTCCATAGATCAATCCTGTTAATCAATTGTTAATCATTTATAATTAAGATTGTATTACTCAGACAACAATTTCTTCCACTTCCTGATTATTTTTTTGGGAAATAAATACTGTTAATTGTGCTGTTTTCCACTTCGAAATCGTTAAACCTCAATGTCTTTACACGTCTAAATCGTTCCAGTAACAAGTCAACGTCATTAACCAAAATCTTTTGAACACGTCTAAATAGTTTAATCTAGAAAAAATTATTCGGTCAATTGCTACTTATTTAAGTTCTTCTAACTTGTGGTTTTCGCACATATTGTGAGTGCTTTCCTTATGAATGGATGTATTCATTTAATACAAGTCAGGCTAGTGATTTTCAGGCAAAAATATGTATAACACTGACAGAATCGCTCACTTTCCGATATACCAAGACTAGGCTATAGCATACGATTCGTGCAAATAACGCGTTTACGGATACCTGAAGTTAGGATATATAGTATGGAAAGCAATATAAATTTCTTTCTTTTACATAAAGTCAAGTGAAAGCAATTTCATAACTAAATTTATCAACCCACCTCTCAAATTTTCAAAAACACGTCTAAAGAGTTTGAAAAAACACGTCCGGGCCAATTTCCACTGTTAACACTTGGTCACCGTGGAAGTTATGAGTATTTAAAAACGCTGAAATAAGTGTCTACATGTTATTAAATTGTAGAGGCACTACAACACAACCCATAATGAGGTGAAAGCAGAGAAAAGAAGGAAATTGGTTTCCAATGTTCCCAATATATGCCCTTGTCAAGCTTGTGGTGTTTGCTTTAAAGGAAGACATAGTTTGGTACGCCATGAATCTAAGGTTCACAAAATTCCACTACCAAAGGATTTTCACAGGTTTGGTTCAATCTAAAATTTTATCATCATATCAACCGGTATTGTAAGATACGAAGCCAACGTAATGAATATGGTAAAATGTATACTATCTATTTGTTCTTACGTGGTTATTTAAAGAACCTTCAAGGTTGTAGCCAGGATTGAAAAATAACCGAGCAAATTAGAATAGATGAGGAAAATTAAAATAGACGAGGCGAATTAAAATAAATAAGGTAAATTTAATTATGAGGCAAATTTAAATAGATGATGCAAATATAAAAAGATGAGGCAAATTTAAATAGATGAGGCAAATTTAAATAGATGAGGCAAATTTAAATAGATGAGGCAAATTAAAATAGGTGAGGCAAATTTAAATAGATGAGGCAAATTGAAATAGGTGAGGCAAATTTGAATAGATGAGGCAAATTGAAATAGGTGAGGCAAATTTAAATAGATGAGGCAAATTTATATAAATGAGGAAAATTAAAATAGATTAGGCAAATTAAAATAGACGAGGCAAATTGAAATAGATGAGGCAAAATAGGCAAATATTAAATAAATTATTACCTTTGGACTTCATGTTTACATTTTTGGTTCAAAAATGTATAACACTGACATAATAGCTCACTTTCCGATATACCAAGACTAGGCTATAGCATACGATTCGTGCAAATTACGCGTTTACGGATACCTGGAGTTAGGATATATAGTATGGAAAGCAATATAAATTTCTTTCTTTTACATAAAGTCAAGTGAAAGCAATTTCATAACTAAATTTATCAACCCACCTCTCAAATTTTCAAAAAACACGTCTAAAGAGTTTGAAAAATCACGTCCGGGCCAATTTCCACTGTTAACACTTGGTCACCGTGGAAGTTATGAGTATTTAAAAACGCTGAAATAAGTGTCTACATGTAATTAAATTGTAGAGGCACTACAACACAACCCATAATGAGGTGAAAGCAGAGAAAAGAAGGAAATTGGTTTCCAATGTTCCCAATATATGCCCTTGTCAAGCTTGTGGTGTTTGCTTTAAAGGAAGACATAGTTTGGTACGCCATGAATCTAAGGTTCACAAAATTCCACTACCAAAGGATTTTCACAGGTTTGGTTCAATCTAAAATTTTATCATCATATCAACCGGTATTGTAAGATACGAAGCCAACGTAATGAATATGGTAAAATGTATACTATCTATTTGTTCTTACTTGGTTATTTAAAGAACCTTCACGGTTGTAGCCAGGATTGAAAAATAACCGAGCAAATTAGAATAGACGAGGAAAATTAAAATAGACGAGGCAAATTTAAATAGATGATGCAAATATAAAAAGATGAGGCAAATTTAAATAGATGATGCAAATTGAAATAGATGAGGAAAATTGAAATAGATGAGGCAAATTTAAATAGATGAGGCAAATTGAAATAGATGAGGAAAATTGAAATATGAAAGACAAGTTGAATTAGCTGTGGCAAATTGAAGTGTGTGGGACAAAGTGAAATATATGAGAAATTGAAATAGGCGAGGCAAATTAAAATAGATGAGGCAAATTAAAATAGATGAGGCAAATTTAAATAGATGAGGCAAATTTAAATAGACGAGGCAAATTTATATAAATGAGGAAAATTAAAATAGATTAGACAAATTAAAATAGATGAGGCAAATTGAAATAGATGAGGCAAAATAGGCAAATATTAAATAAATTATTACCTTTGGACTTCATGTTTACATTTTTGGTTCAAAAATGATTGAATACCGTAAGCACATTTCTGATAGTTTTGATGAGGCAACTGATTCACCTGGCTCCTACTTGGCCTGTTGGCTACAACCTTGATGTTTGCTAAGGCAAGTGACTTTAGATACACGTACGTTTGACTCTGACTGTTTCCTTAATTTATTATTATTTGACATTAAAAAATGTTCAAAATATTGAACTTATTGCCTTAAAATGATCTACATGTTACAACTAAATCTAATCCTGATGTCCCCATGATTTTATTCTTTGTAGATATCAATGCAAACGCTGTAGTTATTGGGATATAACGTTCGCTAATGTCAGAACACACGAAAGTCAACATGAAAAGCTGAGAACTAAGCTATACTCATGTGAAATGTGTGGAAAGAAATTTACCAGTTTCTTTTCCAAGGAAGTTCATTACAGAACATATCATGAAGGTATTCTGCAGTGCTTATTTTCAGTTTGAGATAATCTGATTATATTGTATGCACACGTGCTAAAACGAAATGACTAAAAAGTATAACAAAACACTCTGCTTCCCATTAAGTACATGCATCCTTTTCTGAAGTTTTTTACTCATCTTGTCATCACCATATATGTTCGAGGATACCAAGTTCTATAGTGTATCTGCATAGGAATTTTCTAACAGAAATTACCAACCTCCTCCCTCCACTTATTGTTTACGACTATGTAACTAAAAAGGAGCCACGTTGTTTCAGCCACCCATTTTAAATGTTTTTCAAGAAATCTTCTTGTCATCATTCCAGGAAAACAGCTCATCGGATTTGTTCTACTGTTGGCTATTTTTTTGGGTAGTTACATGTACATGTATTTTGTTCCCTGACAGCCATTTCAGAAGTTATTTGATGAACCTTATATTTCATGAAATCACTCATGAGATTTCCTTCAAATTAGTACACATGTAAGAGGGTGTAAGTTCTACATTTCCACTTTTGAGCAGATACTGGGTGGTGTGATTTTGTTTATGTTCTTTTCATTGCTGTTTTAAATTGTTAATACATGTACAATACTTTTTACTTCTTAGGGAAGGGGTACAAATGTGAACATTGCGATAAACTGCTACGAAGGAAAGGTAGTCTAATTCGACATACTAGAATCATGCACACGCATAAGGTATGTTTTAATACATGTACACAGTCATAAAGAGAATGGCTCAATCTCTATGTATTTACGTACATATGTCTGTTCGGGCAATAACTCAAATAGTGTTGGCCCAATATCGTTTATATATTATACGTATGTGAAGACCCAAGTATTCTTGGCTACCCATCTATTCTGACTCTTGCCGAAGTATACTGACCCGACCCAAGTATTCTGAGCTTACTTATTTTTACAAATACATCCGATAGATGTCCGCGATAAAAAGCAAGACATCTATCGAGTGTATTTGAAAAAATAAGCAAACTCGGAATACCTGGGTCAGGTAAGAACACTTCGGCAAGAGTCGGAATAGATGGGTAGCCAAGTATACTTGGGCTTCCACATACGTATATGCCCAAAGCTCTGCTCTAAAGCCAATTTTCAAAAGTCGTTTTGTTGTCAATTTTATTGTATTTTAGGTACAACATATGAAGTGTAACAATAATACGTTGTAAATGCAATAAATTATTTAGGATATTGATTAAGCTGAAAATCTACTTATTTTTTTGAAAAACAGTTGGCTGTTATACAATATTTTACGATTTCTGCTGTAACTAGAAAAGTAGTGGAGCGATTTTGTTGAAAATTTATATGTGACCAACAAAAAGCATTTTACACTTTCTTATGACATTTTGGCTAGTAAGTGGCCATTTTGTGTTATGTTACAGTTCAGCAGACATATTTTGGTAGCCTTACAGTTTATCAATCGAAAATTAAGTAGAATCATCATGTTGTTTTGCGAGTCAAAGTTTGAGCCTAGAACAGTTTGTTTATGTTATTCGTATTATGTTAACAGTCCTGACCGATGGGAAAACTGGGTAATACTACTACGAAGTTTAAACTAAATGGAATAAATAAAAGAATAAATACACTATGTTTGGTGAAAAAACTTCAAAGCATTTGAAACCATATTTCTGCCAGTTCCATGGCATAAGATTTCCAATCCAAAACTAAATAACTTCTTAAGAATTATGGGGAAATCAGTTGTGCTCACAAGGTTAAGAAGGTTTTCTCTGAAAATTAATAATTATTTGATGGATTTATTTACATTTTCAAATTTTCTTGCATAAATAATTAGTATGTGGATGATTGATGATCCAAGGATTTTCTATGTATGACTATGTTGTACCTATTTTTCCCTTTTGACTCTGTTTGTCATTTGAAGATAATTGTACTGAACATATGTAAGTCCTGAATAATAGACTAGATGCGAATAGAAATGATCTTGATTTACGTCATTAAATATTCAAAATTCAGTCAAAGTGGTGTCATATTTGAAATCTACATGTAAAAATACATCTAAAAATATGGTTTCGAAAATTGTTTATCAACTTTGAAAAATTTAATCTTTTTTGAAAATGTGACTTCTAGTTCGGGTTGATTCCCCATAGACCCAATATTACAAAATCTCAAAAAGTGAAATATCTTTTCTTGTATTGGACATATACCATTTTCTTTTACTGGGCATACTTTAATTTGCATAACTATTCGATACATAAAGTCTATATGAAAATTGAACCACTAAAACAGATGTAATTTAAGTTAAAGGGAACTTTCTACTATAAACTCGCCATGCTATCTGACCCGAGCGAGCCACCTGGTGGTGAAACTGGTAACTACCTACTCGCATTTGCGTTATTGTGCTAATGTGTTTCCTTCACTTCTTTCAGAACACCAAAAAATACCAATGCCATTTATGTGAATACTGCTCCAATGTTAAAGGAAACTTACACCTTCATCTTAGAAATAAACATAAACTTAAAGTGGCCACCCTTGGGGGAAATTTAAGTGTACGTAGTGAGCAACCGAAGGATGCAGTTATAGTAACCAATGAAGGAAATGTTGTACCATATGTTCCAGAACTTTCGGAAGACCTACATGGCCAGAGCTAAATGCCAATGACTCCTGATGGATAGATTTCTGAATGAAGATGTCTAATAGACTTTGAAACAATCTTTCTTTTTTGTATATAATACAGTTTGGAAAGATGTTGTTCTTAATGTTTGAAGACCAAGTTCATCCTGGTAAAAGGGACCTAGCTGCTATACTAGCCTTCCAATGCAATGCCTTTAAAGTGTGGTTGGCCAAACTAGGCCTTATGTTTAGGTTTGAAAAATTGTGATGTTTTGCGATTGTGATTGTAAAAGGAAAAATGACATTAAAGATGATAATTATTGGTTTTTAATGGTCTGATTAACGTGTTGTTAAGCCCCAGTCACATTTGCTCTACGGCGGTCGTATCTTCACAAAACCGATATACATGATATACATGTAGAAAATCTATATCGACTGCTCATCCCTATTTTTTATGCTGCATATTTCTCTCGATATTTGGAAGATACGGCCGTGTACGGTTGCCGTAGATCAAATGTGAGAGAACGCACGTAACATCATTTCATTCCATCGTATTAATGTGAAAATAAAATAAATGTTACACAAATCTTTGTGACACAAAAATCTTGTTATCAACTATTCTGTCCAGTCCTACAAAAAAGTCGTAAAATGGGTGAAATTCTGGCTGTAGCCATAGTCGGGAAATGCATGAACAATGTATTTCTATGTCTTAAATAATTAGCTACCTCTGTCATAAACAGTCTTCAATTACGCCCATCTCGTTCACAATTCGTTCAGGTTTAATTGATATCCGATTGCACAACGTCGTTAACGCATCTCTAGTAGGGTCGAAGTACGGCAATTACATTCGTATTCTAGTAGGTCAGCTGACTCGTTTGAATTACATTGTCACACGATCTAATTACAGACCGTAATGCTCGCCATCGATTTTTGAAATGGTTCAAAATTTTAAATAGCCCTCCCGAAGCGAGCACGTCCATGGATTTCGTAAATAGACCATAGAAACTTGTAGCTACGTTCATTCCGTTCGCAAATAGTTTATAATTAAAACCTGTTTGGCAATGTTTTGAAGAATGCAGTGACAGTAGTATTTTGGTGTTATAGCTATTTTTGCTACCTCGATCATAAGTCGTCTTTAATACGTCCATCTCGTTATTCCGTCTGCAGTACGCTGTTATCAAGTTAGATCGGGTAAAATTGCGCGTTTATCTCATCTGCACAACGTATCCAAGTAGATCAATTACGTCCTTTATCAGTTTAAACCCATTTGGCAATTACCCCCATATCACACCAAACTAGTTCTTACCCGTTCTTGCCAGTCCTACGAAAACTTCGTAAAACGGGCTTAATCTGGCTGTGGTCGGGAAATATGCCTAAAATAATTAGCTACTTCGTTCATAAACAGTCTTCAATACGTCCATCTCATTCGCAGTTCGTTCAGGTCGCACCACGGTGGTGTGTAAACGTCGTATAACGCGTCCCTTAGTCTAGAAGGTCATCATGACCTGATTACAGAACGGTATGGTCGCCATCGAATTTGGAATCGATTCAAAATTCTAAATCACATTCCCCGTCCGGGAAAGTCCCATGAAGTTCGTAAACAGACCACAGAACGTTGTAGCTACGTTCATTCCGTTCGCGCACAGTTTAAAACCAGTTTTGAAGAACGCAGTGGCAACTTGCTTGGTGTGATAGCTATATTTTTGCTAACTCGTTGATAAATACGTTCTTAATCATTTTTAATCCGTTTGCAATTAGTTCTACCTCGTTCTCAATACGTCCTCAGGCAGTTCAACTCGTTGTAAAAAACGTCCCTAGTAGGATTGAAGTACGACGGTTCCGTTCGTAGTACGTCCAGCTCGTCGTTAGTAGGTTGTCACTCGTTCTAATTGCAGAACGTGATGACCAAGAGAACATTGAGCATGTTCTAAGTTCTAGAGGACCTACCCGTTCGAGTACGTTCGATGAAGTTTGTAAATAGACCCCAAACGGTTCTAAGTACGTCCAGTCCGTTCATACACAGTTGAAGCCCGTTTTCGAGAACGTAGTGAGAACTAGTTTGGTGTGATAGTTATATGGTGAACTGAACTCAACAATACCAATTATTGAAAACATTCTGTAAAAACACGGTCCTTTATGTAATGTTGACTGATTGACAACAATTTAATGCGAAAATTATTTATATCTATTTAATATAACTGTTTTTGTTTGTTTTTGTATTATTTCGTAAACCGAAATGGAGTGATTTTGAAAATAGGGTCATAATTCTAGGAAAGTACTACTTATATATACTATTATATACTTTTTTACAGAATGTTTTCAATGATTGGTTTAAGAGAAAAACATTGTTGAATTCAGTTCTCCATAGCGATACCAATCCTTTTTCAGATTTTTTTGATGACTGGTTTAAGAGAAACGTGTGTTCAAAACGTTCACCATATCGATACCAATCCTTTGTAGATGAATTACATGCAGAATGTGTTTATAGTCCCCTCTTATCCTGATTGCAATGGTAACCAGTGCAATGTTTTCTGTCATAAGTCACTTTCTCCAACTCATACGACTGTTATTTTCGCCCTACAGAACAACGTCTTAACGTAATTACGTTCCTAATAGGTTTGAAGTACGACAGTTCCGTTCGTAGAACGTCCTTTTCGTCTTAAGTAGGTAATCACTCGTTCTGATTGCTGAACGTGACGACCACCAGAAAGTTTTTGAGCGTTGAAGTTCTGGAGGACCTACTGGCTCGAGTACGTTCCTGAAGGTGGTAAATAAACCCCGGACGGATCTAAGTACGTCCAATCTGTTCGTTCACAATTTAAGCACGTTTTCGAGAACTTATAGTGAGAACTAGTTTGGTGTGGTGGGGGGAGGGTGATAATGTCTCATAAATAAATCTGTAGAGTACAACCTTTATTTTTGTGATCGAATTCTATAACTGCTACATATTATACTAGTAACCTCAATTGATCCAGGATGATGTGTGTTAGTGAACATCTTTTATTTGCTTATTCAATGTAAACTGGGGATTTGAATTAAGTTTTATTTGTTGACATGTGATGGATTTCAACATTTTACCCTGTAGTTCAAATGCTTTTAGGAGTACAAGGAGTAGTATGCATTGTGCAGCTTACCCTTTGCGAGAGTGGCTGATTTTCCCCCACCCTGTTCACATTCACGGGGAGTAAGTCACCCCCTATTCTCTACATTAAAATAATATATAGGCTACAGAATATAGGAGGGACGGGTGACTTACTCCCCATGTTCACATTACTGATGAATCTCCGATCTTGCTGACCCAGCCATTCTTATCCATTTCCCCGGGTCCATTACTAGTTTATCCATTACATATTGTACGATTGCACATGCTAAACTATGTTACACACTCAGATTGGGTCTATGGTGGTCGTGCTTTTACTCTATAAAGTACAGTTATTTACGAGTAAGGTAGTGCTGGTGATGGATATGGCTGAAGGGCTTTTTGGTTCGTTGTCACTGTCACTGGCTTTGACTATACCTGTCGCTATTTGCAAGCCATATACTGTTACTCTTGGGTCAGGTTCTTGGGAAACATTTTTGTCTTCGGGTGTTTCATGAATTGTAACATAGTTCTTTTCATCTGTCATTGTGAAGCTTGGGTTAGTATTTACTTGTGTGGAAGATTTAACATTCTGAAAAATGAAAATTAGGGCAATGTATAAAGTGACCGTATGGTTGTGACACACGTTTGTGCAATTAAGGTCATGTAGGTTCCGCCTACATCTTGTGAAATCGTTGGAAAAATAAACATCGTTCCCTCGAGGCTGCGACATTTTGTTACCGAAACCAGTTTGAAGATAGAAGATATCGATCACAGTGATATGACCACCAGGTAGTACAAAGTGTTCATAGATCATAAGGTGGTTGACTTGATAAGAACAATTAATCTGCTCGCCCCTCGCTCAAACTTTAATTTTTGAAGTGCTATCTCACTGTTCCAAAACTAGTAACTTTGACGGAACGTCAATTTAACAAAATGGATGAACTTCCTGGATACGTTTTTTTGTTTTCTTGATCGTTTAAACTACGTTGAGGATTATCATTTGGCACAAAGTTAGACAATATAGTCTAGCTTTTAGAATTATTCTCGGTTTGGAATTTGATTTTTAAATAAAGCTTAATTAATTCATGTATTTAGACCATCGCTTTTGTTACATTGACGTAAATCGTCAAAGTAACATACATTGGTAATATAACGGAGTTTCGTCAATGTAACAAAAGCGAGGAGCTAAATATATGAATTGCAACTTCATTTACAAAACAAATTCCAAATCGAAGAAACTTATTAAAACTAAATTATATTTTCTAGCTTTATGCCAAATTATAATCTGCAACTTGACTTATAAGTAGGTTAAATCGAGAAAACAAAAAAACTCGTAACCAGGAAGTTCATCCATTTTGTTACATTGGCGTATCTGTCAGCTTAATTTAAAATTAAATAGTAACTAACCAATTCTCAAAACCAAACACCTGTGTAGATCTTGGTCTACATGATTTATTTAGTCGATCAAGTATCATGTAATAGTCAAGTAAGATTCAAGATTCAAGATTCAAGATTTTATTGTGTTTCAAACCAAACACTTGGTTTCCTCACAAAATCAATTACAAGACATTTACATATAATTATACAGTTAAAAAAACAACATGCATTGTTTCACAAATACCATCATACAATCTTCGCTTTTTCAAATAGCTCCCGACGCTGATTAAAAAGTTTATTTATAAAATGTATCAATTCGTTAACAATTTCAAAATCATCAGAAGTCATCAAAAAGTTATATTTTTCTTTATCCGACATATTATCAAATGTGTCAATAAAACTTAGTTTATTAAAAAATTCAAATCTACATTTTTTATAGCCATCACACACAAGAAGAAAATGCTTTTCATCCTCTACTTCCCCCTTATTGCAAATCTGACAAATTCTTTCATTTATTTCAAGTCGATGCTGTTTAGTGCCATCTTTTTTCTTTTTCTCGTGTCTCCCTGTTTATTATATCATTTACTTATTGAAAACCATCGCGTCCTTATATTTGGACTACTAATATAAAATAAAAAGTGCACCTGTTTTATGACGTCATTCACAGATTCTTGTTTTTTAGCCAGCGCTCGTTTCACACCCTTATTTGGTAGAAACCAAAGTATGGTTAAAATAGCAAAGAATATCACAACCATAATGATAGGTACAGCGACATTTACCCAAAGTGGCCAACATCTAAGTTCGTTCGAGGGACAAGGGACATTGGTCCTACCTGGGGTCACAGCAGATGTCATATTCCAGTCAATCTGAAACAAGGAATTTACTTTGCAAATTACTTGTCATAACTCAGTCACGACTCAGTGACGACTTTGGGCTGTTACAAATAGAAAATAGTAACAATTTGTTAGACACCGACGTCGATCACATAAACTGGTGGATAACAATGTGTCACCATTTTGAATATCAAATCAATATCAAAATGTTCTCTTGGTCGTCACGTTCTACAATTAGAACGAGTGACAACTTACTAACGACGAACTGGACGTACTACGAACGGAACCGTCGTACTTTAATCCTACCTAGGGACGTTTTTACGACGAGTTGAACTGTCTGAGGGCATGTTGAGAACGAGGTAGAACTAATTGCAAACGGGTTAAAACTGATTAAGAACGTATTTATCAACGAGTTAGCAATTATATAGCTATTTCACCAAGCAAGTTGCCACTGCGTTCTTCAAAACTGGTTTTAACGGTGTGTGAACGGAATGAACGTAGCTACAACGTTCTACGGTCTGTTTATGAACTTCATGGACTTTCCCGGACGGGGAATGTGATTTAGAATTTTGAATCGATTCAAAATTCGATGGCGACCATACCATGCAGACCTTCTAGACTAAGGGACGCGTTGTACAACGTTGCACACCGACGTGGTGCGACCTGAACGAACTGCGAATGAGATGGACGTATTGAAGACTGTTTATAACGAAGTAGCTAATTATTTTAGACATATTTCCCGACTACAGCCAGGTTGAGCCCGTTTTACAACGTTTTCGTAGGACTGGCAAGAACGGTAAGAACTAGTTTGGTGTAATAGGGGGGTACCAGTGCTACTATACCAACGTTTAAAGTACTAGATACTAGTAACTGAATTATAAACCCATATCATATCGTAGTCTTGCATCCCTTATCTACTTTGATAAAAGGTCACTTTTGAAAAGTAGATAAGGACGGGGGTCCAGCATCATTGGCCTTCTATTAGCTTCACACATATTTCTGGTTGAAGACAGAAATACGTGATGATTATCAGAATGGGGGTCCAGGGTTTTGAGGCAAGGCTACCCATATCGTTTTCATAATCATACTGTTTAATTCCAAACGTATCGTTTTTTCCAATAGTCTGCGCACATATAGACGAACGCAAGGATTTATAGATCAATGAGGCGATCGCGTGTTTATGAAATTCGTGTGGTATCACACTAACATTCAACATCTGAACATGTTCAACATCATGAACTTACCGTTGTTGCTTCCATTCTGAATGTGTAGTTTTAGAACTTTGGTTTATTCGCTTAATCCTATTTTTCGGGTAGCCTATTAATTATTGGTAACATCTAAGCATCCAAATTACGACTGAAAAGCGATATCGTACTGCACCTCTTCGTTGAGCCAGGGTCGTTGAGTACACTATTGTAGATTCAATTTACAAGGTTGAGAGTCCAAAGTAACATTGACATGATTGACATGATTGATTTCCAAATGATCCTGTTATACTCGATTTATTGAATATACCTTTCAACTAAACATTAGCCCATATTTTCATGATTGTCTAATGTAATGATGGGTTAATCTGATATGTCGCAACGGAGTACATGCACAATTTAACACAATGGTTATCTTTGGTTATATATCGCGTTACTTTCTGACAAGCGTAGACTGAGTTATCGTGTTACAACTTGGAATAATTTGAATGAAGTGTTTTATAGAACTTTCAGTGCTATCAACTTGTAGAACAATCCAATTCAAGGTCCATATGAAGTAAACTGATATTTGTATCAATTCAAGCAAGGTTATTAATGTCAAGAGGGAGGGGGCAAAAGTTGAAATTTTGTCTTTTCTCATATGCACTTTTAGTCTGTCGTCTGTGAATGTTTTTACGACTGTAAATACGATCTTCATGCTCCCTATGCACCGGTGAAATATCTCATTGTTACAAATTACCACTCAAATTTTCATTTTTTTGAATAAAGTGGGGTTTAACACAGAAATTTTGCTTAAAAGCAGAATATTTCTTCTGTTCACCCCACATTCTTGAAAAACCAGATCGATGGCTGTCAATTTTTGACAATGGAATGTTTTCCTGGAGTACTGGGAACGTGATGAGCGTATTTGTCTAACAAACTACATATACACACCTACCTGTACTCTGAAAATACGAAAACACTCTACGTGTTTACGCCCAATGAAATTCGATCATTAACAGAATTCCTTTCATAAGAATCCGATGGGGTTAAAGCTAAAAAATACCATTCCTACTGGGTCTAAGAAGAAATTAATGGTTCCGTGCCTTTGGTCCCTAGCCATTATTTCACCTAATACCCACTACTCATTGTTTATCCATTACATTAATCGGAGGTAATTTCCACTTATGCCGTAGGTGATAGATGTACTTGTCACCATATTTTATCATTTTCAGATGATATCCCAACATGGTCGGGGCCATTGGGACGACTCTTTTTCCAATAAGGAATTATCCCCATGTGTTCTCTATCAAGGGGATACACTTAACTATACTAGCTAACAAGGAAGTTTATGCCCCCTTCTTATGTTCTCATTAGAAGTGTGAAAGGAATTATCCCAATGTGTTCTCACTCAAGGGGATACACTTAACTATACTAGCTTAGGAAGTTAATGCCCCCTTGTTATGATCTCATAAGAAATGTGAAATGAATTATCCCCATGTGTTCTCTATCAAGGGGATACACTTAACTATACTAGCCAAGGAAGTTAATGCCCCCTTGTTATGTTCTCATCGAAGTGTGAAAGGAATTATCTCCATGTGTTCTCTATCAAGGGGATACACTTAACTATACTAGCTAAGGCAGTTAATGCCCCCTTGTTATGATCTCATAAGAAATGTGAAATGAATTATCTCCATGTGTTCTCTATCAAGGGGATACACTTAACTATACTAGCTAAGGCAGTTAATGCCCCCTTGTTATGTTCTCATAAGAAATGTGAAAGGAATTATCCTCAATATAATATTTACCTTAATAAAAGTAACTGGAATAAAAATATCTCATCTTACTAAATGTCTATAACAACTAAAAATTTATTAATTAATAGTTTATTAATGCCATAATGAAGATGATATTAATTTAATTAAAGTAATGCCATGTATGCTACAGTATTTAATATCGTATATTTACCAATCGTGTAACATAACATTGTATTAAATGAATCACAAGGATCAACACAAGAAGTAAAATATCTTAAAATTTCATTGCCAATGGAATAAATTTCTTTCGTGAGATGTGATTTAATACACTCAAAGACAATTACTATTCACTTTAACAATCGTATATCACTCATATGTATCAGACAGGCCTATACATACACATTTGATTTTAGCCATCATTACCCAGAAATATATCAATGTCGTGAATATTCCTCAAGAACAGAAGAACAGGTAGCTGATATAATAAACACATTTATGTGAATAAATCAGAGATGAAATTAATAAGAGAAATAACATTTGTTATCTTGGGATTTTGAATGACATCTTCCTATCAATATCAGTCAGCATTCACGAGCGAAAAGTCCATAATGATATTTTCGATAAAGATATTTACGACACTGTGTAATTTACTTTTTTGTTTGTATGGTTCAGGTTATTTCATTAAATTAATTGATTTAACTCTTTTAATCCAGTCTATGGATAACATTGTTTTACAAAATGGAATGATGATGTATGGCTGAAATAATCAAGGAGTTTCAACTCTTTACTTTGTAGATGTTCCTATCGTCAACTCGTCACTCGTCAGTATCCTTAAAATCGAGTAAACTCTTCATTCAGTATCAATATTCGAGTTTGGATGCGGTGCGCTAAGACTAAATTTGATACTATCCAGCGATTACGTACGATTCAGAAGAACAACTTTACAATCTGATCGCAGCAGTTCGACCAAGATCGGCCATGCCCATTGAAACAACGAATTTCAGATCAGATTTGCGCATGATGTATTAATCATTTATCCAGATTTCTTGTTCTCTTTGGCCCAAATAAATATATTGATACCAGTAGCGTAGATGATGATCGAAGGAGTGGTATACCATGCACTGCGTGAAATATGGGATTCCAACTCTTGACACGTCTAGAAACTGGTCTTTACACGCCGGGTTTCTAGACGTGCCAATTATTTACACCTCTTGACACGCGATGAATTCAACTCTTTACACCTCTTTGCACTTCTTGGCACACGCAGTGCAAAGACGTGTAAAGACCATGTCAAAAAGTCTTTGCACGCCCTGTGACAATTAATGGAATCTCTTGACACGCTCTTGGCACACTGAACAACATAATTATGTGTAAACAACTACCCTAATTACCAATAGCAATACATACAGTATTTTAACGATTGCAAGTATTTTCTCTGATACTTTTAATTGATATATTTTTTAATCATTCTTTCGCAGACTGTTTGGAACAAGTACATGTAGCAAATATTAAACAGACTATTTTGTATGTACGCTGACACATTGACTTATTTAAACATTTTGGCAATTTCATGCCGCCTTTTGAAAATATAAATCAGTTACAGGCAATGCTAATCGACGCATTGATCCTAAGTGAAGGAAATACATATCATGATAAGAAAAAGAAAGGCGTTTCAAGGATAAAACGTGCAATAAACTTTGAAAACACAAATACATCAGGCCTATTTATATATTTATTTTGTATTAGCTTAATACATGGGCTCTACCACCTGATAGAGCCCATGCTTAATATAAAGATAACCTTACTTTTCGACGAGTATTTGGATTTCGGAGTAATTTGTTTCAAGTTAAGTCAATACAAATTATCGCCGACTTAACTTGTGACCATACATATGATAAATGAGGGCCATTTTAATACACAATTGGGCAAAACAAGCATATTCATCAATCGAATGTACCATTCTCTCTGCTGTTCTTTCCCAGCCTATCCATAAACAGACAGGTACAAGTTCCCATAGTTTTCGCAACATCTAATTCTATGATCAATTGCTAGACACAGCAACTATACTAATTAATTGTCTGATTGTGATTCGGGAACGTAGGGTTTTTACATAAACAGGATACTTGGCTGTACATAGCCTGAGAACACCGGATTGACCCCCCCCCCAATCGACGCCTAGGCGCTGCTTATGTTTTAATAAGAAACATTCCCTTGTAAAGAATTATCGGGATATGAATTGATACAAGGTCAAGTATTCTGCCTCTTTTGTGTGATAAAAATATGTATTTAATTGGTGCTTTAACTTTTTGAACAAAGAAATGAAATAATCGCACTGAATGTCTCAACATAAATCAGTGATGTTTAATTAATAAATGGCACTATTATGTCAGTCTACGCACTTCATGGACATGGACGGGGGGGGGGGGGTGTGAGTTACCCATTCTAAAATGGTTAAATTTTGTATTAAAGAGTAATCAATAGGTCGTGAACTCCGATTGATAACCAACTATAGCATAGTACTTAATTTGTTTGACTATTGATATTAAAAAGGAGTGAATTTATGATATTCATAGAGGTACATTGTATTGGTATTAATATAACAATGATATTGGGGAGGGACCATAAACCACTTTGTTTCGCAAGTAGCTTTAGGATCGCGGTTTTATCTTCACATGTTGCCCTTTGTGCAATTCGAAAATGAAATATTTTAATCTATAATTTATATATCATTTGCAAAATAAATGTAATTAAGAGACATGGGGGAGGGGGGGGGGGGGGTTAACGGCCAGAATTTGGAATGAATTTGGGAATTTCAAGGATTGATTCACTTAATGTTGTTCACTGGAGTCGATACACACACCTGCATAACAATCGGAGACAAACCTGACTTAATCTGATATGATAACAAAAGATTAATAACTTAGTCTATGTTTTTGTTTTTATAATTGCGGAAGTGTACCAAAACCACCTTGATTACAGAAGATATCGTCTAGGCTTTAGATTTAATGAATAGATTTTTTGCCCTAGTCTCATTTAATAAAACAGGCTATTTGAGTATTTAATTAATATTTGTGACAAAATATTTCAGTTAGACTCAAAATCAAAACGAATTTCTCCATTATAGCCCCCCTTGCAACTGTCCCGAGTCTGCATCTGTTTTTCATGCTTCCGATCCACCTTTGGGATAGAGAGAATAGATGTAGATTTGTAATTTGGGGGGATGGCATTAAATGTGTTCTCATACAAACTAAAATAAACCCCAAAAAGCCATATCAAATGTCCAAACACAAGACCAATGCCATGACAAACATCCAAATATAGAACCAATGCCATACCCCCGGGTACCAAATATCCAGAATATAAGACCAAGGCCATTCGAAATATCGAATGCCCCGAGAAGAAGGCAGATCTTTGAGTAAAATGATCATAAACAACCTCAAATGAAGGATATGTGTAACAACTAGACCAATGCCCCGGGACCAATGCCGTACCACAATTGAGGGGTAACATATTTTCCACACCGATTCTTATACCAGAAAATGGAAAAATCTGTCTTAAAATGTGGGTCCATTGGCTTGACATACCAAATGTAAAAACAGGTACCCCACCTGAGCCGAGTGTGAACCCCCGGGGTGAATGGTGAACACACGGGGCAAGGAATTCTTCGATTTTGATTCAAGTAATTTTTTTTATAAAATTCATACTCATGTTAATAGCGGACGCCTTGGCCAAATAATCTTTCAAATCATGCACTTTCCAAGTGATTTTGTAGCAAAATTGTGATAATATATGAACCCCTTGGAATTATTCAAAGACGGACCCCCGCCAGCCCATCCCCCATTCTTACCTATGCTAAACACTAAGATAAACATATAGAATGGTATCTTACACTTTTTGGTTTATCAACACATACCGCTCACAATATAACAAGTATACAGATTGTAACATAGATAAGCGAATTGGGGAAAATTACAATCCCTTTGATCAAATTATTATAAGATTTAATCTCCAGCTGAGGTGCAATCAAAATGTTGATACACATAATTAGCAGTCAGAAAGATGCTCTTACCACTGTAGTTTTCAATATTCCCTTTGTTGTAACATCTTATTTCAAAAGAATGGATATTGATGGTTGTATGGAAGTATTCATATCAAACATTCACATTATAGTTTACAGTGGAATTCCCTCCATAAATGCAACATATTTACCATTTAAGATTTCATATTGGACTTTCCGCATAATGATAAAATGTTGACGATATAGTTTTCGATAAAACCCCAGGGCCGTAGCCAGCTTTCAGTCGGGGGGAGGGGTGATGCAATCACCAAAATATTTTAGGTTTTCAGTCGGGGGGTGCGATCGTGACATAAATGAGGCAAAAAATATTTGTTTTGAATTTTTACGAAAATGATGCAACTTCCTTCAAACCTGAGCTAGAAGCTTCAAACAAAGAATCAATTTAATGCTCTTTTCTTCCTCTACCTTATGGTACCTTTTATTGCTTGTAGGAGGGGGTGCGAACCCATCGCTTCTCCTCGTTACGCTTATAAACCCAGTAACGTATTCCCAAGGAATCGACTTTATTAATTTATATGTGAAAAATGAGCTTGCAGGTACAAATTGCATCGTATGCAAACCTTCCCCTGACCGACCTCTTAATTTTTGGCTTGTTTATATGCCACAATCGCATCACCCCGACTGAAAACCGATTTTTTGACGATCGCACCACCCTGGCTGAAGCCTGGCTACGTCCCTGTAACATGTATTCAATTGATATAGCCATAAAATACAATAAGACATGTTTGTTTCGGCACTTTGAAAATAATATTTTTGTTTCCTTTCACGATGTGTCCTTTTCAGCGTTTGGTGTTCTGCTAGGAATGGATTGAATCAGGGTTTAATTTTGCGAATCTCGAAACAGGCGCTAAGCAAAATTACCTCAGGCCTGTATCAGGCCTGTAGCCAGGAGTTGCCAAGGGGGATTCACTTTTTGAAAAATTCCAGAAGTGGTTCACTTGTGACAATTTTGGTCCAAAATTAGCTAGAATCACTTAAAAAAGTGCTCAGAATGGTGAAAACTGCATGATTTGAAAGATTTTTTTGGCCGGGGTGGGGGGGGGGCTACGGGCCTGAATATATTCATTTTGAGGGTTAAAATAATGTGTTTTATACAGAGAGTGTATTCCAAATATCGAGTCTGGTTTAAGTATCCCGGGAGAAGTATGAGGGTCTCGGTATCATTTTCAATGGCAAGGGATTATTCTTTAAGAGTTTTAACTTTATAATCCACATAACCTGAACTTGTGATTAAACTAATGATCAAAGGATGGATTTTTGCATCATTGTTAAATCGTCGATAAGTTTGACAATACCCATGTTTAACTTGGATTTCATTTAAAACATTTGATTCCGGTTTTATAAGGAATTTTAGTTTGATTCGTTCATGATTTGTTAGACTTTGTCTAATGTCCGATGAATCGGAGCAAATATGACCCAGGCATATGAGGGGCAACATTTTAGATATAGTATTGTTTGAAATCCTGGGAAAATGCACTCCCCCAATTTTGCAAATCTGGTCTGCGGTGCTAATGAACCCTCTAATTTGTTTTCGTTTACATGAGCAACTAACAGATATGTTTATTCTCATTCTGTCTCAGCTTAATTTTAATTAAATTTTACCCCCACCCTTCGAACGTCTTTGTCTCCCTCATTTTTGCAACCCTACATTCAGTTTCTTTTTAAACCAAATCAAGAAATATCCGTCCACATATCAGATATTAAACCAATAGTTGTTCATTATAAGAACAACCATATAAATTTATAGATCATAAGCTATTTTTAATTTCAGCTATAAAATTAGCCCTCTCTCCCCTCCTCTATCTCTAGATACGCAGAGTTTCTAGACCGGCTAAGCACGTCTAAAAATTACTAGAAATTCCACAATTTATACAGTGATATGGATTTCATGTTTCTATTGAATCCCTTATTTTGAAGTCTAGCTAAATAATCGAGTTTGATTTTAAACGTTTTCGGGGATCCGGGCAGAACTCAGGATATAGTACTTGAGTACATTTGCATTCAAAATAATTCAAAATTCAAAATTGCAAATATCATGGAAGTTGATTGCAATTATGTTCGATGATCGTCAACATGAAAGAACAATATGTCTGAATAATTAGCTATTAAACATCTTTATCAAAAGTTTCCTACACTTTTAAATGTTGATCTTGTCAAAGAGTACTCTCCATCTGAGATTCAGATGTAGATCAAAAATCAAATTGATTTCAAAGGTATTTATAGATGGTTTACATGAGGGGTTCTGTCCATGTGGGTGGTGTATTCCTTTCATAACAAAGAGTTGTTTTGCTTCCGGGGTCCTAAATTATTCAATTTTAAATAGTAACTAATAAAGATTAAACAGATCAAAAAGACTCGGGGCACTGCCGTCGCCCCATCATGATCAATACAGGTGACAATAAGCGACACATGTTTCAGCGTCATGATAGTAAACCATGACATCTCAAATCTTCCCAGCCCTTGATTTTTGAGATCTTTCATCCCAGCTCATATTTCATCTAATTGGGGTCATAAAACTTGTGTAACTGTGCCTGTTGCATCCTCGCTGGAAGGGTATTTTACAAGTATAAATGAAGTCCTTTGAAGAAGGATGTGCCTGTTGTTAAATACATGTACAATGCCTTATGTAATGTATTGACATTAAGGTAGATGATTACATGATAACAATCACACTTATTGACATTCATAACTCTTCCCATCTGATATGCTCAGATCACAGAATATTCCTCATTATATCAGAGCATGTTTCAGGCGTTCCAGACCTATAGCCAGGATTTGCCAAGGGGTGGGTTACTTTTTTAAGAAATTCCAGGGGGAGTTTACTTTTGGCAATGTTAGTTCAAAAATGAGCAAATTAATTTAAAAGGTGCTCAGTATGGGGTGAAAAATGCAATTTTGGTCACGGAGGGGGGGGGGGGGGGTCGCTAGAACCAATCTATCCCCCCTGTATTCGGGCCTGAATGTGCTATCTACATATTTGACAATTTGATTGACACGGTTCAAAGTGGACTTTGTTAATTATTCAAACTGTTTTAATATCTAGGAATATGCGTCCAAGTTAAAATCACTCGAAATCAGGGTAGATAAACCTAAGAAAAACACATTTCGTGTTTTCATTTGATCTTTAACATGATCCTGTAAAAATGTCAGATTTAGCAAAATACATAGGCGATCTCCATCTGCACACATCTACTCATTTCGACTAAGCTATTGCCTATACTTACACGCACACGCATAATTTTAAATTAATTTTATTTTGATAATGATTTAAAAAACACAAATTATTATTAACACGAAATTAAAATGATTGTTATATTCCAATCCTAGTAAAGTATAATTAAGCGCGACTATAGGGCATAACAACATGTGGCCGGTCTAATTATACTGTTTGTTTTGATAAGGCTGTGCAAAGAGATATCAAAACTCTTGACACGCTCTTTACACGCGAGGTCTTTGCACCTCTTGACACGTCTTGGAATCTCTAGATACGCGGAGTTCCTAGACTATCTTTGCACGTCTAGAAATTGCTTGGAATTTCACATTTGACGCAGTGATGACTGTTTGTTATATCACATGTACATGTATGTACAGTCATTATGAGTGTTCTACAATTTTTGTACAACTAAGGCGTGTTCATTAGTGCATCTATTCTATACATTGTCTCATTAATCCATGAAGTGTAGCTAGCCACTCGAGTGTAAACGCCTGGTTGACGTGCTTGGGCACACACGCCGCCCCAACTAGTTATCCCTGCTTGTTGCCATCTATTGTGTAGATTACAAATCAAAGGACCACCTGAATCGCCCTGCAAAAGTATAAATAAGGAAACATGTAATAATTAATTGATATCTAAAATTGTTAAAGTATCTCATTCTACTGGTCTTAGAACGTGAATTGAATGTTGTTTAATTTACTAGTTTCTGGATTGAGTACCATGAGGGATTTAACTTTAACCAGTACTAGAGAAAATACATAAAATAAATTCCATACAAATGTATTAATTCTTTTTCAGAAAATAAAATTATCATTGTAGGGAGTACATGGACATACTGTTTGAAGATTGCTTCCAGTGTCTCAGGGTAAGTTTTTTAAAAGGTAATCAATTTTCAGAAAGATTTGAAATCCAAATTCAAACATAACAAGCTTAAAGTCGGTGCACACCTTTACTGGCTTAACTGTAAATGTATGTATAACAATCGAATGGGAAAATGGGGTTGCCAAAATTTTGGCGGGGAGTGTGACTTACCGTGCACGTGTCCTTTCCACCATTTGCATATCCAGCACAAAGCATTTCATTCGATACCTTACCGTTGTACCAGTTAGTTGAATTACAGAGACTGGATTTCAAAATTGGAAGCTGTACCTGTCTTATGACATTGCTGTACGTAGAAAATTGCCTAGCACCTTTGGAGAAAAAAGAAATGTGAATTAGGAAAAAAATGAATGGGTCGTGTCTCGACGTGGCAATCACAATATTGTTTTCTTTTTAAATGAGAGCCTACGAATGCAACTTCAATCCTCTGCAGCTTTTATACAAATTGCTATTGTGACATGGCAGTGGTTTTAATTGCCAACACTATGCGTAAAGTCAAGGAGAACAAAAAATGAGATCACTAGTGCACTTACTATAAATTCCCCATCCCATACTAAAGCACTGGAACCTATTGTCAGGATCTCCATACCTCAGAGCCGGAGCAAATGGGTCGATATATGGTATACAAGCGGGGAATATACCTGTGCTGTACGCTATTGGTGTTGCTAGTCGTACAAGTGCTATATCGTTACTGATTGGGAAGTTAGTAAAGTTCTCGTGTGATATAATTTCAGCAAAATTAATCTGCCTTTGAAGGCGATCGTTCCCTGATAGGTCGTGTCTGGCGAGATTTGCTGTCCATTTGCGTGGGACGTTTCTATTGTAGCTGCAAAATAAAAATACATTATTTTATATTGTATTACATTTAAATTGTTTGAATGATCAATTAAATCAACTTAACATTTTATAATATATTGAGCTATAATTGCGCTTTTTGTTGCATGTATAGATAAACAGCAATCTTGTCAAGGCCACGTGCTGCTTATATTGAAACCTTACTCAATGTGATTAAAATGTGATGTATGGAAAGTTTGTTTTATCTTCAAAACTGCGTTTCAAAAGTAGCTTTGTTCGAATAAAGTAATGCTTGCACATTTAGAAATAGTAATAACTTTTGCAAAATAATTTCGTTTCCGATATAATGGCGTCACATAATGAAAAACATATACACGTATAATTAAAAACGTATATACTTGATCTAATCAATGGCATATAGTAACCCTACTATCACACCAAACTAGTTCTCACTACGTTCTCAAAAACGGGCTTCAACTGTGTACGAACGGACTGAACGTACTTAGAACCGTTTGGGGTCTATATACAAACTTCATCGAACGTACTCGAACGGGTAGGTCCTGTAGAACTTAGAACATGCTCAGAATGTTCTTTTGGTCGTCACGTTCTACAATTAGAACGAGTGACAACCTACTAACGACGAGCTGGACGTACTACGAACGGCACCGTCGTACTTCAATCCTACTAGGGACGTTTTTACAACTAGTTGAACTGTCAGAGGACGTATTGAGAACGAGGTAGAACTAATTGCACACCAAGCAAGTTACCACTGCGTTCTTCAAAACTGGTTTTAAACTGTGTGCGAACGGAATGAACGTAGCTACAACGTTCTACGGTCTGTTTACGAACTTCATGGACTTTCCCGGACGGGGAATGTGATTTAGAATTTTGAATCGATTCAAAATTCGATGACGACCATACCGTTCTGTAATCAGGTCATGATGACCTTCTAGACTAAGGGAAGCGTTATACGACTTTGCACACCGACGTGGTGCGACCTGAACGAACTGCGAATGAGATGGACGTTTTGAAGACTGTTTATGAACGAAGTAGCTAATTATTTTAGACATATTTCCCGACCACAGCCAGATTGAGCCCGTTTTACGACGTTTTCGTAGGACTGGCAAGAACGGGTAAGAACTAGTTTTGTGTGATAGGGGGGGTAAACGAAGAGTGCACACTCTATAGCGCACACTTTATAGTGCACACTTTATAGTGTAATTTTAATAGCTTTCAAATGAAAATGCTGGCAAATACCGAATTGAGGGTCATGAATAGGCCTATTAATAAAACCTGGTGTAAAATACGATATCTAGTCCTGTATATGTTTACCTGAAACACTGTGCAGCAGTCAAGATCCAATAGTTGTTAATAAGTGTGCCAGCACAATAGTGTTGTCCGTCGTACCATAGGCTCACCATCCATGGCCAGGACAAAGGGATAACCTGTTTACCACCGATTATTCGAGTTCTGTAGAGCTGGTCTAAATTTCTGTCTCCACATGGCCCTATAATTGTACAGTTTAATATTGCATGTCTTTAGGGGTTGGAGCTCAAAGGAGTGGTATCGATATGGTGAACTTTTTCAACACGCGTTTCTCTTAAACCAGTCGTCAAAACATTCTGAAAATTTTACACAGAGTCAATTTAATGTTCATCTTTTGGATGGTAACATTATAATTTGAAATATATATTTTTCTCTATATTGTTTTAGAAAACACACCAGACACTTCTTTCGTTCTTGGTATTGTATGTTCGAAATGAAATGAAACATCTATCCGAACCTCATTGGAACAAAACGACATAAACACAACGTGTTTAGGTCCCTCAATATTGTAAGTGTACAAAGGAAACGTTTGGTTGGTTTTAAAAAGTATCTCGTTCATGTAATAAAAGGTTTAACTTTTTATTTTTTATCTATTTTTGGGGGTTCTGTTTTAAGTTTTTGCATACTTTTTGTTAAATCAACAAAAATTTCCTTTGTATAACAATACTATTGAGAGATCTAAGAAAATGTTGTATATGCTATTTTGTTCGAACAAGGTTCGGAAAGACAAGAATTGGTAGAAAGAAACAAAAAAACAATTTCACTAAAAACCAAAAATGTTAACAAAACAGAAAAAATCAAATATATGTTAATGATTTTTGCATTAAATTGTTGCCAATCAGTCAACATTACACAAAGGACCGTGAATTCATTTCACCATATCGATACCTCTCTTTGAAAACTTGAGATTTTCTGATTTCCCTTGGCCAAAAATTCTTTCAAAGTCATGTTGTTGTTTCACCATCCTGAGCACTTCTCAAATAATTTTGGGCCAAATTAAAGTTGTCAAATGTGAATCCCATAAATCTGGCCAGGGGCCTGCAGTTGTACACATATATATTTGTGAACCCGTTACTAACTTGAACGTCAGGCTAAATATTTTTATCCTCTCCTAATTAAAAACTTACTTGAAACCATAGGACCAGGGTCTAGAGTGGTGACCTCAAATGGTATGGTAGTTGTTCTTTTTGTAGTAGAAGGTGTTGTAGGTACTGGGGTCTCTATGACATAATTCTCCCCAGCGACATCTTATAAACATAAAACAGTGGCTGTATATAGCATTTTATTTGATCTAGACTGAAATGTAAGTTCTCCGAATGTTTCAGTTTTTAGTAATGTCTGTCTAATATTACATGCATTGCATCTTTGAAACATGTAGTCATTTAGAATCGACAACTGTGATAAAAGCCACTGACCTGTGTTACCCACAATCCAATCATAATATTTTGGTACCCTAGTGTAAACCCCAGGGTGCCTAGGAGCAGCACATCCGATCCCCCAACTGATGATCCCTCCAAACACCCATCTGTTTCCGACATAGCATACAAGCGGCGAACCCGAATCTGCCTAGTAATAATCAGTTAATAAAACGTATATATTTTAGCAAGACTGTATTGGGCTCCAGAGCAATTAAAAGGGAATTTTGTTTACCGAAATAAAAATGTGGACGTTTAAATTATCTTTTGGGTCAAACTTAAAAAGAAATTATCAGGCGTCGAATTTCAACAGAATTCTTTCATTTTGAAAATGTTGAATTCAAGCCATTGTCTTTTAATTAAGATTAGATAAATATTCTTGTCAAACTGCAAAAAGGACAACCATCTTACGCTGCACGCATCTTTCCGACCTTCTGCATAGCCAGCACACATCATGGTTGACTTTACCCGACCATCATACCAGTAGGGAGAATTACAAAGGGTTTGGTTTATAATAGGAACTGCCAATTCCTGAAGTTTGTTGCTTTGTTTTTGATCCGGACCAATCACCTCTGAAACACAAGTACGAAACGTTCACTTACTAGCCTCACGACCAAAACTTCCCGTTGCCAAGGCGCGTATTATCTCGGCTAACTACTACACTACCCTTCATAAGTTTGTCAACTGGAAGTCCGCTTTTGGATCATTCATCAAACACTGCTTATTTTTGGCAATTCAAGAAGTTAATCTTTGTCATACACTTCCGAATTTATGTAACAAACAGAATTAAGGTTTTAACATTGACAGACTGTGATATGCTACAAAATGAAAACTTGACTTACTTTAAGGGGAGTGTGTATGTAAGTTGACAAACTTACGTGTAACACCCCAGCCAACTATATAGCAACTATTTATATTTCCAGGGTCCCCTTCTGTAACGGCCTTTTCGAAATAGTCAACATGGGGTAAGCAAACAGGGCTTACATATATGTTATAGTCGATGGGTCTGTTCAACTCTACCAGGGCTATGTCGTGAAGGACGCCCTCTGCCTCATAAAACGGATGTATGGTGAATGAGTTCATCTTTCGTTCCTGTTGGGATTTTTCAGTAATTGATAAATCGTGTTCACCAAACACTAACGTCCAATTCCGATAGAATATTGCTCGTTGATTTCTACAACAAAAATGAAAAATACAAGAATGTTTTAGATGATTGTTTAAAGCCCCCGTCTAAAGTTTGAAAATATTTTTTTTTCATTCATTTACTATTTGTCAGGACTTAAAAAGTGATTTTAGAGATTTTTGAACAAAAAAAGTTGTGAGCATTTCATTTCTCAAATATTCAAATTTCTTAATCATCAAATATTTCTTAATGCATTTCAAAAAAGATTATCTTTTTAACACCAATGCAAAGATTGAACAAAAGACACGCTATTTCAATAATAAAATGTCATATTTAATGGGCTACACCAATGTTTTAGCTTATCAAAAATATTTTGAAACATTAGTGATGTCACTAAGGTAACAAAAACTTTTTGAAAAAAATTGAATTTTTTTTTCGATGTCAATATTTTCTAAATATGCTAGACTTTCATAAAAACCAATGTTGATTGTCTAACCAAATTAAAAGGAAGAATAAATTATGTTTTAGATATCATTGTACCATTGGTTTCTATGAGAACTAAAATTTTGAAATGCATTTTTCTCAGAACCATTTTTATGCACTGATAAGTTCATTTCTCGCTTGTTTATCAACCGATTTTCTTAATTTTTTCGGCAAAAAACATGGGAGGATAAATGCTATGCATTGATATGAATTGTGGCTAATTAGAAGATATGAGTGACCTCTAAAAGTTGGTTTTAAATAAATTCACAAATTTTGGAACAAAAAGTCTATCAAAAACCACTTTTTGAAATTTTAAAAAAAAGTTTCACATATCACACTTTCATAACAGTGGGTAAGACTACAATATTAGCCAAAGTGGTTTAAACTTTACATGGGGCCTTTAAGATTTTTTTATATTTATGTTTATGTGTACTTGTACACAGTTGAAGGTATTTCATAAGATCTTTTTTTTATGTTTATGGTGTATTTTGTATTTATTTAAATGTGTTCATGAAGACGCACCGAGTGTTGCTGTTCTTCAAGCAAACTAATGAATATGAAAAATATGTCGAACGCGTTCACAAATGATATATCGAAAGCGTGTAGACAATATGCATATATTTAATCATATCTTCTTAAAGGTATTCCAATAAGTAAGATTTAAACATACACAAAACAATGTGCAGCTGTTACGACATATGACCGGCTGATGAGAGTACCCCCACAGTAGTGTTCACCATTCCATAATAAGCTCACAGCCCAGGGCCACGTATGATTCACGGCTGCCTCTCCACCTATGATCCTAGGTTCTGCACGCCTTGGACTTGGAGTAAAGAAAGGCTGGCCACACGATGCTAAAATTGTAAATAACTAATAACAAACGTGCTTTCTCACGAACGTTCTTGTTTTATATTAATTGGTAAGAGTCGCAAGTAGAGTTGTGATCTCATTTTGTCTTCCATATGACTCTGTTTCATTTTCTTATTCTGTTTTGTAACACATTTTAGTCTTACTGTAGATACTTCTACTTGTATGTACATTTATATATATGCAATTTCTACTTATTTTTGTATGGGAATATTATTGTTTCATTTGAACTAATCAGTGAGCTCATGCCTAATCTAAAAATTAAATGCTACATTTACTTAGATTTTTCAAATTTCGAAGAACTTTTAACAAGAAATAACGGAAAATATGTTTTACCATAAAAATAACATCATAAAAGAATGATGACAATCTCATTTTTTACGAAAGACAGATCGGTGAAAGTTGAAATATGGATGATTTGTCTTTCCTTTAATTCTTCAATTGTTGTTCAAATATTCTAGGACATTATTCTTATTATGTAATAAATCATCAGTAAGCAGCATGGATTCTTCAATCATTAAAAAATTTCATTGACACATATTAATGATACACTCTGTTATTACAACGAGCTGTTATTGGAGAGCTATAATTTTCAATCGTACTTTAGCTATTGGTAAAACATATACTGTATATCAATTTACTCAACTAAGTTAAATATACGATATACTTACATAAAAATGGAGGTAAAGTAGTTGAGATTGTGGATTGTGTTGATGACCTGGGGGTGGTGGTTGTTGGACGGCTAGTAGTGGTAGTCTCTGTAAATTCAAAAGAAATTATTTCATCTATTTGTTGTTTTTTGAACAATTTGGGAACAATTTGATTAGTAGGTGTAGATCATTCAGGATCATAATTAATCATTTTTCTGTTTATTCTTTGTATTTTGATTATACTTTTTGTAGGTTCCTTTAATTTTTGATTAATATATATTAAGATACTTTTTTGCTGGTGCACACAATTTATATGTTGACAATGATTTTCTGTTTAAATATAATCAATTATTATAATAGTAGACCTACTTGGATTAAATAAACAGCAAAACACATTTGTTGTTATGAAATTGTTTAGTATGCCAAGGATAAACCCATATTTTATTTTATTTTGATAGTTGTAACTATGTATGCATGTAGTAAGTAAATAGACCAGCAACACGCGTATAGTAAGTGTGCCATTTCTGTCTTATTAAAACAATTTTACAAAATATTATCTTCATATTCTTCTGTCGAATCTGTTCATGTCATTTGTTGCAATAATACATTTTAATTCCTAGCGAAACATAATTTAACTTAGAATTCATAGTCTTCCACTACCTAGATTTCTCTAGATTTTCGATATACTTTTTTACTGACCAAGAGACCTTTATTTTCGATTTTTCTTAGACTATTTAAATTCCCTTATATATAAAACCTTAGTTTTCAATATACTAGTATTACATATTTGAATTTAGAATTGCATTTGTGAAATACATCTCTTTATTTCTGATTTAGCAGGATTAATAGACAAAGACGATTTAACGATGATTTAGTGTGTTAGTATTTGTTAATGTTACATTATTGTAAAGACTATTTTAAGTCACATTAGGTTACTTTCGTCAATGTTGTAATGGCACTCTGATTTCATGACCCTTACATCTCTTTTAATATTAATATTTCATTTAAAAATGCAATTGCAAATGCACACTTACACCTTGCGCTCTTTTACTAATATGTGGTAACTAAAAATACAAACAATTTTGTTTTCATAATTAAACCTGGTGAAATATTAAGAAAATGTAAATTATATTTTAAACTTTACAAGTACAAATTAATACAAAATAATGTAAATATACTAATAAATGGATGGGAAATTCTAAAGTATTTTCTACACAAAATTACTTGGAGAAAATTGTCGTCTATCAATTTTCCGTTTTAATAAAAAACTTTGACATTCTTTAGAAATGGATTTTTTTATTTTAATTTAACGAATGAGATGATGCTACTATTAAAACATCGAATTCTTGCATAATACTATGTGTTATGACTATAACCTTTATGAAAGTGTACTACATTTTTGACCCAACCTGTATTATCCAAGAGCCTCGAGCTTCATGTAAAAGACATATAATATAAGGATGGACTCAAAATACATGTTAGTGTTGTATTTCAATTCACCTAACGTCCCACCTTTCCATACCTTCATTATTATACATCATTATGATAGTATCATTGCAAACTTTAAAACCTTCAAAGAGGTATTGATTATATAAAATCGTGGATATCATTAGTACATTAAGCAAATTTTCGTCGAACAACGCGATATTAAAAGACATCCATTGCAGAGATGTAGTAAAGTAATGCAGCGGATATTCAATCATTTTGGATGATTCCAGATGTTTGGTTAATCTCTTAATTGGTGTTGATTGTTACATATTTGTTCATTTTAGTATATTTAATGCATTAATACACTGTTGTTTCTCAATATTTATTTGCCCTGTAAGTACCTATATATCTATCTATATACGAGTGTTGATTCAAAGGTTCTGCACAGTTTGCTCTAAAAATCTTAATGTTTTATGAATATTGTTCATATTGGGCCTTAACAACCCCATATATAGTAGTTTGACTTCAAACTTTTGGATCAACCCTCGTATTTTGTTTTATTATTTGTTTTATACATTTTTATTATCTTAAAATATTATCCTTTTTTCTTTTTTTCGTCGCACCTTTCTTACACAAACATCATACATACATACAGATCCATATACATTAGGCATTTGATAATATCATTACACTCATTTAACAATTTAACAATTATACGTTGGAACGTTTTTGAGATCATCTCCATTCAGAGGATTTAATTTGACTAAGTTTACAAGGTTACCGTTTTGGAAATACAATACATGCAATACGATTATTTTTCAATCGTATAGAGGCTGGCAATATTTAATGCATTAAAGGTATACAGTAAAACAAAAAGCTCAATGCTATTGGTTTAATCTATCTATAACCCATCTCCAAGTCTCGCCGAAACTTTCCAGTGTGCCATATAAGTTTGCAATATTTCGTTCGTCAATGATTTTATATTTTATGATTTCTTTTATTTGTATAAATGTTATTTTAGCATTAATGAGTCTTGATTTGTGTATTAAGTTTTTTTTATATACAATATGCAGAAATTGATTGCTTTTGAAGTGTGGTCGTGTTCTTGATCTAATTTCCTGACAATTATGTATTTAATTGTTACATCAATCATTATTATATCACTATCTAGCTAGCGACAGTATGATTGGTCAAAACCGGGTCACATGTCGTGGGATATCTGGCGATATTCAATGGCAATGCTAATCAGATAAGACAACCGTGAGATATCTAGCGATATCCCACGCTCCCGGGAATTTTCAAAGAATTTGTTTTCGTTCAGTGTAAATAATTTAGTTCAGTGTAAATAATTTAGTTTCGGTGAATACCTGTAGCACTTTCACAAGGTGATATTCCACTTGCCCTTCGGGCTTCGTGGAATATCACTTGTGAAAGATGTACAGGTATTCACCTCAATAGAGTGAAATATTTGTTCAATATTGAAGAATCTTTATAACATTATCTTGTAACATTGCCATACCATGTTACATATAATAATATTTTATGTACATGTACACCTGGCTTCCTGAATGCAGCAATCGTGGATGGAAAATGATGAGGAAGTTTATTGCCTTTTCACATTATGAATAAATATTATCATGTATTCGCGAATGCAACTAACGCCTGTCGGCTACCGGATTGACCTACTATTTTATGGGGTAACTCATTTAAATATGAATAGAACCTGCCAATCAATTCATATTTATATGAGTTTTCAATAATAAATTGTTGTGATGTAGACATTGCGTCTTTAGGCCATCAGCTTCACCCCAAAATTTAGGTTATCGGTACCAAGTTAGGGGAATAATGCTCATAGTGATTTTTGGCAAGGTAAATACCTCCAGAGTAAGAAAATATGTGATAGCATTGCAGGAGTGGTAGCTTATGGGTGTTATCGCCCATATTTCAAAATGGCTGCTATCGCGCTTTTTACAAAATAAAAGAAATCATATCTTAGTAAAATGAGAGGCAAAAACAGTTATTTTGAACTCTATTTCTGGGTTTTAGGGGTCAGGGATTTCATTTATGTCAAAATCTAAGTCATCAAAAAATTATATGGAAATCCAAGATGGGTCTCAAAACAAATATGTAACTATTGATATAAGCTAAAAAAGCTCAAAGAACGGTTAAAAAGTGACTTTGGAAACCATGAATAGGTTTTAGAGGCTGAGGATTTTATTTGTGTCTAAATTTAAGTAATAATAGAGATTCTTCATATGACATTCCAAAATGGCCACCAAAATGAGTGCCAAAATGAATATGTAAACTATTTATATAAACTCAAAGAACAGTTAAAAAGTGATTTTGCAGACCATGAAAGGGTTTGACAGGTTAATACAGATTCCATCCATGGATAAATATAAGTTATTAAAGAATACAATAATATAGAAATATGAAATGGCTGCTAAAATGAATTTATACGCACATAGAAAAGTTGGAAAAGTAATGTACGTTATAGATATCTGAATCTAGGTTTCAGGGGAAAATGGGTTCAATTTAGCCTTTACCAAAGTCATCTTAACCTTTCCTCAAATAAAAATACAAAATGGTCACCAAAATGGCTGCCAAAATGAATATTTACCTGTACATACATGTATATCTATAAGCATTAACAGAGGATGTTGGCAAGTGATTGTGGTATCTTTGACTAGTTAACTAGGATCAAGGGATTGAGGATTTCAGTTACCATTGAATTTTTTTCTCTTTACTTTAATTGTTAAATTGTTGTCTTGATGAAAATCAACGATGGCTGCCAAAATCGCTGCCAAATTGGCTGTTGGTTAATTTTTTTCTTATTTTCTAGCTTATTTCTCTCTTTATCTGTTATAACCTCTATATTTTTCAGTGTTCTTTGTTGTTTTCATTTTTGTCTTCGTTTTTTGTTTTCTTTCTTTTGTTTTCTTTGCTGCCTTTCAATTTTCTTGTTTTTTTGTGTTTTCTCATTTGTGTTGTGTTTGTTTTTTTTCATTTTCTTTGTTTTTCTCTTTTTCTTTTTTCTTGAAATTAGAGTCAATTAGAGCTTAGAGATAAACCAAAATTTAACTTGGTCCATTGTCAAGAGCTGATTCCCAGAGTGCTAAAATACTTATTAACCTTTTCTGGGGTGTGTGTGTTTGTTCGAGATTATTGGAACCAAAGTTGCCTATCTACTCCCAGGTAACCTTTGCGAGTCATCCCTTCTTACTCTGTTGATGTTGCTCTTTCTCCTCAGCCTCTGTTGTTGTAATGGAAGTTATATAATTGGAAAAGTCATAGGAGAATAACACCAAACTGAAAGCATGAGACTTTGAACCAACTCCTACATGGCTAAAGTCAATAGCTTTCATTCATTTTTCTAGTTCTCACAGATGCTGTTGATACCTTTAAGAAACTCATCAAAATGTATCCCTAGATATTCAATTATCTCATCATGGAAAGTATGAATAATTGCACATTAGCTGCCTTTGTATACCACTCAGCTGAAAAGATTCCTTGGATTGCACTAGATACATGCCCAATTGGCCATCATCTCAAGGCAGCTTAGAATCCATTGTGCTCCAGGGAATGACTAGGTCATTACAGTGATGGTGTCCATAAGGGCTTGGCAAGAAGGATGTTTTGTGTCATCATTCACTTTGAGACCTCTTTACTTGGATTCTTCTGCTTTCACAATCCAGTTCATTGCTGCGATGAAGAGAGTACAATTGAGATGGAACATCCCACTGGGGCCATCTTGGATATTCAAATAAATGTATTCCAAAATTACTTATTCTTTTGGCAGCCATTTTGGTTGCCATCCTGAATATCCAAATAAAAGAATTATTTGATGATTAAGTTTTAGACATAATTAAAGTTCTCGACCATTGAAACCTAGATATGGTCTCCAAAATCACTTTGAACATATATTAATAGTAACATATTCATTTTGGCAGCCATCTTTGATTTCCACATCAAGTTATTCTTTGATGACTAAGACAAAAATCATTGATCCCCTAACACTTTCATGGTCTACAAAATTAATTTTTATCTCTTCTTTGAGCCTATATCAATACGTGTAGCTACATTTTCATTTTGGTGGCCATCTTGTATTTCCATATAAAGCAATTCTTTGCTGACTTAGACTTAAATGAGGCATAAATGAAATCCTTGACCCCTAAACCCTTTCATTGTCTACAAAATTGCTTTTTATCTGTTCCTTGAGCTTACATGTATATCAATACTATAATGACATTTCGTTTTGGCACCTATTTTGCGGCCATCTTGGATTTCAACATAAAGTAATCCTTTGATGACATAACTTTAGACATGAATAAAATCTTTAGACTCTAAAACCTCTTCTAAAACTTTTCAAAATCATGTTGAAACGTTTCTGAGCTTGTATCATTAGTACATATTTTTTTGAACAAAATTTGGCGGCCATTTTGGATTTTCATATGAATTAATGTTTTGGTGACTTGGATTTTGGCATAACTCAAATCATTGACCCCTAAAAGCCAGAATTAGACCCTAGAATCACTGATTTTGCCTCTCAGTATGCTTAGATATAACTTCTTTTATTTGGTAGCAAGCGCACTGGCGGCCATTTTGAAAAATGGGTGATAACACCTATTAAGTTACCACTTCTGCAATGCTATCACATATTTCCCCCTGATTTGGTACCGACCAACCCCCCAGGCTGATCGCCTACTTCGACTCATTACGATTTATATTTTAGTTCATATGATTGACAGTTTATTGAGAGGTCGCTGAAATCGAACCCTATGTAGAAATGACTACTCTGTCGTTTCTGTAGATTCGTTAACCTCGCTGAAGTCGAACGTTTGAAAGATCTGTTGTTCCGGGTCAGAGAGTTTACGGATTACTTTTCAAAGAAAAGAAAGTGTATATTATCAATTTATGAACAATCCAATCACTGCTTGAGCTTATATGAGATACTCATTCAAGCCAAATTCATTACACGGGATTGAGCTTATACAACGGTTGTGGATCGATTTGGACCTGTCGATTGCGATAAAACATGAAAAGGTACGTAGATATTTTCTACATGTTCACGTGGGTGTTTTTAACTACAAAATAATAATAATCAGTATGATAATGACTGCTATTAAGGAAGTGTAAAGTATCAATTTGTGAACAATCTCTGTCCGAACCTATATGCAACCTTAGTGTTGGAGTCTAGTGTTTCCCCTCCTTCTAAGTAGGTGCCTAGTCGAACAACATTAGACCTAGCCTGGGCCTCGTTTCTTATCTGACATGTCTTATGGCCCCGGCTAGGTCTAACCTCCATGATCATTTTAATTTGTCTTGGGTTTGTGTAAAAAACCGGGTGACCGGGTAGCCGGGTGGCCGGGTACTTTACGTTCCTTGCAGGGTTATCAAATTTCAAAGTTGCACATTTTGTAGACTACCCTTCAATATTTTTACGTTATCATTTTACCAAGAACCTGTAAGAGACTGAATTTCGTAAGTCCAAGGTAGTTACTTACACAGTTTACACGTACGATGACGTTAGTTGCTTGATTTATTGTCTGAGTGATTGACAGGATATCGAGGATTGTTTTCTATGATGGCTATTTCTACTAGATATTTTAAAAACAAATCTGGAAGATTTACGTACGCGTAAATTGAAAAAAATCAAATTCCCAACCCTGACAGGAAGGTAGAGTACCCGGTCACCCGGCTACCCGGTTACCCGGTCACCTGGTTTTTTACACAAACCCTTTTGTCTTTGATGCGTTAATTTAATCGTTCCGCAGGTTTCGACAAGCGGAACTAATTAAGGTGCCATTGAAGTTAACAGGAAATGACAAAACAAAAAGTGACAAAACCATGCTGGATTTTGAATTTTTTCCAAGATAGCAGAGTTCTGTTTTGATCTCCAGTCAATTTAACTAGTTCCACATATCATTTAAATGACCGAGGTCACAATGGCCATGGTCAGAATGACCCTAATGATGATGAAATAACCTTTTCAGCCCTCTGAAAATGTGACTGAAAAATAGCTCAGGAAAGGTCACTGAACAGAATCTTTTGACTTTTTCAGAAAATGTGCCTAATATATTGCTCTAAATGATACAATTTAAAAAATTGATATCATTCTTAGGAAAAGAAAAACATGAAAAAAACTGAATTGAACATCAATCTATTTTCCTTTTTACTACAGCCATTATTGTTTCAGACAATTCTTTTTTCAAAGATTGTATCATTTAGAGCAATATATTGAACACAGTTTCTGAAAAAATCAAAAGATTCTGTTCATTGACCTTTCCTAAGCACCTACTTTTAGCTATTTTTCAGTCACATTTACAGAGGGCTGAAAAGGTTATTTCATCATGTTTATGGTCATTCTGACCATTTCCATTGTGTTCCCGGTCATGTAAATGATATGTGGAACTAGTTAAATTGACTGAAGGTCCAAACAGAACTCTGTTATCTTGGTTCAATTTTTTTTCAAAATCCTGCATGGTTTTGTCACTTTATGTTTTGTCATTTCCTGTTTACTTCCATGGCACCTTACGGTGACATGGAAGTCCATGGCACCTTAAGGTGACATGGAAGTAACAAGAAATGACAAAACAAAAGGTGACAAAACCATGCTGGATTTTGAAATTTTTTGGACCAAAATAACAAATATCGTTTTTGTTGGACCTCCAGTCAGTTTAATAGACTAGATGTGAGTAGAAATAATCTTGATTTACGTCATTAAATATTCAAAATTCAGTCAGAGCGATGTCATATTTGAAATCTGCATGTAGAAGACCATCTAGAAATATGGTTTCGAAAATTGTCTATCAACTTTGAAAATTTAAGTTTTTTGAAAATATGACTTCTTGTTCGGGTTGATTCCCCATAGACCCCATTTTACAAAATCACAAAAAGTGAATTATATCTTTTCTTGTATTGAACAGATAACATTTTCTTTTACTGGACATATTTTAATTTGCATAACTATTAGATACACAAGGGTTATATGAAAATTGAACCACGCAAATAGATGTAATTTAAGTTAAAGGGAACTTTTTACTATACCCGCCATGCTATCTGACCCGAACGGGCCACCTGGTGGTGAATCTAGTAACTACCTACTCGCATCTGAGTTATTAGTTCCACTTTTCATTTACATGACCGGGAACACAATGGAAATGGTCAGAAAATCAAAAGATTCTGTTCAATGACCTTTCCTGAGCACTTACATTTAGCTATTTTCAGATTTTTCAGTCACATTTTCAGAGGGCTGAAAAGGTTATTTCTTCATGTTCATGGTCAATCTGACCATTTCCATTGTGTTCCCGGTCATGTAAATGATATGTGGAACTATTTCAACTGACTGGAGGTCCAAACAGAACTCTCTTATCTTGGTTCAACAAGTTTTCAAAATCCACCATGATTTTGTCACTTTTTGTTTTGTCATTTCCTGTTAACTTCCACGGCACCTTAAGGTGACATTAAAGTTAATCAAAAGTACAAAAGCATGCACATGGCAACCATATTTTTTTGATAAAGTCAGACGATTTTTTAATGTTTTCCTTGAATGTGAATGCATTTCCTGACTAAAGAGACACATAAAAGAAAACCTCGCATTTAAACGCATTTTTCATAACTATGAATTGGAGGTGCATAGATCCCCAAAGCTGGCATGAAGAGTGTGAAGTGAGGCTATTTTTTGAAAGTTTCAAGAAGTAGCCTTGCAACAGTCACAAATTTGCAAGAATCCCAAATTTCCACATATCATCTTACCTTACAAGGAACAACGAAGGAGCATGAAAATGTGTACTTCTTGCATTGTTAGAGTATAATAAAGCTCAAGCCATTGTGAATTCAAAATATTTCATGTCCACCATTTTGTTTGCTGGGACCATTTTTTAGTCCAGAGTAATACTCATTCATGTATCCATTGTTTATCACTCATAAAGCCTCCATCATGTATCTAAATCATGATAATTATAATGCAATAGATAAAATATACACGTGATAATCCATGCCACTTGGTGTAGTCACAAAACTTGTATGAGGATTAATCAGGAAGTCTAGCAGTAGTTCCGTTTTTGTACTTTTGATTAACTTTACCGTTGCCTTAAAGGGTATTTTGGGCATAACACCACGCCGCTAGAGCTAGCTATAGGTATTGAGAACGTTCAGATTACAACGACAGATATTACATTCGCAGTCACTGATGGAAGTATGAGGTTCAGAATTCGGAAACTTTTTATGTCAACAGGGTACAATTTATGAAAATCAGTTTCAAATTGATTTTAGTGTGTCAAGACCCCTTAAACTACAAGTTTACGTATACGTTTTCGAAGCAACTTTTATCGAAAGCTCTCTAATCTTTATAAATGACCTAGAT